GTAAGCTTTGGTCTCTTTCCAGACGTGCATTCATTTCGTTTAATCCGTTTATTTCGTCTATCGATAAATAATATAAAGGATTTTGTCATCCTCTCTAATATGTAATATTCTCATTTTGATGTTGGTCCAACGTGTTGTGAGGTTGTGATAGGTTAAGTATTTTAAATACTTCTTCAAATTAATTTTTGTATTATTTTTGAAACATTGATTCATTGAATTTTAAGAAATAAAAATAAATACACTAAGTTCGGCTATAGTTTTAAAAAGTACGTCAATTGCAGGTTTCAGAAGTCTGAGTTTTATAGCTGTTACTACAAGTGATATCTAACTAATTTAAAAAGAAATATTTAAATTAGCCTGATCAACGTTTTAAAGCTACTTGACGTTCAAGTGTTGTTCACTCGTTCCTTTAAAAACGGATTCGAAGAAATTTATAGCATTCTTTGGTTTAAGAGACTTTACACCAAATTAGGTTCAATTAAAGCTATATCGTTGTAAATTTTTTATTTTCTGACAATTGCAGTTCACGAGCAGATATGATACATAGTTGCCTTGCGGGTGTTATTCACTCCTTTCAATAAAGACAATAACAAAGACTCTCTTCGAGTTGCAACAAGAACAGCACTGCATTTGATGTAACATATTATTATTATTGTTAGTAGAAGCAATTGCATACCGCTACGTTTGACATCTATCATACTATCGATAAACCGACATATCGACGTATTTAACAAAACATATAACATCCTCCCATCTCCCATCAATAGGAAAAACAGAAAATCTCTTTGGATATGATACATAGTTCCAGGAGCGGCTAAATGTGCTCGCCTTTTGAACGATCTAACGAAGTGCGCACCTTCAATCGGTACTTCCTGGTGCGCCGTGGTCTACGTTCTAAAGCTATTCGTTTTTTTTCGAATGATCTAGCGTCACTTGCACCTTCCGTTAGATGTAAAATCAGAAAATCTTTTTGGGTTACAACACAAACATCTTATCAGGATTAAAAACAGAAGAATTCTTAGGGTTACAACAATAACAGCTGAAAGGATAAGCATATGTATGTCTCACTTTGTGTTTCATTGTGTTTGCAGATGTTTCTTTAATTCTATCTTTGAGAAATAGTAGTTAACAGTAGAGTAGAGAGCATGACCAGTTAAGAGTTCATTGTTATTTAGACTGAAAAGCCTATTAGCTTTTTTATCATTGATCCGAATGACTAAAAATATTATAATTTTTTTTTTTTGTACAGTGGACGTCCAATATAACGAATTTTATGTTGCACCCCTTGTTCGTTATATCGAAAAATTCGTAATATCGAATGTTATACATTTACCTACCAATATGGTTATTTTTAGGAGATTTCATACATTTGAGTTCATAAATTAACTTATAAACACGTACGAGTATATATTTATTTAAAAGTATTTTTTATTCGGTTGTTACAAAAATTATTTATAAGAAAGGACGCATTCAATCATAGTGTAGAGTAAAAAAAATCATTAATTTTTGTTTGTTTTTTACTACACTCAAGACTTTTCTGAACAGCTTTTTCTTGTAGTTCTCTTAGTACAGCTAATTTTGAAGTTTCATTATTGTTAATCGCCCACTTTATGCATTTTTCGAAATGATTTATGGCATCTTTATGTTTAATAATTTCTAAATTATTTTCTTCTATATTTTCGTCATCAGATCCATCATCCTCGTCCGAGACATCGATGGTATTATCAGCATTATTCCATTTATTAACTTCGTATGTACTAATGTCACACTAACAATAAATAGTTAGATAGTATTGGATAGTATTTCGTATATGATAAACTGAATTTGTAAACAACAGATCAGTGGCGCCTGATCTGTTGATCTATATATATGCATTTTGCCATATATAGGCATTTTTCTCAGAAAAAAAAAAAAAACGGACAATTACATGCATATTCTAAGCTGAATAATGCTAGTTTTATAGTAAAATTATATTCAAAAGCATAATTTGTATAAAACAAAAACGAATAAGAAATAAAAAATTTTTTGTTCGTAATATGGAGCAGAATTTTTTTTTTCGTTCGTTATATAGAACAATCAATGTAAATATTTTGGGTGTTCGTTATATCGAAAATTCGTAATATCGAGCGTTCGTTATACTGGACGACCACTGTAATTTGTTTATCATATTTTTTTATGAGTCCACCGTATACGCAGTAAAATTAGTTTTAGATTAAAAACTGCAAGGTTCTAAGTGACTAAAAAATGTCAATGGTTTTTTTTAAGTGTATTAGGGTTTCATTTCTGTTGAAAAATAAAAAAAAACTAAAAACTTGCATTGGTGTCGATTTTTTCACGTGTGTTTGTATGTTAAATATATTTTTTATTTACATATTTTCTAATATAGAAATGAATACGGACATGTACGTCTGCTACAGATGGCGTCTTTAATAATTCGGATATAACCAAGAATAGATATGTAGATACGGTACAGAGACAAATCCGCAGCAGAGATACAACGAAGCGCGCACAATATAACGTAAAGCGAAATCCAATGAATATCAAAAAAAAAAAAAGTATGTAGAATGCAAAGATCGTCAACAGGAACACCGAGACGACGCAGAGACCTCCTCAAAGTAAAAATATCTTAAATTGTTTCATTTCTTTAATTCATTTGCTTTGGACGGAATAAGAAACAAAAGAAATCCGATAAATACATATTTTTGAAAATATGTATTTGTGTATAAATATGCTGCCTGCCTGGTTAAGAGGAATATCAGTGTACATACATACATACATATGTGTTCCCTATGTGTGTATGCATGTGAATGTGTTGTTAATGTATTTATGTTTACACATGTCATATGAAAAGTTGGAAGAGGAAAAAATTATTAGGAATTCTGGTTTCTACTCATTTGGGCATCATCATCATCCGTCTATTGTGGTGCTGTTGTGCTGTTGTGCTTATTAATGCTTGGAATGTACATCTGCGTTTGTATGTGTATGTGTATGCGTTTACCAATCTTTACAGGGTGCCTCATCTTCTTCGTCTTTTTAAGCGAACCCAACAAGAATACAATATTTATTTGTTTACAATATTTATTTTTATGTGATGCTATGTAGTGCTGGGAACGAACAACCGCTGATTTGGTTCGCTTCGGTTTTCGGGTTGTTGTATATCAAGCTTTGCTTGCATGCGTATTCGATTATGTATGTGCTCTGTTTACCTACTGGCAAATTCAACATTTCACCATTACTTATTTTACATTCCCCATCTCTCTTCACTCTTCAGTCTTCAGTCTACACTCTACACACTACACACTATACACTATACACTAAACTCTTCGCTCTTCCTTTCGCTTGACTCTTTTTCTTTACGATTTACAATTCAGATGCGATGCAGTCATTGTTTAGTATTGTTGTTGTTGTTTTAAATAAAAACAAGTTTTTGTTTGGCATGCGCACTTCCGTTTGTTGGTGCTAAAGTTTTTATTTTTTATTTTTATTATTATTTTAATTTTTTTTTTTTTAATTCATGTTAGTATAAGATTTTCTTTTTGTCGTTTTTTTTTTTTTTTTTGCTTATTGGGTTTAGGCTGTGGGGTGGTGTAGATCTTGATCTGTCCATTTTTTCTATCGTCGGCGGTCAGTTATTCAGTAAGCCAACAGTCAGACGTACAGACAGACAACACACAAATAATAATAATATTAAAAGCAAAAGGCGGGAGAGCGGGAGAGTGTTGTGAGCATTTGTAAAAATTGTAAGACGTTTATTACAATATAGAATTTATTTATATGTATATATATGTACGTATGCGTGTACGTATGTATGTATCTATGTGAAATGTTGTTGCTGCTGCCGCTGTGTTGTTGTTGTTGTTAGTTGTGATTATGGTGCTAATATAAAAAATTACAAAGTAAAATAAAAGCAAAACAACGTCATCAAGTCTCTGAAAGCAAACTGAAAGCAGCAGTAAGTTAACATTGTATCTCTTCGCATCCGGATCATTACCACACCGTTTAGGAAATGGCATGGCGAGCTTGCATGTGAGAGTGCGGAGTGCGAGAGTCTAGATAAACATTCTTATGTTTATATGACTGTGTGTACGATGGTATGTCCGGCTGCTACTACCGTTGCCTTATAATTTATATTAAGGTTTGCAAATTCAGTGAAATATGAATTTAGTTGGTAAGCGAAACAAAATAATAATAATAATAATAATAATGTTGCAATCTGCGCTGTTGTCTTAAATGCTTCATTAATTAATCATTAATGATCTTCAATTCGATCAATTTTAGTAGAATAGTGCGTGGGTTGCGTTGACTTTTATGGAAGAAAAGTACTATTATGTTTACTTATCATTTTTTTTGTCAATTATTGGCATCTTTCTGTATTGGAATTCTATTTTTACAAATCCATTCTAAATATATACATACATATATGCAAAAAAAAATATATTTGACATTCTCGCAGAGCTTATAATAGAACCATATTAACATGGGATAAGAAGATAATAATTTAGTAGCAATGCTTACGACAGCCCCCAGATGTTATATCCAAAATGACGCCTGCCAAGAAGATTTCAGTGTCCAGACAGAGGAGTACTAACATGTTTTAACATAGGACAATAATATGAATAATTGATAGTCAATGTTCACGATGACCCGTAGATATAATACCCAAAATGAATTGCCTACCATTTAATCATTCATACAAAGGAGATATTTTTTGATGATCTACACTATATTAGAAAAAAATTAAAAAATAAAATAAAAAATTAAATTAAAAAACATTATAAAAAAAGATAATTAAAATAAATATTTAAAAAAAAAAAAACATATATATAAAGAACTAATATGCTTTCACTTTGTAACGTACATTAACAATGATCACCTCCAACTATCTATGTAGTTTCCCCAAACCAACTGGATTTTATTACTTATTACTTTTTATTATTTCATAATATGTATGTACATATAAACATCTATTTAATTATAATTATTTGTTCTTTTAATTTCAGACGTTTTGGCTTCACTGCAGTCAACAACAACAACAGTTTTCCAAAATAGTTGTCACAATATCAAAATGAAAATGCTTCCAGTACAATTATCACTTAATCCACCTTTGGGCCTATGGAGCGATGTACTTTGGCGTTGTCCACCAGCACCCCCCAGTCAATTGGCAGAATTAAAAACACAACTGCCACCATCGTTGCCATCTGATCCACGTCTATGGGGTCGTGAAGATGTAACAGTTTTCTTGCGTTTTTGTGAGCGTGAGTTTGATCTACCAAAGGTCGATCATGATCTCTTTCAAATGAATGGTAAAGCGTTATGCTTATTGACACGTGCAGATTTTGGTCATCGCTGCCCTGGTGCTGGTGACGTTTTGCATAATGTTTTACAAATGTTGATAATCGAATCACATATGATGCAATGGCATTTACCTAATAGCCCAGTGACGCCTACAAGCCGATATCCACTTTCGCCTCATAGTCATCCACCGACACCGACATGGCCACCAATAGCTCCGCCAGAAAGTCCATTTCATAATGCTCATTTACATCATTTTATGACGCCGAATTCTGTGACATTAAGTCCACCACCGTCCGTGGATTCACAGGCAAGCAGCCCACCACAAAGCCAAGATCAAAACGCGACAAATTCTTCAACAAGTACAAGTAGTGCCACTTGTAGTAGTATAGCTAACAGTAATGGCAGTGGCTCTTCCACTGTATCTGTTACAATAGGTACAGCGAATGCATTCACTACAAACAATACTGCCAGCACAAGCAGTACCCATTCTGATTCTGACGAAGAAAGCTGTTCAGATGTTGTGGCTGCTTCAAATTCAATATCTGCACGTAATAATGTAGCAGCTGCTGTTGCTGCTGCAGCTGCACATTACACTTCCAGTCCTCCAACAACACCAATTTTAAAAGATATGTCACAGAGTTTCTCCCAGCAGATAACTAATTCTTTTGTTAATTCATGGTCACAAAATCAAACTCAAAATTCTGGCCAAAAGTTGCAGGCAGGCAATGGTAATGGTGGATCGGTTTCAGCGCCAACTACTCCAAGTTATATGCAACCAGTGAAAAGGGAATTTTTTCCAGAAAATACAGAACCAAACACAAGTAAGTAATGTTATACATACATACATACATGCATTTAAACAATTACGATCTTCTGTAACAAAACGAAATTGTTGCGTTTTTAAATAATCTAAGTTTCATAAAAAAAACTACTAAAATGAACCTACTAAAAAAAATAAACCTTCACAGATCCACATATGCATGTGTAGGTGATATTAGATCTTACTAAACCAACACTCTTAAAGTCATTTCTGTCCTATTCTTAGTGTTGTTTTTATTTAAGAAACAGGCATCCTCGTCTCATATAATAGTGGTGTTAGATCTGTTATGCCTTAAAACCTATAGGCTTAATAAAAAATCCTTTTTATTAATCTTATTAACTTGAAAATCGATTACAACTTTACAAAAGAAGTAAAGCTGTATATATTTTATTTCAACACATGAAACGATAAAAACTTGTGCTAACAGGAAAATGTGAAATCCAAACAGCACTTAAACTTATTAGGGAGGTTCTTTCAGTTTTTTTTTATCTTTATCTGACCCCTCTCATTGTTGTTCTTGAAACTTTAATAAATTGAAATCTTGTGAATTGGTTCGAAATTTTAAAAGCATTGGGTTTTATATCAAATGGATGCACGGATTGTTCACTCATGCCTTTTGTATTGAAAGTACGTAGTAGATAGATAGATTAAACTTGTTGATACTGATTGTCATAAATATACACCAGAAATCTTAAATCTTAGGTTTAGTAAAAAGAGTGGCTAGTACAGGATTGCCCCTACTATTCTTGATACTAGTTGGTTACTGCCAGTTAAGGACATTCTTGTTTCTTCTTAAGTTGAGGAGACATATGCTTTGGGAATGATTCAGAGCAATGCCATGTGGAGCAGCCCATTATTCAATGGCGAGACTTCTTTTTTCAGTTTCGCACATATGCAAATTATTATATAGGAACTATTATAATCTATACGACTCACATTTATACGAAATTATTAACCACTCAGACAGTAGCGTATTGAGTATTAGTTCGATGCTGACGGTTGAGGCCTTAAAATCTCTTGCATAGACGTGTGCATTTTTCTATATAAGTTTAGTATTCCATATAACACTAGGGTCTGAAATATATGAACTACTATCATTTAAATTTCAAAAATCGAATAAATGCTTCGTCTTTCAGATGGGCGACTATTATGGGATTTCTTACAACAACTACTTAACGATCGCAACCAAAAGTACAGTGACCTGATAGCATGGAAATGTCGGGATACTGGTGTATTTAAAATTGTTGACCCTTCCGGATTAGCCAAGCTATGGGGCATACAGAAGAATCATTTGTCAATGAACTACGACAAAATGTCGCGAGCACTACGATATTATTATCGTGTGAATATCTTGCGTAAGGTACAGGGTGAGCGTCACTGTTATCAATTTTTACGCAATCCAACTGAGTTAAAGAATATAAAAAATATATCACTGCTGCGGCAAAATGCTGCAAACTCAACGCCAACGAACACGAACAGTAATGGTGGCATAAATAATGGCGCTGCGGCTGTCAATCATCAATCAAATAATTCAAATCAATTAAGTACAAACGCACATAGTACAAATTGGCCAATTTCGCACCAAAACATGAACGTATCACTGCAGCAGGCTGCTGGAACAGTGGCTGCCCAACAATCACCACAACGACCCTCCTCACGTAGCAATAACCATATGAATCTACCCACAATTTCAACATCAGCTGCTGCAGCTGCCGTTGCTGCAGCTGCTGCTGCATACGGACCACCACCAAATTCACCACTATTCATGCATGCCGTAAATGGCGCATTCCACTATTTGTCGTCGAATGCCGCTGGAGCACCACCCAACTCTCCGGCTCCTTCAAATACTAACAGCGAAAAATTTCAATTTCATTCGTTAAAATTAGAAAATAGTTCTGAAAACATTGACGAAAATAAACCGACTGACTTGAGTGTGACAGGAACAGCTTCTTCTAATGAAAAAAGACCATATTCCAATCCATCTGCCAATGAAGATTGCTATCCGTAAGTATAAGCTGTTTAATAAATAATTTACATTTTAATTAAAGAATAATTTCTTCGAACAGCCTCATAAGAAATGCGGATGGTCTGACCACTATTAAGCTTATACGCTATAACAATGACAATGAATTACCAAGAACAGAATCTAATCAAGATAAAAGCAACAATTTGATGCAAAACCATATGTCCCGTCAGGACGAACAGGAACAAAACTGTTCAATGCAAATGGACAGTGATGCAAATCATTCTGACTCGGATGCCAATCAATATACCAACATATTACCAACGGACTTGCGCAAGTAAATAGACCACATCCACGGTGCAAATTAAATATAATAATTATATATATATAAATTATTAATATTGTGCCGGAGTATTGAACAGCGTAATCTTCGTCACCAATATATTACAAAATAAAGAAGGACTCACCAATAACAATGCAACTTAGACATAAGTTGCATTTATATCCTGACAATCAAAAGCGAAACGATTTTGTTTCGAAACAGCTTGTAAGACATATATATGCATTATATCATCCACGTTTTAATTATCCTTTTAAGACAAGAATCTAGATCTGTATATTCCTACATACATATGCATACCAATGTCGACTTCCACCTAATCCAATAGTGTTCGAAAACTGAAAATATCATTAGTAATATCAGTAATCTTCCCAACATATGCTAAGCTAAAAAATCAATAAAAAAATATTTGGTTATACATGCGATCCTAAGTATCCATTTAGGCAATTAGGTGTTACCATACCATATAAGAAACTCAAGGATATTGGAATATAAAATGTTAAATTAAAAGCGCTCCTTTTTATTTAATTCCTTATTAAATATATACCGGGATTATATGCATATAACGGATGTATGTAGTACTGCAGATGATCAAATGTTTGCAAGTTTATATAAAAGTTTAAAATTATATATAATATAAGCGTAATTAATTAGTTATGAAAAATTATATTTATATAGATACATAAGATTATATATATATAATAGTTGTATAGAAAATTTTATATTTACATTGTTTAAGACGAAAAGATTTATTATATATAAACGATATTTTGTCCTTAGTAAAGTAGTAAATAAAAAATGAATTTATTTATAGGTATATATACAATTAAAAATATATAGATATATTTACAATGGTGTAAGTTGTATATGCTCATTTTTTTAAGCAAAAAATGATAAGAATAAATACATAATGTGCCAATTTAAATCATAATTCTTATAAATTATATTCATATATTCTATGTGCATAAATGGGTTTTATATATATATATTATATATATATAAACATACAAAAATACATTCAAAGTCGTGTGTATATATATATTATATATTTTGTAAAATATTTCTAAATTGAATAGTGGGTGTAATATTTATATTGTGTATTATATTTTATATATCATAAATATTATATATACTATATTATAATATATATATATATATATATATATATATATATGTATATATATATACACATATTATATATGTGTATATAATATAATATATTATAACATATAATTATAGTTTATATATAAAAATCAAATATATTTTATTATTTTCTTGATATCTTTTTTTGGATAAGTATAAATTAATGCAAATATAAATTTATTATACAGAAATTAATAAATGCATAAATTTATATATGTACAAGTTTATATATGCATAAATATACATCTATAAACATGAAAATCTTATTAAATATATTAAAAAAATTTGTCTTAATTTGTATGAAAAAAATAAGCAAAAATAATAAAAAATTATTATATATATAATAAATGTATACAGTACAAATACTTTATATATACATATACAATATATTTATTTTTAAAAATGTGTTCAATAGAGTTCTAAATATACTTTGAAATGATCAAATCTTTGATCATTTCGGTGCCCCAGCACGCTCGAGTAGTTAGAGCCGCACAAAAATGTTCGAACAACATATTGAGTTCGAATATATGATATATTAGATATATATTATAAAGGTTATAAATATTATATATTTTTATTATGTATATATTTGATTTAATATATGTTTATAGATATATACAAAAAGTACGTATTAAATATAATACACAATATAACACATTATTGCATTATATGTATATATATATATATATATATATATATATAAGTTTGTATGTATGCAAATATATGAACAATATAAATATGTGGACAATGTTATACACATACTTGTTATAATGTACGTGTTCACTTAATTTTCTTAAAAAATTTTATACATTATTTATTTTAATTAAATTGTAGTGTTCGGCTTATGTGCCGTGCTTAGAGGATCAGCCGTTTTTTTAGCTTTACTAGTTTTCATGATAATTGCAAAACAACAACAAAACGTTTTGCTTTTGCATTTGTATTTGTTTTGGATACCCGTTAAGCTTATAGATTACTAAGTAGTATAAATCCCAATATGTAACAAATCTCCGAAATAAAAACGGAAATGAAAAAGTTTATAATCTGATAATCAAATAGATTTTTGATCATCTCTAAATAATACATATATAATACGAGTATATATATCGTTGCAATGGAATGTGATAGAATGAATGTCTTCTTAGTTTTGAATCGAGTACATATCCAATGTGTAATGCTGTATACTTTACGTATAGTACAGATTAACGCCAGATTTGGGGATGTAATAAACCCTAACTATGTTTTTCACCCACTAATATTTGAATTACTATATGTATACGTATTAAGACTTCAAATGTTTATATATATTGAAAACTTGATATAGTAATTTGGTGGTGAAAAGTTATCATTGCTATGTATTTTATTTCATCAGTTTATATGTATATATATATACATATATTAAAACTTTAATATGTAAAAATTAATTTTAATGTTTATGTGTTCGCAACGAACACAAAATAATATTGTACGAGAAGCTTTTAAAATTATATTTCAAAATTGATTAAATCGTTTTATGTCCTAAGTTTATCTGCACCTAAATTTTTATCCATTGGCTTCCATTTTATTTTATAAATTAATGTTGTTCCATAGTTTTAAAAATACATATTTTTATATGTAAAATTATTTATATATAAACTAAGTTTATTTTGTTTATTTTATAAAGAATAGCAAAAATGTTTAAATTCATTATTATTAAATAAGCATGTATACATACATAGACATACGTACATACATATATATTCATTTTACATTTTCATAAGCTTTGTAATGTTTCTTTACTTTTATTCATTTTCTTCATATATTAAGTTTAAGGTTTTTGTGTTGTTGTTTTAATGAATTATAATAATAAATATATTTTATACACATATATCAATTTGATTTTTGTATTGAAACCTTTTACAAGATCCTTGGAATTGTTGTTATAGACGCCATGAATCTCTAATGCTGTTATCTGTTTTTGAAAGGAATTACATTAATTGTAGTGTGAGAGTACCGGGGGACAATTTTAGAATAAAAATGGAGTGGTATTAAGTAATAGATAAATTGTTATCACTACTACAAACAGTTGGCAGTAACGACTGATACCTGGTCATCAACGTTCGAAGGATAACCGGTCATAGTTATCTGATGCTAATTTAAAAAAAAACAAATTCTTAGAATGCTATAATACATATGTATGAAGAACATGTTTTAAGAAGACCTTAGGGATTTAAAAAAAAATTTCTTTAGAAATTTAATTAAGCTAGCTATTTTAGTTGAATATTGCCAATTCATCCTTTGTGACATGACAAGGTGTATTCTCTGAAATACTACATAGCATCAGTAATCCTACCTTCCCATCAGTAAAGTAATTCCCTATCGATGATTGAGAGTGGGTTTTTGGTACACGGATATAACAAGCAACTCACACACATTTTGATTTTCAATACTGTTATTGTTGTGAAAACAGCGTTTATAAGGAAACCTTATTCACTGAGCTTTACATAATCTTAGAGAATGATAAAACTTGGTATGGATTGGTTAATCGTTGTATATTCGTTACGTATAATGAAACCTTAATTTTCAATGCTAACAATCTACGAAACGTGCGTGTTTAGTAGGAATCATAATGAAGAAGAAATTAAAATTTCATTTTTCTTAATAAAGCTTCAATCTTTACGAGAATTAAAGTACGCTAATTAGGTATTGGTAATACGGAATATATTAAATTTGAAAATATATGCATCCACATTGATACCCATTATCAGTGAAATCTGTGAGTTCGAACTGTGGGTGTTATATTGCAGCGCACCATCGCAAAAGCCCAGCATCGATTACTCTTAACTACATTCATTTTTCAAACCTTATTCATCTTCGTGAAGAAAACTACTAGACTAACCACGTGAAGGTTAATAATTATTGTGTAATCCACACAGTGGTGATCATCTTCATTTCTGCTTTTCACTCACTTTTATAACCCTAAATTATGGTACTATAAGACGACACTCAGTGCTGCAGTACTATAAAAAAAACCTATTATTACACTCATGTATATTGTACCGATACGATTTCTCTAAACAAACGAACAATCATTCACTTTCTCTCCACATAACTGGGATACTTAGACAGCAACTTGGACTCTTTCGTGAAATGAATACCTACAGTATGTGTTACAAAGGAGAATCTAACCAATGTGTATTAAGGTGCATGAAAAGCTGTTCTTTCACGGTACTGTTATTGGTAGAGTTTATTTGGCCACTGCATTATATGTCAATATAGCTTACTCTTGAGATATCAAGGTGCAAGATTTTTAAATTGATTACACTGACAAAAATCACATAAACTATCTAGGGCCAGCTAGTATACTCAATTTCATATTCATTGCAGAAGAAAATAATAATAAGTAATAAATTCCAATTTTAAATTCCTGCTATTTTCGGAAACTAATGTATACTACTAACATATACCACACGTGAAAGATTGGGAAATCATATTAAAAAAATGTGGAACACATTTACATAGGATTCGCAATGATTAAGGACAAGTATTCAAAGTTAATTAAAAAGTGTTTTATTTTGTTTTTAAAGCCTTTTTTTTACTTTTGAAAATTTTAATCGAAATTTTTCCGATTTAGGAGCTCTTTTAAAATATTTCTGCATGAAGAAAGCAGTGGCGTTCGATTGGATTGAGGTCGTTTTTTCTCTGGACGTAAAGGAACACTGTTGCTGTCGTTGGTGTTGACGTTTGTAGTAATAGACTCAGTCGCCTGCTTAATCTTTTTGGTAAAAGGTACATTTTCGGTTTGAGTTGATTGTTCTGTGGGTGTTGTATGCGCAATACTGCAACTTTCAGCTGTCTGAACATCTATCCTAACTTCGCGACTTAACATAACAAGACCAATTGCAGCTTCTATTTCATTATCAGTGTGATTGCTGTTGATGGCAACTGTTGATAGAGTATATAAAAAAATTATGTTTGTAATAATAGATTATACTACAAGAATTACCAAGTTCATTACCACTGTTAGATAGTCGGCGTTTCCTAACATTTAGCGTGTTGCTCTTTTCATGCGATGCGGAGATATCTTCGTTTTCTTCTAATTTAACGGACATTATTATTTAAAATCTGAATAATTACTGACTCACATCTGTGGAGGCAGACTGCTTTTAAAGGATATGGAGTGATTACCTGATTTTCAATTTGATATAATCCGTACGTCATGGATAGCTTATGAAGTAGCGAATTGCCTAGTTATTCGAACAGGTAGAAGTTGTTTTTTATTTTACGCAGAAATAACTGTGACCTTTAAAAACTAATTGCATTTGAGAACGTAACGACAGCTGCTCCGTTGAATAAAGTACTAGAAATCTTTTTATGGAAATGCATGAACTTTACCCAGGTGATAGTTAATGGAAGATTTTTTACTTTTAAATTTCTTTTATTATGGTTTATATATTATAAATATAAATTAGTTAGCAATAAACTGGCTATAACAAAAATTTTACCTACGCTATACGTACAAATTTATGACTTAAAATAAATTTAAAATTAACATTTACATTCTGTACATAGATTTTTATTGTTTATACTTTATTATTAGTGCCAAATTATGAATGAATTTCAAAGAGTTTTGCAACTTCATTCAAGTCATCAAATTTTTTATTTTGGGTTATAATCGTTCTTGCTAATCCTATGCGATTGAAAAGGTTCCAAAGCAAAATTCCAACGACTTTATCGTTTTTCAAATAAAACACAACGCCGCGACCATAATCATCGGCATTATTAATGTCGCATTTAACATCAGGTAAATCTTTACCAGAATTGGAGACTTCTACTCCGTTGACTTCTACATTAGAGCCTGATAAGTTGTCAGATTTTCTATCTGTTTTCGTTGGTAATGCAAATACACCAACTGTTGGTAGAGATGAGTCCACAAGACCGATGCCTTCATAGCCAATTTCTGGACCCAAATCTGACCAAAACATACTTTGATGTGTATAGGCTTTTTCTGTAAAAAATTATGTTTGAAAATCAAATTTTAAAATATACGTTCTTTAGACTGTTATGAGACTTACTTTTTCCAACCATATTTTCACCAGCTAATCTACCAGAAACTACTGAGTGATCATGATGTTCTACTCGCCTTCGTCCTAACAAGGGGTCATAAAAGCAGGAAGCATCTCCGGCCTAGAAGTGGTTTGAAATGTTTTTCAATTATAAAAATTATACCACATATTATACAAAATAAAATAAAAATTACTATTATATCTTAACTTAAGCTCTTTGGAGTCATTAGAAGTATTAATGGTTTGCTTACATCTCTGATAAATTTATATTTTCACTAATGACAGAGACATCAAAAGTAATGTGATTACATAACCTACATTTAACTTTTGTCTGGCATTACTACGGATCTAACAGGTGGCCTCACCTAAGCTGTTTTATCTACCAACCTAATATTATTTCAAATATGACGTCATAAAAATATTTCATAACGATAACTTTCGATCATGCTATTATATAAAAACCAATTTGATGAAAAATATATAAATTATTATTAGCATTACAAATGTTTCACTTCTTTCAATTGTTCGATCTGCTCGGAGATGTTTGAGTTATTCGAACAATTGACGTACTGAAATGTTTCATTTTATTTTTATTTTTCGAACACAATATGTTGTTGAAACAGATTCGTACATTGAACTCCCGAAACTTACAACGGTAGCTCAGAACTTAATGATCTAAAATGAATTTAAGTAATAGTTGTCAATTTTTACACTAAGCACGTTACATGAAGCAAAAAGAATTAAGTTTAAGTTTAACTTTGTCGAATAATTTGACTGTGTTTATAAGAATCCCTGTTCAAATAGTTACAAATTGGATTTATCGATTTTATCGATACCGGTTTACATATTACATGTAAATAGATGAATGGACGGACAGACATCGGTAAGTCGAATTGTGTCATCATGCTGATTAAGAATATGATCTCTTTTTTACTTTTACTCTATATAAACATCCCGACAAACTTAATACACTATTTACTCACTTCACTTTACAATAAGTGAAGCGTGAATGAAAATAGTCAGACCTAAACTCAATTCACTATAGCCTAATTAAAGAGCTTTAATAATATAAAAGGCACCAATTAATAATTATTTACATTTATACAAAAAGAAGAAACAAAAGAAAAATATTAAATAATTTCACAATACTACTATGGGCACATACTATTATTTCATAATATCTTACCACAAATAAGTTTCTTCTAGCCTCAAGTTCGGCATTTACAACGAAACCACCTAATGTTGAATCAACTTCCAATCCTGAGACATAAGCCATATTCGTATTTGCCTCACAACCAACGCATACCACAATCTTAAGTTAAATAATAGATATATCTCTTATCAAATATTAGCATAAATATATTATGTATAATTACAATATCCGTTAAGATTATCGATCCATTATTAAGTTTTAATTTAACTGAATTTTCATCCCTATAAGCTTTGATCACAGATGAATCTGGAATAACGCAAACACCTGTTGCCTCAACTTTTTTTGTAGTCCACTTGCTTAAATAATCTGGCAGTATTTTGGACATATTTCCCGACTCGGGAAATATTTGATAAACCTTCATACCACATTCTTTTGAATAATTTGCCAATGAGCATGCCAATTCACTTCCAATAAAGCCATTGCCAATGATAGCAATATTTTTTCTCGCATCTGCATATTTTTTAAGACGGTCAAAATCTTCAGGTGACCTGTACACCATTACTCTTTCTCTGACACTCGGTGGAGCGTTACTGAATACTTCTAAATTTTTTGGTGCACAGCCTACAAAATGAAAACAATAAAAATTATTTATTTAAACTATCAATGCCAGAAAATCTTACCAGTTGCAATGAGGCATTCATCGTAAGCAATTTCATAACCGTCACTTAACACAGCTATTCGTTTTGCTGGGTCAATTCTTTTTACTGTAAAACCTTGAGCTACGGCAATTCCACCATTAATACTATCCATTAATTTAGTTGGATCAACAAAAAACTCATTAGGTTCAAAAAATATACTACGTTCTGCACCCGTCCATTGCTTGAAACGATAATCTTTTTTATCAGCTTCGTCTTGTGCAGAGTACCATAATTCCTTTGATAGAGGTGGACGCATGTAAGGTTTGTTAAATTCATTTGTAATCATCAAAACCTAATATATTGTAAATGAATTAAAAATGTAAGAAAACTTTTGAATTTCGTACCTTTGCTGTTGGATCATTTGATTTTATCGCACGGAATGCGGAAAATGAAGCAGTTCCACCTCCTATCAGCAAATATGGAACATGATTTGGTAAGTCGGCTGAACTCAATGGCACTAAAATTTAAAAGTTAGAATTATACTATTCTTATAAGAAAAAATATATAGAGTACTTGTTTGTTGTCCTATCATAGCAGCAGAAGCTTTATCTCCAGAGTCTTTATCGTTATCACCTGACAACAACCAATAAAGCTTGAAAAAAATATTAATATTATATATTAATATTGATAATCTTAATATTTTAAGAGAAATATTAAATTTACCAGTCCTCCTGCACCAAGCGCAGCCAACGCACCAAGTAGAATTTTACAAGTTCTAAGGCTTCCTGCAAGTTTGCTACAATCATCTCCGTCTTTTCCATCGCCATCGTCAGGGCCGCCAAAACCACAAGGATTGGCTGCAGCTGCAGCACTTTTAGCACAAGGGTTTCTCTTAGCAGGTCTTTTACAAGGATCATAAGGCTCCTCGATACATCGGGGGGCCTGGCTTTTTGGCTTGGAACTGCTTTTAGACTGAGATCTGGGGCAGTCAGTATATCTGTAACTGCCACTAGCCATAGGAGAGACATGAGACCTACTACTGGTATTCCATCTTCCACAGGGATCGTAAGGATCTGCATCTTCTTCCATTTCGCCAATATTTCCACAAGGACTGATACTTTTACTACTTTTACTAATTTTGTTAGAACCGTAAGATGATGTACCATCTCTGCCTGTATAAGACGGTGTGCAGTCTCTGCCTGTATAAGAAGATGTGCCATCTCTACCTGTATAAGATGATGTGCCATCTCTACCTGTATAAGATGATGTGCCATCTCTACCTGAATAAGATGGTGTCCCATCTCTACCTGAATAAGATGATGTGCCATCTCTACCTGTATAAGATGATGTGCCATCTCTACCTGTATAAGATGATGTGCCATCTCTACCTGTATAAGATGGTGTGCCATCTCTACCTGTATAAGATGATGTGCTATCTCTACCTGTATAACATGGCGTGCCATCTCTACCTGTATAAGATGATGTGCCATCTCTACCTGTATAAGATGATGTGCCATCTCTACCTGTATAACATGGTGTGCCATCTCTACCTGTATAAGATGATGTGCCATCTCTACCTGTATAACATGGTGTGCCATCTCTACCTGCATAACATGGTGTGCCATCTCTACCTGCATAAGATGGTGTGCCATCTCTACCTGTATAACATGGTGTGCCATCTCTTCCTGTATAAGATGATGTGGTATCTCTACCTTTACAATCTACACCTCTTAAAAGTTCCGTATTCAATGAAAGTTTTCGTTTGTTTTTATCCTAAAAAGAGAAAATAATTAATTTTTACAAATAAAAAACCGAGACGGTTGCTTGCTTGTGATTTTTTCTTGTACACTGAGCAATCGTCTTCTCTTGATTGATAAGAATTTTGATTATAAGGAGGAGAGCAAGTGGAATCGGAAGAAGCGGGAAGTTTGGTGGAAACACAGGGTTCGTTATTTGGATGTTTGTTACACTGTAATTTAGTTCGAGCTTCCAATGTGCGTTTTTTTACCATTTGATATAAACTATTATGTGCACCGCGTGATCCAACTGAAAAGAAACGTACAATAACTAATATGCCCAATTTTGAATAAATCATCAACACTTTAACAGAAATGTAATAACAAACCAATAACATCGCTTAAATAACATTAAAACATAACCTCAACTTACCTGTGCCCGGTACATTGCCATTTGCCAATATAACTGCCCGCCGACAAAATTTAAACCTCGCGCACCTGAACACACAAATACTCATTGCAATTTTAAATGCTTATGTATATAAATGCAATCAAAAATAAAAATGTTTAATTCAATAATCAATAAAAAATAAAATGACTCCTAGGAATGTTGCACTATTCCTGCTTGCTCTTCTTTTCGTGTTCAATTCGGCAATCAAAAATTATTTTGACACTTATTGGCGCAATGACGTTTGAGTATGACAGCTCGCTTTTCTCAGCAACTCCCGCCGCTAGTGATGCAATTAATGACCTAGGCATGTGTACTCGCTGGCAAAGAGTTGTTGAAAAATTTGTCGCAAATGCTAGTATAAAAACGTGTCTGCCGTTTTATACTATTTCGAATGGTTAACCATTGGCCTACAAATTTTGAAATTTTATGATATTTTTTTTATAATTCAATATTGTTGTCAAACATAAAATTTAAAACGTTGAAATATATTTAATATGTAAAACAATTTTTATACATTTCGTTTCACAAATCTATTTTACATCATTATTATTATTTTTTATATGGTAACTGTATGATAAATGCATATACATATGCCTATATATATATATATATATATATATATATATGTGTGGGTGAGAAGCAATTTTTTATAAAATAATTTTCTAACATACGAATTTATAATTGGAACTGATTTTATGATATGGCTACTAGTATAGAAGAGGCAAATATTTTATATATTATATAGAAACTTCAAGTGTAACATATCTAGAAATGGAACTCTGTTATTATAGTCTTTAATATATCAAAAATATTATATATATGTATTCTAGTACTAAGAAATTAAAAAAAAAAACATGTATGTATTATGTAGCGAGCATTGAAATCTCCCATTTGGTTTACCATCAACTTAGCCTAACTCGCACACGTCCTTAATAGTTCTCCAAATGTTAAAATTCTGAATATCTGAAATCAATGTAGATGAGGCATTAATGTCATTCTAATTTATACGGCGTTTACATTGTGAGATTAAAAATAAATTAAACCAATAATCGAGATTAAAGTACTAATCTCGTGGTTTAATTTTAGATTTCCCATACAAAAGTTGATCTCCTTTTGGTCGAGACTAATTTTTTATTTCTCTAGATTTCTCTAATGATTACCTATCTGTGCAATTCTGCAAATGGTTTAATATCGTAGATTTTTTTACGATCTTAGAGGAATTGGAAAAGAAAAGTTAAATTCTATTTAAAATAAACATTGAATATTTAAGAGTAAATTTTTAACACATTTGTTTAAAAATAGTTTTGTACATAATTATAAATAAAATTTGTTATATTATTGTTATAAAACTAATTATTAAATTTATATTTCCTCTTTTTTGTACAAAATTGTAATTAAATGCTTTATGTACAAAAATTTATCAAACATACGAAACAAAACACTACAAGAGAAACACCAAAATTAATCTCCGAAATATAATGTAAACAGTAGAGATTAAAAATGCAGATTAACTTAATCTCGTTCTCTTAGTTAGATAGTGTTATGGACAATTTACACAATGAGATAAAATTAACTGAAAAAACAAACTGTGTTTCGAATTTAGTTCCTAATCAAAATTCATGATAGCTACCAATAATATTATAGGTCTGTTTCACGAGCTACTCGTAGTAACTTAGTTTACACAAGTGTGTTCCATCAGCAAATTTTCTAGTAAATGAGAGAATCTGAGAGAGCGTAACATCTTGTCGAAAATTGAAAATGCTACACAGACTTTACTTGTACATTTTATTTCAAGTAAAATTCGTGTTGATTTGTGAATCAGCTGTTTTGGTTTGAATTTAAATTTTCGAATTGTTTATTTGCTCGGCACTGGTAAAATTAAAAAGAATCTAAAATTTTATTTGTAGCAACTGTTATAAGTAAACAGTGAAATGGATAAAAACATAATAAATATTTTGTTAAGTGAACTAAGTATTACAATAGAACTAGAATATAAAGTAATCAATACATTTCGAGACATTGACTCTGATGATGATTTAGAATTGGTAAATTTATTATTATATAAAAGAAAACGAAAACGAGTGTGTGTAAAAAATTATATACAAGATATTGTTTCGAAATATGACGACAAGGTATTCAAAAGTCATTTCCGCATTTCGCGGAGCCTTTTTAATTCTTTAATTATAAAATTCATGGCTTCGAACCGGAATTTTTTCCGTTTCAGTGCAAAATAAAAAAAATATATGTTCGGTTGCGGTTGTTCTGACATAAATATCGATTTCTTTATGTTTTCGGTTCGGTTTCGACCCGGTTTTAAACACAAAAAATATATCGGTTAGGTTCCGGTTTTCGGTTCACCAAAATATTGGTTTTTTCGGTTCGGTTTCGGTTCGAAACACTAATAAAATTCTCCCTTTAGCAACAAACTGCTGCGATATGATACAATGTGTAAATTATTATTATAAAATTTTTCTGTTTTTCATAATGTATTTTGCGCTCTCATTTTTCAACTTCTATTTCTGTTTTATTTTTCAAAAAACAGCTGTTCTCACCAGACTTTACGAAAAGCTGTTTCATGAAAATTTGTGTAAAAAGCGTAATCTGGCATTTTATTTATGTTACGCTCTTAGTTTGTATTTTACTTATGTTTTACTCGAGTTTTACTACGAGTAGTTGGTGGAACAGGTCTAATCTGCTATTGACCCTTGTTTTACTATTGAAATCAACAATAATTTGTTATGACAGCTAAAAATAGAATCGAAACTCTCGTGTGAATTCAATATTAGAATTGCGTGATTGAGCTTTATTTGCACAACATATTATCAACTATTTTGAAAAATTTTTCATACAAAATCTTAACTTGCTAAAGACATGCTAAATATTTAATTTCATCTTCTCAGCTATTGTCATCGTTTTAGGGACGATTTTAAAAGTTTTAGAGAACTCTGATTTATTCACATAACATGCACTTATGATGTTTATATTTAGCATTTCAGTACGATGATAGAAATCATGCTAAATAAAAATTGTGAGAATTCCTGGTATAATGAACCTTACTTTCATAGTCATTTGCTTGTAATTTCAAATATGTATTCTATGCGCTCTTTACGATATGTGCAATGTGCACGTCCCAATTTGAATTATATGGCAATAGTGGAGGCCGTTGAAATTAATTCGTAGAGTAGGTTAAAACTTCTTGCTAACCAGCTAAAGAATCAGAAATAGTAATAATCTACCTAAAAAGTTGAAGAAAATGTAACCTTCAATAGCACACCAATTCTATCAACTAGGTCTCTAAACTGCTATTGCTAGCAATGGGTCTATGCGTGATATCTTGGTGCCAACCAATTCATTCTAATCTAATGTGAATAAAATAAAAACAAACTGTGACTGAAAATTTCATGTATCATTAACTAAATTCTATATTTTAATTTTTGACTGCAAAGGAAAACAACTACACAAGTACATCTGTTTGTGAACAGTGAGTAGAAATTCTATGCGCTGTTCAATTAGGTCCCTCTAAATATGGACAAAAAAAAACGGTCAATCGATGTCCGAATTGACGGCTGGAATTATAAATCCCTCCTTAAAATAATTTAATTATCATTTAAGTTTAAAAATAAATGTTCCCCAAAAAAAAAATAAAGTATATTAGATGCTATTTAGTTTACTACTTTGAAAGCTCCGATGAAAAGTCATATCTCTTAACAATACAATGTTGTAAGTCCCTAGTTTTCATTTTTCATATCAAGTACATTCTTTTAAATGGATAGTTAACTCCCAATCATAATTGCCGGTTCTATCAAAGAGCTTTCTGATTAAAGATTAACCGATTAAAACAGCTTTCATTATTTTTTTTTATTTTGAAATTATTTTATGACAGTAAGAAGTACAGGTAAAGAGTTAATGGCTCAAAGGTTAAGAAAAAAGATTAAATAAAAGATGTACGTTAACTGGCCATATATGAATGTAAAACTAAATTAGTATTTTATTTAAGTTTAAATTTTAAACTTAATTTGTGGCATAAAAAACATACCCAGAGAACGAGTAACATTTCAGTAGTCTACTGAGGTTATAGTTACACCTATTGACAATGGTATTTCTATATCTCACGTCCAGGCTGACATCCTTCTTGTTATAACTGGCAGTGCCAATATAGATAAAAATCTTGACAACTTTGAAATTATCGTCACCAATCACTAGCTTACCATTAAGAGATATACATTTCTATTAATACCTAATATATACTTTGTTCTGCCCTCATTTACAAACAAGTTTATGCAAATATTATTTTTCAATAGCAGAAAGGTTGTAGTGACACATCACACTTTCAACATCCAATGATATAACTATAGCAGCGAATGAAAAGAGTTGGACATATTTGTAGAATTATGTGTGGTGCCATTACCATTATGGTAATCACCTATCCTGCGCACGATCATTTGCATGATGAAGTAAATTAATTGTTAACTGTAGAATTAACTGTAGAATATATTTTTGGATACTTAATAAAAAAAGGGTTTAAGAAAACCGATTATATTTCTAAGCGCAATTCGTCTATATTTACTAAATATCGCTCACCACTTACAATTTCACCTTCGGCAAAGATATTGCATCTATACGGATTGGAACACGCAACATTGAAGCATTGAAAGCCAGTGTATTCATCTTCCTTATTTGTTAGAGTATTTATTGTAGGTCACCTTTATTATATGAATGAATGAATATATACCACGCTTTTAATGCAAAATGAAAATATTTGACAGCTAAAATTACAATCAAAACTCTCGTGTGAATCCAGTATTATACACGACAACAGTTCAGCAGCTACTAATTCTTATTTTCAATGTACATTACTGTGATGTGCTAAAAAGTTTCGATACGGTTTAAGTATGCGTTTCGGTTCGAATTTAGATGAGTAGAGATGTTATATAAACGGGGTAACAGTTCTTTAAAAAAATAATTATATTTTTGACTTTTCAACAAATTTCTTGATAATGATTGCAACATCGCCTACTTCTTTAACATAGGCCTACTACTTCTTTCAACATAGATTTAAATTTAATTTTGCTTAGAAATATGTTAGATGGTATTAAATTATGATCGAGACATTTCACAGAACTCGAAAAATCGATCTGGTGTCGTACTTACAATTGAGTTGATTGGGTTGAGTTGGTTAAGTTGATTTCATTGTTTTATATAGTCCGCATTCACTTCATTGCTGGTCTTTGCCATTTTTGCGACAGTAGCCCGATTTCACGTTTATAAAACATGTGATCATTAAAATATATAAATAACATATTGTTATAGTTATAAACAATTCGTTATTATATACTTTTATTAATCTTCTGGTGCAATAATAAACTAGAGAAAGCAGTTTTCAATTGATCAGAGTCCTGTGAGCTTAATAGACCTTTTATACCGCAAGCGAATTCAAAACTGAATAGAAGACTTCTTTCCTGTTCAACGAAGACTTGAATTGCTGGAGATTGCTGAATCAAAAAGCACATTTGTAGATAAATAAACGAATTACTTTCTTCTCCGTATTTTCAAAAAAAAATAGTGTACCCTATATGACACATTTTTCTTCAGTGTTAAACTGAAGGCAAGTATTGCTAGTGAAGCGTCTCAAATCGTATCGATATCTGTTTTCACAATTACAGAATTAGCACTTGTGTGTTAGATGGTGTATAGGTAATTGTCCTACAAATTATGCTCTTTAAAAAATTATCATAACACTAACGGGATGACGTAGGATTATCTTCACAGAAACACATAATATATTAGTTCTACAATCAAAATAAAGTATTTATCTAATACTTCATGTTTCCGATAATTTTTTAGATTCGAGTTATACACAAGATATACCTCGGATAAGAGTGGTCATGCGATGGAGTTTTAATAATGTTGCGTTACTTGAATTTTGTCTTACAATCCGCATTGCTACTAAAAATTTTACACAATCTATCTGAATGTAATAGTTCATCAAATTCTTTATTGTAGGTCTGTTAATTTTATTATAAAGATCTACTTCGTGAAACTGCATGGCTGAACCAATTTTTATGTCATTATCTGTGGCTTAATTACCAGCAACTGTCGCGTAAGCCATTACACACTAAAGCACCATTCATAGTGTCATAACAATTCAATAGAAGTCTGAAAGCTGATCTTTAAGAAAATAGTGTATTGTACGCTGGTTCATTATTTGTGTAGATACAGATGTAGTGACATTTTAGACTTTTGAAGAGGTTAGAGCGAGCACTGATTTTAATGACGTGATAGATCTTCTAATTGAGAAATGATGGTTCACGCATCCAGTATAACCGAGACTTTATGTCCTTTACCAGAGATCAATCATTCTTCATGATTTATTGGTATATAGTTTGGGTCACTATTGGTCTCATTTTATAAAAGCAACAGCACACTTTTGTAAAATCTTGTGCAAATAGGGTTTAAATCTGCCGTTTAGATTATCGTTTCCAACAGTTAATTAAGGAAATTAAATTTAAATTGTAATTGTTGAGTATGTATTCATCCAAATATATTTTGCGAATTTGCTGTAGCAAATTCGACCGGTGCTGCCGGTAGCTTGTTATGGTGTGTCGAGTTCAGGATTCTCCACAAGCATACGATCCTTTGCGTAACCCTACAAAAAAAAAAACAAATCGCATTATTTTAGTCTCAACTTAACTTCACTGAAATGTCAAATTGCACACTTTCATATATAAACTTATAAAGACGGAATGGGCCATATTGTCTAACTGTTGATTCCTTTTATACCAAAGAAGTAATCATATTGCTAATAGTAATCATATTGCTATAAAATTACTGGTGTGGCAACTTGTTTATTTTTAGAGAATTATAGACTTATCACACCTCCAGATGAAATACCAGCATACAGTGATTTTCTCCAATACTGAATGCCAAAAATATAGTTGGCATTGCGAGTAGTGGAGAGTTATGGACAGAAATTGGTTACATCGATTTCAGGCTTGGGGTTTATACTTTTGCTGTTAACTCCGCTCCTGTTGTCTATTATTGCATTTGGCATTCAAAGCCACAATCACAAAACCTCCACTTGCGAAGCTTTGAAAGCATTAGCAGTGACAACTTTAGTGCTGATAAAATGTTAAGCCATAAACACAGCAAAAAATAAAGAAATAATAAGAGAGTGCATTGAAGAACATTCAAATCATTTCTTTACTGGGAAGCGTGTCGGAGTGTGTGTGTCTGTGTGTGCTGTGTGCTTATGTGTGTATTGTTGCTACTGGTGTTGCAGTGTTGTATTACGTATGATTATGATTTATTTGCTTGCAGTGTTTATTCCAATACTTTGTTTACAAATGCAACCGCACATAGTACAGAGCACGCAGCCCACAGCACACACTTGGCACATGCAGAGCCACTTACACGTTACACGGACGCACACACGAACAGCTGATTCACGTTTTATAGTGCGCTAAGTGAGCTAAGTGCGAGGGGTTTAACCTTGCTTTGACCGTCATGATAGTTTTATTTATTATTATTATATATTTTTCACATAAGTTTTTGTTTGTCAATCTATTTATTTTGTTTATATTATTTTGTCTAATAAGTTTTATTAATTGGGATTGTTATTGTTGTTATTGTTGTTATTGTTTCGGTTTGATTTGTTTTTATTTTCAACTTAAGATCGAAATTAGAAATGAACTATTGTTAATAAAAAGTTGAAATATTATTGCTGACGGGAAGAATAAATTATACTAAAGACATTGTTGTAGTCGTGCTCAGTCAGGAGTGGAGATAAGTGAACGCACTTTTAGACTGCTCCATATATATGTATATGTACATATAAACAAACTAAGTATGGGGTTCTGAAGAATGTAGAATATAAAGCATTTGGATATATTTGCATTGCTGCTTAGTGTAGGGTAACCAAATTATATACATAAGTATATGTATGTAAACCACATATTCTTTTGAAAAATGTTATTGATTTGAAACAATTTTCCAAAGTTTACAACAATATTAGTAAATGTTGAAAAGGTTTTATCATAAAAAAAATCAATAAATTTTTTTATTCTTATTAACTAACTGCGAAAAATTCATAAACACCCATTCGACTTAGTAACAAGTATTTAACTACATGCAAATATAACCACCAATGGTCATATATCTTAATAAAAAGTACTGAAGTACCTACAAAAAAGTTATCAGCGGTTGCATATTTTAGTAAACAGTGCTAAACTTGTACTACAAAAAATGCATTTATATAGTTTATTAAAATGTACTAAACTACTTATAAATATAATCATCAATAGACAAATACTTTAATAGACAGTATCAAGCTACCTACAAATTGTTAGTGGGTATATCTCTAATGTGATATATCTTAGTACTAAATACTAAGGAATCTACTATCTAGTTTACATGTTTTGATAAAATGTACTTAATTTCTTACAAGTATTATATGTAACATCAATGGTTACATATCTTGATAAGTAGTAGTAAACTAGTACTGATAAGTAGTGCTAAAATGCCATAGCTGTAAGCTTTATATATATATATATAATATAATTGTTATTAATATCTAAGTAATACAACAAATTTAAAATGAAGTAAAAATAAAGCTAATAATACTACTATATATTATACATGTTATTTTATATTATAAAATATATTATTATATATCATATATATATTATATATTACTATCAAATAATTTCCAAAAAAATAAGTCTCATATATATATATGTATCATTCAAAGGCAACACTCAAAAATATTAAGGACCATCGTCAATGTAGATTGGTATATACCAAACAACGAAATTCATAAAGACTTAGGCGTTGAGCTATAACCGAGGTGATAAAGACGACCAGTGCAAAACACATAACTTGACTATTTACACATTAAAACTCGGAACTCCAGATATACCGACGAAAGCATCAGCTCAACACAGAAAACTCAAACGCTCACTCCTAACAGACTTGCTAAATATTATTATCTAATGTGAATATTGTTACATATGAGTCCTATTGAAAACAATTGTATTTGTAAAATATTGATTTGTACGTATTATTATATTGATTTGATTACGTATAATTATAAATTATATAATTATAATTCAATAATAATTTAATTAATAATTAATAATAATAATTATAATAATAATAATAATTAATAATAATTAATCATTTAATTTATAATTATAAATTATATTATAATTTTATATAAAAAAAAAAAATATATATATAAATAGTGCTTAACCACTAACAAAATATTTAACAGATATCGTGTACTTTTCTTTAGAGGTATTGAACTAAAAACAAGAAAGAAGTCATCAAATGGTATATATTTTAGTCAAAAGAATTGAATTACTTACAAAAAAGTATCGAATGACATAACTTCTGGTAAAAAGTGCTAAACTATTACTAGCAAGACATTAAATCCTATAAACTTTGTAAAGAGAATAAATATATATCATCAAACGCATTCCATAAGTAAGGTAAGTTACTAAACTACTTAAAAATAAGTTTTTAAACGTCATTTGTCTTAATACCATGTTATGCAGAGAGTCATGGCCACGTTAAATCCGAAATAGTTGTTATCTCCAATGTAAATCAAGAAGTATAAAATGAGAGCAAAAGAGATATTTTGATTAAATTTTGGTAAACTTTCTGTAATAAATATCAGAATTTAGGCCTTTTAGAAGCAAATATGTATATTTTTATATGGTTATGTTGATATGTTCTTATAAAAAATATTACTTTTTTAATTTAAGCAAAATCAAAAGGTATTATTGATATAGGTAATTTTAATTTAACAGTCAGTGCCGTAACCACTGATTGTCATGGGACTGTCCGCATAACTTATCTCTTAACAAAAATTAAAATAAAAAATCAGATTATTTCAAAAATCCACATTTCGATATGTTTTACAGACGTGGTGGATAAAGCGATAAATATTCAGAAAATACCGAACTATTCCTAAATAGATTTAAACTTAATCTAGTCACTCAGGAGAAGACAAAGCCTCCATTTATTTTAATGTCTCGCATACTGCATTTTACTTACCTTATAATATATGAACTCTTTTTAATGTTTTTTATTTTGGTTTTACTCCCTAAATAATTTTCTCCATTTTAGCTATAAATTGAGTTTTCTTAGATAAAATATATATATATATATATATATATATATATAACTTTGATGATTTTTTGTGTCTTTCGAGAGCGACATTTGAAAAATCTTCCATAGATTTTTCCCTCTAAGAAATTTTATTCATTTCGATTAAGAAGAATTTAATTAAACGAATTCTTAATTTATTCATTGTACCTAAATAGAGACTTTTTTTGGGAGTGATGCATAAATTTTCTCCACCAATTATATAGAGAACTTTGTAGCTTAGAAAAGTTTAAACAACTCTATAACTTGATTCCCAAAATAACTTCTACATCAGTCAAAGTTGTGACTTACCTTACTCAAGCTTCTGATATTAATATTAAAGAATTATTATATTATTTTAAACTATAAAAGTAGCACATTTTTGACATATGGCGACAATATTTATATTAATGGACACAACTACGTTCTCCAAGCGAGGCGAACGAAGCGGACAGTAACTAAGTACTTACTAAGTGACTTACTGTGTCTTACAACCTACGCCACTATTTATAGTTACTATCAAGTAATACAGGATAGCGATTCAGTGGTTACTTTATATAGGTCATGTTATAAAAATTGACTTTAAGATTGACTTTAATACTAACAAAACATATTATTAAATTGAACTCTCCTCTACCGGCCTAGATAATTGGATTTGATGGTCGGCGGCTGACGTGAATGATTTTCATGCGCTTATCACGTCTGATCATAATAGTTTTTCGTGATTGTTTATTGCGGCAAAAAGTTTTTTAATTTCTTTTTTACTCTGTTGGCTTAAAATTTAAAACAAAATTTCAAACTAACAAGAAGAAAAGAATAATTCAAAAAAACATTTCTGAAATTTGCTTTTAAATTATTATTTTCATGCTTAGTGTTAAACCTTCGTAAATTCCATTAAATAGAAGTACCGTTCTCTTCTCTTCTATTCGTATTCAATATGCCATGTATCTTATAGATGATTCCGAATCAAAATTGATCTGGAAATATATGTATGTCTCTATACTCTACAGAGCCGAATGTACACATTTGAGTCATTGCCTAGCAAAACGTCGGTGTTTTGATATTTAATCTTTCAGTTATTCTTTGGGGTGCTTTTATTTATTGGTATTTTTAAATTTATGGTCTAATAGTATGCGAAACATGTACAGAACTTTGAAATTCCATCTTTATCAAACCGTCTTAGGTTAAGCCATTTTATATAGACTCTATGGCGCTTAGCTATGAAAAATAGACCTAGACGTTCCTAGAACCTATAATTCATATTATAAATGAATTTATTTTTCTGATTTGATGGTTGAAAATCGATGCATTTAAACTATATAATACCAATGCAACGGATTAAGTTGCTGTACCAATATTAGTACAATATATGTATATGAAAATAATGGACATGGAAATTTAGAATTCATAAGATGGGTAAGTAAATATATGGTTGTTATTTTATTTAATTGGAAATGTTACACTTAGCTTAGGTAAGACCATTATGATACTAATTTATTTACATATAGACATAACTTATATATATTTAAATTATAATATCTATGAACAAAATAACATATTCGCATTATCGAGTTGTGATTTAGATTATGTATTATTTAATTAGATATGGTTTTCTCATACGACAAGACATCTACCTATTTCGAAAGAAAAGGGGTATAATAGTGAAGCAATGTTTAAAATATTTCAAAATATTTTATTTTGTTTTAATCAAGTGAGTAAGTTCTTAAGGCGACCATACAACTGTTTCGGTTATCACCAAAAATCCATCGTAAGCGATAACATCTGTTCATTTATCTGTTCAGTAATTGGAGTGTAATTATCACAAATTGAACTTTATCAAATTTCAAGTAATATAATTATTCCGTATTTGAATTCAACCATCAAGAATATTAAAGAAATTATTAACCTCCAAGTTCTGATAGATCTCCATGAAATCAAGTCCGGTATCTTCAATTCTCATAAATTGTCACAGTACCTACTACTCGGAGAAATAGTGGTACGCAGTCCTTAAAGAAAATATAGTATTCTATAATCACTCAGTATCGTTAATATGTCTGTTTTTGTTGTTCATCCATCTTGCAGTTTTTCTGAATAACCTGTATCAAATAAATAGACATAAAAATCATAACATCAGAAAAAACTATCTGAGCGTTAAAAGTGACTAATCCACTCTTTTAAGTGAATATCCTACTTTAAACAAGCATACCCAGAGAATTACATTACGCTTTATCTGTATTATGTACTTTACAAGTACAAGGTCGAGCCCCCAAAACTTTTATTTGTTTACAGTACTATAAATATAATAAATTTTCTCGGCGCTTTAAGCGCTCCTCAAAGACATTAAGCTTACCCAGAATAGTTCGCTGCTCCCATATATTGTATATTATGTAAACAGTATCTCAATTGTAGCATATTTTTATAGAAGTCTGTATGGCACATATATACTTGTATGCATGAAGAAACGATGATTCCTCTATGTATGCAATATGTGTACGAAGAGCGTAGAAGCTATGACAATTCTACACATTCACCGAATTGTCTGTAATGGCATATTTGTTTAAAAGCAAATCGATCTGCTTCGGGCACGATAATTCAAGATTCATGCAGATATTTCTAGAAGCTTTTTCTAAATTGCCTAAATTTATTAAAGATCAATGTCATATGTAAGATCGCAATATATCAGAACTGAATAAAATGGAAACATAGTGAACTTAAGAAAGACAATACTTTCGACAATAGTCGACAATAGTCGTTCAAGACATTTAAATATGTGATTGTAAACCTCGCACTGCTAATACTGAAAGATGTCCATCTGTGTGGCCCCTAACCATCGATGCGAAAAGCGAATAGTGTATACAATTTCGGAAGTGAGTTTCTAGTTTTCTAGTTTTCTAGCAAACTTTCTAGCATATAGAATCACAGGGGCGCCTTAATACCTATTCAATTTCGCAGCGAAGCATCTGAGTAAAATGAATCAAATTTTTAATACTGCTTCACCGAATTCTATTTGCGCGTACTTTCAAGTGTTCTATTGCATTAACATAGAGATAAGATTTCAATAATATCCCTTAGTTATTTTTTTTGCTTATTTTTTGATATTTGCGACGTAAGTCTTGTCGTATTTTCATATGCTGCTCATCTGTAAAGGTTGTGATAAGGCGAAGCTACAACGATAGAAGCAGCGAGAACCGAGAACCGAGAACCGTCTTAAATGAGCTACCCTGTGACAATTCAGAAAGCATTTGATTGCGATCAAAGACGTATGTCGGTTAATTGCGTACATTAAGTATACTCGCGACGTGTTCAATTGCGAACTACGGGCAGTAAAAAAAACTAGCCTAAACAACCTAAAGAGCAGAAACTTCATGTTCTAGCAGTTGAAGTCTGATATATCCTGCGCATCAAAAACCTGATGCTATTTCGTTAGTGTGTCATATAAAATACGTGATCCATTCAACGATACTTGAATTTCGGTTCTTCCTAGCAATAGTTGGAGATATTTTGTATTCGCACACTCGTAAAACAACGGCGTTATCGCGGTACAAATCTCAAGATTTGATTCTTCACTTTAATTAAATCAATAAATTTTCAATAAAACTGTTCAGTTTTAGTGTGAAATCCACAGTGAACTTGGATACTCAAGACTGCGCTTATCAATAATTGACAATAAACAATAAAACATTGAAAAGAAGACGAAAGCAAAATCATAATCAAAGTACATTCAAAACAATAACAACTTAGACGATTTATTAAAAGAGCTCTCTAATAATCCAAAGTAATGGAAACCGAAATTATCATCACCACAAACTCTTCGGAGCCCACGACCAAAGCAAGTTTAATTGTTGTGTCCAATCGTTTGCCGTTTATTTTGGTCAGGAATGCTAAAACAGAAAAATTGGAACGAAAAGCCAGGTAATAACTAATTATAAATCACTTATACAATAAGGGCCAGGAAGTGTACATCCTTTCTGTTTCAATAACTTCTTTCAAGTGCCTCAATTTGGTGTTTGTTGTAGTGTTATAGTGCTTAGCTTAATACTATGGCCAAAGGCAGTTCATTTACAAAAAAAAATAATATATTTATATAAAAAAGTATTAAATGAGACAGACATTCGAGCTAAGTATTTCCAGAAATTTAATAGACTTTGGCTTTCAAAGCTTTGTGCAATTTAAGATTACAAAATAAAGAAAGAATAACAAAACATCAAATTACTTTCTAATCTCTCTGAAAGTAATACGAATGGCATTGAACCTATAGATGTTTTTATTAAGACTAGTTCAATTGTCCATTATTTGAATTCAAACTGTGCAACTTAACCTTAAAAAGTTATTACTATATACATTATTTAAGATGCTGTGTAAATACCGATTCCAAATCAGTTTGAACTTTGCTTCCGTCACAAACGTTTTCAATGCTAATATTAGTGCTTCTTGTGAATTTTTCTACTTTTATTGTGCCTTATAAAACTAAGCCTACAGATAGTACCAAGAAATCCACAAGACATCAAATCACAACCCAAGACAGCTTGGAGCTCGGCGCCTAAGAAATACATTAGTAGAACAACTAAAGGCCAAGAAAAAACAACTTTCAAAAGAATCAATATTTGTACAATTCAACTTAAGTTCTTTGGTTTATATAAAGACCCAATACTGATTGGGTGGCATTATAGCAACATCACACTTCAATGTAAACAGATCTACCGCCAAAGTATAAGAGATTTCTTCACAGCTAAAAATGATTTCAATCCGAAGTTCAAAAGTAGGCTGCTGTTACTTGTAATTATTCTTATCACTTAATGATCACTTCACGTACATAGGCAGAGTTCCGCTTGCAAAGTAGTAGTTCGTGGTATATAGGAAATTTTATGTACCTTCTTACATGTACACTCGCGAATATGAAGCTGTGAAATTTGTATCTATCTCATTGTGTAGAGGTTCGTTAGTTAATCGGTTGTGTACCAATACTCGTTCGATCGATATAGGGGCGCATTGCTTCTGGGTTGCTTGCGTTTGAAAACGTAATCTGGTTTATATGTGTGAAACCGTGTTTAGTACAAATACTATAATAATACTATAAGTAGACATATTGATACATGCTGATCGATTAGCTAATTCGTTATTATTTCTGTTATCATTTAATTTACTATTTTTTTCCACTTTGCTTTGTTCAGTGCTGGCGGCCTTGTAACTGCAGTATGTCCTGTGGTGATCAAGGGTAAAGGTCTCTGGGTTGGTTGGCCTGGTATTCACCTTGCAGACAGTTCTGAGCCAATTCCAGAATCGAATCCAAACGATCAAACACCTACCGCAGGCTTAAAATCAGAACAGGTAAGTCGCCCAACACCTTTTCAGTAGTGCTTCAAAGTATCTGAGCATCGAACTGATTTATCAATTTGAGTATACGACAATTCGAATACTTGAAATGTTCGAATATGATCGAGCTAGTTGAACTTATTCGACCTATTCGAAAAATAATATGTTTTGCTTAATTTTTTTTATTTTATTATTCAATTCATATATTTAATTAAAATGCTCGTAGCTTAAATAAATTCGAATAATATGTTCGGCGGCAATATTTAATATTTAATAGACAATATTTAATAGCAAAGTAAAAAGTTCCAACTACTTGAGCTGTTTTTTTTTGCTTTTAATTTTTTTTGCAGGTTGTGTCGGTTAATATAAATCCAACAATTTTTGATAGTTACTATAATGGTTGCTGCAACAAAATTTTTTGGCCCTTATTTCACTCAATGCCTGGTCGCGCTACATTTGGCGCCGATCACTGGAAGAATTATGTGATAATAAATAAACATTTCGCCACTCGCACTATTGAAGCCTTGGAAAAATGTTTAGCCAAAAATAATGGTACCGACAAGAATCCACCTATTGTATGGATACATGATTACCATTTGATGCTTGCTGCGAATTGGGTACGTGAGGAGGCAGAGGAAAAGAATCTAGCATGTCGATTGGCGTTCTTCCTGCACATACCATTCCCACCATGGGATATTTTCCGTTTATTTCCATGGTCTGATGAAATTTTACAAGGAATGCTTGGATGTGATCTTGTTGGTTTTCATATCACTGATTATTGTCTTAATTTTGTTGATTGTTGCCAACGTAATCTAGGATGCCGTGTAGATCGAAACAATCTTTTGGTTGAGCACGGTGGTCGTACAGTACGTGTGCGTCCTTTACCCATTGGTATTCCATTTGAAAGATTTGTGAGTTTAGCTAAGACTTCACCTAAAGTGCTAAAATCGTCAAAACAACAAATTATACTTGGTGTTGACCGTTTAGATTACACAAAGGGTCTTGTGCACAGACTAATGGCATTTGAGGTTTTACTCGAGAAGTATCCACACTATAAGGAGAAAGTCAGTTTATTACAAATTTCAGTGCCATCACGTACTGATGTCAAAGAATACAGGGAACTGAAAGAGGAAGTTGATAAACTAGTTGGGCGCATAAATGGTCGTTTCACAACAGCAAATTGGGCACCAATACGTTATATTTATGACTATGTTGGTCAAGATGAACTTTCTGCTCTATATAGAGATGCCGCTGTGTGTCTTGTCACTCCGTTAAGAGATGGCATGAATTTGGTTGCAAAAGAGTTTGTCGCTTGTCAAATTAATGAAGTTCCAGGTGTCTTAGTCATATCGCCATTTGCTGGTGCTGGTGAAATGATGCATGAAGCATTGATTTGCAATCCTTATGAAGTGCATGAAGCAGCTGAAGTTATTCATCGTGCGCTTACAATGCCTGAGGACGAGAGAGTGTTACGTATGGGTCGTCTTAGAAGACGTGAATCTGAATGCGATGTCAGCCATTGGATGCGTTGTTTCCTTAAAGCTATGGGCACATTGGAAATGGATGATGTAGGTACAACAACAATGCAACCAGTTACCATAGACGATTTTGATGATTATTTGTTAAAGTATTAAATTCGATTCAATGTTTAATCAATTCTTTGAAAATTGTTACTTTTTACAGATATATTGGATACAATCACAAATTAGCACTACTTTTAGATTATGATGGCACACTGGCACCAATTGCCCCTCATCCAGACTTAGCCACGTTGTCGCCAGAAATAAAAAATGTGCTTTTTAAGTTATCTAATCATTCTGATGTTTATGTAGCTATAATATCAGGAAGAAATGTGGACAATGTTAAAAAGATGGTGGGGATTGAAGGTATAACTTATGCAGGAAATCATGGCCTGGAAATTTTACATCCAGATGGTACTACATTTGTGCATCCAATGCCAATTGAGTATGAAAACAAAGTCAGTCTCTTGCTCAAGGCACTTCAAGATTCGGTAATTAGATAAATGTAAATTTTCCTCACATTCTTCTTATCTATTTAGATTTTTATTTCATAAAAGGTGTGCCGCGACGGGTCTTGGGTAGAAAATAAAGGCGCACTGCTTACCTTCCATTATCGAGAGACACCAAATAACTTGAGACCAGCAATGATAGAGAAAGCTCGCAGTTTAATTGAAAAATACGGATTTCGAGCCACAGAAACTCATTGTGCACTAGAAGCACGACCTCCTGTGCAGTGGAATAAAGGTAGAGCTTCTATTTATATATTACGAACATCATTTGGAGTAGACTGGAGTGAGCGCATTAAAATTATTTATGTTGGCGATGACTTAACTGATGAAGACGCTATGGTGGTCAGTACTGAATGAACGCATGTTATATAGAAGATATAGGCTTATAGTAAATTTTATTTTCTTTTAGGCTCTTAAAGGTATGGCTCGCTCATTTCGTGTTACATCGTCTGATATTGTAAAAACAGCCGCAGATCACCGCTTACCTTCAACCGATTCTGTTTATACCTTATTAAAATGGGTTGAACGTCAATTTATGGGTCGGAAAGCCCGTGCTAATTCACTAACATACCGTAATAGAAAAGAAGACACTGTTCAAACGCAAATGTCATTGCAAATCGCATCGAAATCAAACAATTTGGAAGTTCGAACCGATTGACAGACGAAGGAAAGATTATCTATACAATACTAACTATAACAATCATACAAATTTACCAAGTATATTTTTCATTCATTTTGGTGTACAAGTATATGCATTTCATAATCTAGTAAATAGATGATTATAAGATTTAAGTTAAATAAAAAATTTGCTGAAAAAAAGCTTTTGTACTGAACTCCAAAAAGTGATAAGACCAAAATAAATGATGTAGTATTAACAGAGCTGCCTCTGTAGTTCTGGTTTACGACAATGTTTGTGGTTATTGTAACCCATGGCGACCTGCTTAGCCATCAAAATTGACGAGTAGCTCCGGGACAGACCCGGCCATTCTCCAGTAAGTGACTGATATTAGTGTTTAGACGACTGTTATAAGGTATTGTTATAGGTTCAAGTATGAATGGTATATAACAACCTTTTAAAACCAGGAGCGATCGAATCCACGTCACCGAGTCACTTCATTGTACAGATAGGCAAAGAGTATTTATTTATACTAATCTGCTACAATAATTTTAAATTTCCAATTGAACGTAGATTTTTAGTTTTGTATAAGGAGTGTGCACTTTTTGATCCAATGCAGATGGTGTTCAGCCATGCATTGTTTATTATGACCCTTTAATTCTATAAACAGGCGGGTGCACATTCTAGAGCTACTTCTCTATACAAATGACTAAGTTTTACTCATTTTTCTATTGCCTATTATAGGGTTCTATTTTTTTTTATTTGGTTTAAGTTATATTTAAATAATTACTTCTGATGTATGAACATTGCACTGAAGTTAAAGCAATATCTGCAATATGTTTATCTTGTTTGTGCATGATAGGATTCTACAATCCTATCCAAGCTGTAGTTTGAAACATAAATCTAAATCTTTATAAGTATTGCTTAGCTTTTGATGACTAAGCACATTTGCAGCATAAGACACTGTTTGTGTATCCTACTTAAAGACAACGATATCATTAAGTGTCATTTATCTTAAGTGAAATCCAACTTTATGAATTCGCCGTTCCAATCTTAAAGCACCAAAATAGTGAAAATACTCGTCTTAAACTTTTTGAAACAGGAAAATGCTTTTTAGTCACCTAACCACATTAACTAAAGTATCTCACCTCTCCTCGCCTCTTTTCATATCTTACCATTTACATATGACACTTTTGCATTCAACTATGTTATGCACTTATTGTAATTCGGATAGATTTATTTGTCGATAAGAAATGGTTTAGGGACGTTGAACCGCCAAATTTTGGTTGTCATTATTGTTCTTGTTGTATAAAAGCATGTATTGTGTAGTTGAATTATTATTATTATTAAATAAAGCTTTTTAGATATTTAAAAAAATGCTTTTCGTATTTATTTTTTATTAATAGATTAGTCATAGTTTGGAACGTAAACAATACATCATCACTTCAATTATGTGATATAACAAGCCAAGATATTATAAAGAAAAACAAAAATATTGGATAAACCGCCAATGGTTTTCGATTAGGTGGTTGACTATCACCCAGAAAAACATAAGATGCTAAAAATATGAAGTCATTCAAAAATAAATTTTAATGCATTGAAATCTTAACAAGTTTACCATATGTCGCCCAGCAAAAGCCAACAATAGTGGTGATCAATCGCAAGAAAAATAATAATTTCGTTTGCGTCGCTAATAGCATGACACGACACACGATTAGTGCGACCGCAACTGGTGTAAGGCAATAGCCCAAAACACAAACGGATTGAAAGAAAGAGCTATAATAGAGTCGATTCTCCACATTAAAATAAAACTAACTATTTATAAGACCACACTTACATGTTACCGCCTAATAATTTTGAGTTGATTGTAACTATTGCTGCTCCAATCCAAACTATAACAAATACCTGCGCAAATTCTGGGCCTCCATCATATAAGCTGTCTTCTGCTGATCCCTGCAAAATAGTTGCCATAAATGTGCAGAGAACTAAAGGACCCCAAAGATCCCCTGTAATGTTTAAAAGCGCAAAACACATATATAATAAAACTTCGTAACACAAGAATTATTACTCACAGTCTTTTAATAAAGTTGATTTTTCTTTTGGATATAATACGTGATAGAATTTTATCCCAACCGCACGCATGTCTCGCAACTGCAGATTAAATATTTGATTATAACAATCGTTTACTAAATGTGGCAAAGATACTAACTATGGTCTCCTTAATCGGTTCATCCAGTGTATTAAAATCAGGTTCTCCAGGTTTCGAAGATTGCTTATTAGCACCTGGTACGGACATATCACCTTCCAAGTCCAAATGTTGTGGTGTTGTTGGAATGTCTTCAAACATCTTACACAAAAGTAATTTAATACTGACAATACATAGATTATTTCAAATGACTATACCTCTAATTTACTGTCCATTCTGAATACTTTTCAAATAAATGTTAACTCATTTGCAACAAAAAGATATACAACGTATTTCTGAATTGTCTGTTTTGCAAAACTTTTTATTTATTTGGTTGATAACAATTTGACGTTTTGTTTCTTGTTTCGCACTTGACGTATACGTGTGATGACAACAGCGAACTATGCTAAATTGTGGAGGCATTGCAGTGATTACTGAATACTTCAAAAGTTTATGTAAACAAAATACTTTTCAAATTTTTTTAGCACGTAAACTATTTTCATCTCACACATATTGTCGTAAATTTACAATACGAGTGCGTGATATAAAATATATTGCATTGTTTCATTAAGTTCATTCATGATCTGTTGAAACTACATAGAACGCAGAAAGTACAAATAAAGAATTTGCAAACTATAAAAACCTAAACATAATTTTTTTATTCTTTCTGGATAAAATTAAAAACGAATGTTTAAATCAGCTGATTTTGTTTATTGATTCGCGGTAGACAAATCAGAATCAGCTGTTGATTTACCGAATAATGAACAATATTGTCTATTCGGAATCCAAAATTAATAATGCGCAAATTACAAGAGTAGAAAAATGGAAATACGCCATTTCTACACAAATAAAATTAACAATTAAATTATTTTACCCATGCCAAATTAAGAAGTTTTTAAATTTTAAATAGGTATTTTGGATAGGTTATAAACTATAATATATTATTTTGTAAAAAACCCATATGGTAAAATTCGTGCCTTTATTAAAATCCGCAATCGAAAAAGCTTTAACATATTGATTTTTTTGGTGGAGGTAAATATATGTTACCATTAGCATAATTAATTCAATAAAGTTTGATAAAGTTGTATATATAACATTAGCTTTAATTAAACTAAATGATGGTTATGTGTTTCTATAGTGTTTTTTATCAAAAGTTAAGCCGCAATATATATGATATTATAACTTTACAAGCTTTTCGATAGTGAAACGCGTTCGTACTCAGTTTATTTTGCATATATTCAATGTGAAAAAACACGATATAATATCTATTTTTTGAAACATATGATGCGTTTATTTGGCGCGCTCACTACAGTCTAGCAAAGCACAACAATAATAGTGAATTTTAAAATATTCTATTATGATAGCAGCCCTGCTTTCGTACCAGTCATGGTTTCATAATTAATTCGTTAAACAATTTAAAAAAAATGTAAAACCAAAAAACAACAATACTTTTGTGTAAAAAATTTATTATTTATTCAGTTTAGTAATAAACATATTGATTACATGGGCTGACTAATTTTATATTTTATAAATACATAATTTGATTAAAAAGAGATGAAACACTAAAATAAAAGATATTCTACATACATACGTTCATGTATGTATGAGCAATTGTCAGCTTGACGATTCATATGGTCTACATATAACCACAGATATCTGTCTTACTGAATTGGAACAATGAGTTCAAACTGATTATATTTAATTCTTCTTTTTCTCGTAGTTCGCTTGAATAGCCTTTAATAGCCAACCAACTTCTTCAACAGTTTTAATTTGATAATTGGCATAAGTTTTCAATGTTGGAAGTTCGGATACACGGAAAGTCTTGCCAATACCGAAAAGCATTTTGGTGGCATCCTCATCAGTAGTGTCATCACCGCAATATATGATCTTAAGATTCTTGGCCCAGTCAGCATCGAAATGTTTCTCCAAAATCATTTTAGCGCCCTCACCTAAAATTAAACAAAAAAAATATTATAATGTTAGCATAACTTTAAAGGCATAGAAACATTTATAAAATTCTTATTATTATATTTAATTATAGCTGCAAGAAAATATCCTATTAAAAAGCTCAACGTCGTGGAATCATTTACCGCTCAACTCTCAAGGATCTAATAAGCAACATCTTACGTTATCTATCGATACACTTTACATAAGTCAAGAGATGTAGTAGTAGTGGAAAACCGTCATAGAAAAAATTTTCCACGTCATGGAAAGCAGTATTGACCCAAGGAATGCTGCATATTTATAAAATAATACAGTATTTAAACTAGAGCCAAATGAACACTGTAAGCTTTTAATTCAGGCAACCATTTGGCATGAGTCGAGAAGATCAGTGGATATTTTATTCACGAATATACAAATCCATGCAAGAATATGTAAAATAATAATAGGACTTATTAGGTGAGAGAGTCTTATCGGTATACGTTAATTGAAATCTTTAAAAAAAACGTTTACATTAAATTTGCTTTTAACTTCAGTTATAACGGCAGTGATTATTTTGCTTAATAGAAAGTATTTTTTTTCATAGAGGTTTCGAACAATAGTGAATTGCAACAACAAAAATTTTTGTTTAATTATAATTGATTAAATTTTTAGGTAATCATAAATATATAAAATATTTGTTTTAATGTTATTAAAAAACGAGACATAAGAGCAAAATCTATTGAGGTAACTCTTTTTTAATATTATTAAACTAAGTATAAGCCATAATAATCGTGCCCAATTAGGGTTTTGAAATGATTCGATATTCTGGACCTTTAGTTTGGTTTAAAAAACAGTTTATTTACTTTTGTATGTTGGTTTAGTATTTGCAAAACTATTGGTTCGGTTGGTGGTTCTATTTAATTACAGTCTATGATACAAAAAAAAAAGTTATCTGGAGTATTCTAGAGTTCTGAGTTTTTTATTAGAATATAAAAATGATCTATATGATAAATACATAACGGCATAGAAGTAAAATTATTGTTTATTCGAAGTTTAATTCTTAAGCAACTTTAGGTATTGAGCAGTTAACAAGAAAATTCTACAGGTTCGGTGTTATGTAAAGTAAATCTAGATCTGGAAAACGGAAAATTCTTTTCAGAAAAAATTATATATGAAAATACCAGAATACAGGTAAATACTTGTATTTTGTAAAGCAGAAAGACGCATTTACCGGTAAAATACTTTGTGTTGATTGTTGTATGTCCTGGAGTTCTAGAACCTCAAGCCTACATACGTTTTTCAATTTAACATATTTTATTTTTCTCTTGAGCGTCCAGCTTTGAAATAAAAACAAATATTCATATTTGTTCAGAAATGTTTTTTAGATTCGCATGTTTTTTTTAATTAAATATTTTTGTTTAGTTTAGTTTATTTTTTGGATACAGAAGAGATACGACTCGGAGAACTAACGAACACAACAACGTTTAGAAGAGTCAGAATCTTCTTAATCAAAGCAGCTGTCATATCAACAAAGTTTCTATGTACTAAACGGGCCATTATTTTTATGTATAGTATATATATGCCACATATATATATATATATATATATGTACATATTAAAATTATATATATATAGGTATATAGGTGTGTGTTATAGACTTTTGAAAAGTAGAGTGAATATGCGAAATATTGTATTTTTACTTTGGCTTTCAGACGGCACCAATGTGGAAATCTTTTATGTTTTTAAATATTTTTAAATTTTTGGAAACTCAAAAACAAAAAGACCACTGTGGATTCTTGGCAGACATGCGCGTTTAAATGCTTTCTCAGTAATGAAAGAACCACTTTATGTTTATAGTATATATTCTTGTATTTATGGAGTTCATATATGTACATAAGTATACTTAAAAAAAATTATATATATATAATGTTACGTAACATTAGATAATTTGTTAACCTGCGGAATTATGGAAGATTCGAAACTATTGCCACTAGCGAGAAACCATATAAAAGTAGTTAGAATAATGGCATAACTTTATACATTAATTGTTAATATCAGAAAATGGATTTAGTTATGATTGTGACATAACACAATCGCGCCGATAAAATATATAATAGGTGTATTATTGTTTTAAAGGTGATTATGAAGATTATTATGTTGGAAGAATTTGCACTCCGACCTAGAGATCTATTGTTTTCAGTCTGCTACAAATTTTATAATATTACTGTGAGTGATCAAAGCTGCAACTACTTTGATCACTTACTTAATTCTAAAACTCCTGTATATAAAAATATATGTTATATATGATAGTTGCACCAACCAACAATATTTTAGTTCGAAACTTTAACTATGTCTGCTAATAGATTCATTTCACTGCCCATATAGAACAATTTCACTACAATGTCAATGTGATTAAAACAAACACTGTCAAATATATTTCTTTTCTTGGTATCCATCATTCATTATACTATATATTATACTAATTATACTAATTATACAACACTATATAAATTAGCATTTATTCTCAAATACTATACTGATTTTGTGGTGATTATCACAATGCTTGGTTCTTTATTTGTGCTTAAAACGACTTTGTGTGCAATCATAGAGTGTAATCATTTTTCGGAACTGATCACTTTATTATCTAAATATGTTACTTCCTTGTTTAGTAATCTGACTGATTTTATTATTATACATACCGATTATCTATTAGAACATCTATTTGAGCATTATTTCCGTCCAATATCTTAATATTTTAATAATATTAAGACATTCGCATGTATCTATTTATATACTAAACTGACTGTATCGTTACACAACCCAAAGAATAGTTAAATATTCTAGCAGTATTTGTTCTTCTTCAATATCGATTCAATGAAGACTTCCTTACATTACTTTCTTGCTTATATACCCTACTGACTTTATCATCATATAAGCCACTTATCTTTTTTAACAGTAAAATTCTTCTTCAATATCGATTCCATGAGAACTAAAAGCTTTGAAACAAATCTTTTTTCTAAGAATTTATTTATTAAAATTCTTCTTCAATATCGATTCCATGAGAACTAAAAGCTTTGAAATAAATCTTTTTTCTAAGAATTTATTTACTCAATATCCATTTCCATTAAATACAATACTTCTAGTTTTTTTATAGTATAATATTGTCCTCTATCTTGGAAATACGTTATTCCATTTCTTACATACGATACTGCTATTGTGATACATCAGTATCTTCAGTGTTATCTATTCCATTAATTCCTTCTTTATATACCACATTGATTTTATTTGAAATCATTTAGCTTATCTAATCGGATAGCATAATCCCTCTTCAATATCGATTTAATACAAATCCAGAACCCTCGCGTAGCTCTCTTTATTCATTTATCCCCTTCTTTGCATGTGGTAATTGTATTGCAATATTGTAATACAATTATATTGTGATATATGTATGTAAATCAGAATAGAGAATACTATATCTACCATGAACTTATGTGCATGGTACATGTGTTGCTCATGTACTGTATGCAAAGACATTAATTTTTATTTTTCGTGAAATTTTTACATTTTTAAATATTTAAATATTTTTATTTTGCAGTCCGTATATTCTTTTTGATGTGTTCTGTATTTTGCATTCGCTATTATTTTAATTTTTTAATTTTTTAATATTATTTTTATTATTTTTATTATTTGTTGTTATTGTTCTTTGTTGTTGTTCAGTTGTTTAGGCACGGTATGATCGCCTACACAAATATTTTTTTGATGATTTATTTCAATATTTTTACTCATAGATACACACTTTGCGACCGCGGCGATAATATTGTGTGAATGATTGAATTGCAAGTTTCTGATATAAAATTTATTTTTGAGAAAACGCTTTAAATTTATGTATTTTGTTTATTGTTTGAATTAAAATTTCTAGTCATCAAAAAATAAAATCTTTTACAAACGCAAATCCAATTTGTAATAGGTTAAGGCAGCTGTTTAGCTATTTAGCTGCCTTAGGTACGTACAATCTCGCAGTATATGCCATGAAGTATTTATTATACAAATAATTATACATAGATACTTATATGCTATATGTTATATATCTATATGTTATATATTATGCAAGATATTCGTGGGAGTACAAAATGATGCAAGTACAAGTGAATGAAAGTATGAACTCTTGATCTAGAGCACTTACCTTTGTCCCAGTTGACACGGGGTTTGCCCTCCAAAGCATAGGGTGTTTCAATTAGTTGAAAACCATGGCCTTGAATAAGTCCCTTAGCGGTTTCAATAAGTTTTCCCTTAAGCTTATCATTTACTCCCTTGTAATGATAAGTGACTGAGATTTTCTTGTCCTCAACCCAAGCACCGGAACACACAACCTTTACAAGAGAAAATGAAATTGTAAATAATACAGGATTTAAGTCATTCAGTATTAGAGAGATTGTAAATAACATTATATTAAGAATAGAATTATTATCTTATTGGGGTATGATGAATAAAATTGCAGTTGATCTAGAATTTGGCATTTAATTTTAAGAGAAATGTTTAATAATTTCTACTAAGTAACAATTTATTATCTAAGAGAAAAATCGAAAATAAACAATAATATAATTTATAATTGATTTGAGAATTTAATCATTTATTGTTGGAAAAATATTTAATAATTTAATAATTATAATAATTAAGAAACAAATTATTATCTAAAGGAAAACTTTTGAATAAAAAGCATGGATTTTTGAATGATTTAAGAATTGTATCATTTATTTTTAGGACGGAGAGATGTTTGATGTTTGATGTTTTAATAATTTATTACGAATCAAATTATTATCTTGAAAAAGATATAAAGATTAAATATATAAAGAATAAAATAGTAATTTTTTTTAGGTCATTTGTCATTTAGTATAAGAGGAATGTTCAATAATTTTCTAGTACATATCAAATTATTATCTAAGAGAAGGGTTAAGAGTAAAAAAGAGGAATTTGTAATTTGTAATATTAGAATCTTATTATGTACAATTAAAGCGATGTTTAATAATCTCTTAAGAATCAAATTATTATCTTAGAAAAGAATTAAAAATATGAAGAATAAATTTGTAATTAATTTAAGTAATAGAAGAATAAAATAATAATAGAATAATCAAATAATAAATAACTTTTTAATAACTATCAAAAATATGAACATTAAAATTATAATTAAATTTAGAGCTTTGTCATTCAGTTGTGTAGGGATACTTAATAATTGTCTAGTATGAATCAAATTATTATTTAAGCAACCAATATCTATAATGTGAAGAACGAAACTTACTGATTTTTGAACATTATCATTTATTATTGGATGAGTCCTTAACAATGTAATGATCCAGTCTAATATACAATCATATTATTTTCTTAGAGAAGAATCAAGTATAAGTATAATGAATTTGTAATTGATTCTAGAATTCTAGAATTTTGACATTCACAATTAGAGTGATTTATAATAATAGTAAAAATAAAAATATAATCATAAGGCGGGAAGCGTCAGCAATCAATTTTACATATTTTTATTGGAAACTGTGTACCGTCATCGTCAGCAGAATGAGTAAATATTTTCTTTCTTGTGTGATTATATAAAGTAAATAAGTATTCGATATTGAAATATCTTCGGTCTTATCTTTTGGCAACGAAAACTTTATGTATATAACTGTGTGTATATCAATTTGAAATTGTAAATTTTAAATTATGATTTTTCTTTTTTCAATTTGGATATATAGTCTGTTCACGTCATACTAAAGTTTTATATATGGTACTGTATCGGCTTAGCTACAATTTTGTAGTCGGACGTAATGTGCGTCACGAAGAGGAAAAACTATCATCAAGCGTTCATAATGTGTAGTTGATTATAGTTAATAATAATCTGTTATAATCTGTTTACTGTATAAGATCTAAGTGAGTCTTGTCTTTCGTTGGGCTGTCTGATACTAGAATATTAAACTTTTATACGGAAATACTTTTAACGAACCTTCTCTCTCAACTCAGCTACCAATTTATTATGTTTTTCCAATAATTCTTCTGGCATTTCGATTTTAAATTTCTTTCCAGATGGGTATTCAACTTCCAAACCATGGTTACCAGCGTATGTAACATTGGGGAATTTCAAATGATTTTTGATATCATTCAATTCACGACCCGAAAAAACACACATGAAAATTTTTTCGTTGGCAGCCAATTTTTTGATATTGATTTCAGTATCTTTTGGCATGGCTGACAATTCTTCGGTGAGTGGAGCAAGAGTACCATCATAATCCAGAAGTAAAGCAACTTGATCTGTGGCTGGATTTATGAAACTGAAACAAAATTAAAATTAATATACTTGTAAATTGATAATGTAAGTGATAAATGCAGAATAGTAAATATGCGGAAATTACTTACCCATCAAGGGCTTTAACAAAATCTTCTTCCTTCTTTAACAATGGAGCTTTCTTTTGTTCTGCCATTTTTTGTTTATCAAATTTTTAAAGCAAATAATAAAAGAAGTTTATTTTATATATATATATATGTATATATAATTGGTGAGACCCGCTTTTACTGGACGTGGCGTATACGCTCGCAGACTGTTATAATACTACTGACAAACAAGTTGGCATCGGATGTACCAATTTCATATGCTTTTCAGTTGCCAAGATAAACTAGCCATGCTGCACCGAACGTTGGTGGGCGCACACTCTCATCGCTCATTTCAATATTTTCTAAATATAAAATAAGCGGTACACTTGTTGGAGGATTACATAGGCTACAAAATGTTTCCACAAGCATTACTTTCTCTGTTCATTGGTGTGCGTGTGCAAGTGTGTGCTTGTTTGTGCATAGAATCAAAGAACCAACAAACTCTTCGAATCAAAGATATATGACCAATTTTTCAAAAAATGAATTTATGCTATTATAAATTTACTTTTTTCTCACTAAAACCGCCTAAAGTGCACGATAGCATAGCGAGAAAATAATGAAGAAACAGTAGCAACAAAGTCAATTTATGACGGCATTTTCTCCGAAAATTTTCCAATTTTATATGTATATTGTTCAGTTTTGAACTATGGCAAAATACTTTCTTCTAAGTTCCCCATAATAAACAAAATATGTTGCCTTTTCTCCTTTTTCATAATTTTATTTATTAACATTTACACACTATTAATTTTAACGTTTCAGAAGTCTATTTTTAATGAAGCCACAAATATAAACAACGACATGCATATAAATTTATATCTATGTATATACATTCATATATATATAAGTATATATATATTATACCATATATATACATATATATATATGTAAAATTTATAGTTGACTCGTATAAAAAATTAAAGTTTATAAATTTTAATTATCCACTTCAACAAATCAACAACAACTTCCTGTGATGGTAATATGAAATCTGCAGCTGTTTGAATACTGGGATCTGATGATATTCTAAATGTTTTTGCAACACATTTCAGAGCCTAAAAAAACGAAGTATTACTTTAAGTAATAAGTATGAGATTATGTAAATAGAATTTTACCTTCATTGCGTCTTCATCTGAAAAGTCATCGCCAGCATATATTACTTTAATATTCTTAGCCCAATTACTTCCATAACAATGTTCCAAAAGGAAGAGTGCCGCACTACCTACAATATAAAGATATAAACTGTACTCAATTTTCTTAAAAGGAATTCAATTTTCTTATTCATATATACAATATTAAATATTAATATACCTTTATTCCATTTAACTGGAGGTCTTCCTTCTAAACCATCATGAGCACTGGTCACTGTGTAACCGTATGATTCGATTATTTCTTTTGCTAATTGTCTTTGTTTTTCCTTTAGATTCGCTGGTGTATTTTTGAAATGATAAGTCAAAGAGACCCGTTTGTCCTCGATCCAAGCATTATTTATAGAGCATTTTTTATTCAATTCTTCTATTAGGTGTTTGTATACTTCTTGCGTTTCGATTGACAGTTCATAATCATGACGTGAACCATCTCGAGTTTGTATTTCAAGTCCATGGTTTCCTGCATAATCGATACTCCTATCCTTAAAATTAACTTTATTTTGTATGTCATCAACTAATCGTCCTGTAATGATGGCAAGACGAATTTTCTGACATTTAACGATTTTGTTGAGTAGATTCTGAACATCTTCACTAAGATTTGTATTCTTTGGATGATCAGCTATGGACGCCAAAGTACCATCATAATCGAAAAATAAAGCAAGTTGGCAGTCTGCATTAATAAAGCTACAGTAATGAGTTTAATTTGTAAATTATAGTTATCAGGCAAACTATACAGAAAAACTATCTGTCACATATATGGATAGGGAGAAGACAATGAGAGCAATACTGGAGCAGTACTAACACACAACAATAGAAAAATCTTTAGGTAACCTTTTTTAATTTCAAAATTATAAATTATAAGAATTCGGTAGATAGTGCCATTAAAACATTTTAAACAACTTTTTTTGTTGACGTAATGTAGCACTTGTATGATCAGCGGAGAATTGTGTGCTATATATTAATAGGTTAGTCCATTATTGCTCTCATAGTCTCATATAACTTAAACTGTATCATTAAACGCTTGTTAGTCTATCCGAACTGATGGCTGGTACTTTTTTGATGTATTTAGTTTAGACTAAGTTTCGTGAATCATAGATCATCATCAAATTTTGCTAGCGAGTTCATTAAAAAGCTGAAAAACACATAATAGACGTTATAACTATGAGATGGTGGTGGTATTGCCAATTTTACTTTAAATAAGGGCTACATTGATTGGGACATATAAGAATAGCAAAGAAAGCAAAATTCCAGAAATACGCAAAAGAGAAGATTCAAGCAGTAGATAAATTGACGGAATTAATGCGTTATTAACCGGAAAATTGTGGAATTAGGTTCTTAATTAAACTATATGATTATATAATGGCGATGACGATGTTTATAATAGATGATTATGAATGAGATGAGGATAATAAGATGATAATGATGAAAACAATAACAATGATGAAAGGAAGATTAAGATGATAATGTGAATGATAATTATGGCGATACTCACATTACTGATGAAAATAGTAATATTGATAATGATGATAATGATGGTAATGATGATGAAATAGTTATGTTTTTACATTTTATTTGATATCTTCAGTAGCAACCTTATAAATTGATACAAAGATAATTGTAAATGATAATTATGGCGATACTGACGTTAATGATGAAAATAGTAATATTGATAATGATGATAATGATGGTAATGATGATGAAATAGTTATGTTTTTATATTGAATTTGATATGTTCAGTAGCAACCTTATAAATTGATACAAAGATAATTGTATCGCTTCATACAATCAATTACTTCCGCCCACTCCGATCAATACAACTGTAAAAAATAGATAAACGGGAAAATTGATACTATTAAAAGGATTAATTTTATTAAGGTGATTAGGATTATATGATTAGTTATCCGACATTATTTTCTTTACGTACCAACTTACAAGCTTACACATGTCATTTATTCTCAGTAGGACTTACTATACACACTAAATAGTTTAAAAAGGTAAATCAATTATGCAATCAATTCGTCGAATTTGCTTTAGCTTTCTAATACAAGTGATGTACTAAAGAGACACTGTCTTAGGGATGGGTACGTCGACAGGATATGTGTCTATTGCAATATTGAATATCAAACCTGTAATTTAGAGGAGGAAAAGCAAAATACCACTTATCTGTTCATAGGGCATTCATAGCCCACTACTCGCCAGTAAACCATTATTTTCTTGGAATGTTTATTTCCTCAAATGTCTTTCCGATAGATGCAATAGATATTTTCACTTAATTAAAACAGAATATTGATTTCCTAGTTTAAAGTATAAAATGAAGTATTTCTTACGTCAGTTAGAATAAAATAATATGTCTTTTAGTACCAACAAAGAGGTGTTGTTCATTATTCTGGTCAGAATTAGAAGCGGCCTTTGTGGTTCAAACTCTCTCTAAATTAATTCAATTATTTATTTTCATATGAACTGCGAAGTAGTTTTCAAAAATTCCCCTTAAATAAATATTTGTGTACGCTTCTGTTTATTAGATACATCTCTCATCAAATTGATAATCTTGATAATCATATATTATGATATGTTTTTCAAAAATAATATAATATATGAATAACCAAAGAATAAATAACACCTTTAACATGTTATAATTCTTGAAGTCCAACATCGTAACAATGACTCATTGCTCAATGACATGTTTATAACTCTATTATTTTAATAAGTGTCGCCTATTCAATAAGTAAATTTAGAAAAAACTTAGGTGCTAATTAAGAGAACCAACAACGTTAACTTATGTAGTCCCTTCCTAATCCATGTATTGCTCTTGTAATTTCTCTCATGTTGTTTGCTTTGCAGAACCTTGAAGGCTACAAAAACAAAAATAATAATAATAATGTTTGTTTCTTTTACAGGATTGTGGTTGTTATAGCTCGCTTTATAGGTCCGTTGAGTAGGTTCCAAGAGCGGCTGGACACTAGCTCGTCTTAAATTATTAAACTACATATAGTCTGATACTTTCTGATACTGGTACTTTTTTCAATTTGTAATACCCAGGAAGAAGGTTACATCGATTTTATAGTTGATTTTTGCAGAGTGTTATAAATAAGTTGTGTATAGCGTTTAGTGTTACAATTCTAGATATTAATACCTATTCCACAATCACAGTATGTTGTATATCTTATAGAACTTCTTTTTATATTGCGTTATACATACATATAATTAACAATACTAAATTGATACTATGTGAAGAATATAATAGTTATATGTAAGACAAAAAAAAACTTCCGGCACGTTTGAAAAAACTATTTTTTTAATAATTAGTTAAAAAATTTGTTATAAAAAACCCAAAGTAGAAATTATTAATTCATTAGATGCATTGGTTTGGTTATGTCAGCATTTATAGAAAATTTTTGGCAAATCTTAAATAATTGATCTCATAATGATGAGCTTGGCACGAATCTAACATAGCAAAATCTACAAAAACTAAATACATTGAATGTACATTAAAAGCAGAAGTGGCCGGCTTTAAGTCCTGCAACCACTCGTCTAACTCAACAACCAATCGCCAACAGCAATAACGGCCGCAGGTCTCTTCAGGCTATAACGGCAATAATATATGAATTCTGCTACTACAGCAGCTGAAGTACCACAGAAGCTTGTAGTGAGACGATTGGTCGTTGATGTTGACAAGTGTTTACAGTACGTAGTGTCAGTTGACTTTGCAATTATTCGAATATAGTTTCTATATACTGCAGTATCCACTAGTCTGTCCTGTGTTAAATGAAGGAATGCAACTTTAATCACGCACAGCACAGCAATTACTTAATATTTTTCGTTTAACATTTTTTTTAATTGCAATTGCTGGGAAGAATAAAATTTACTTACGTTGGTAGTTTCAATTCAAAATCTTGTTGGCAACTAATAATTGGCAAAGTGTGTGTTGCTCTTGGAACACTGCCTCCACTTCTATCGCTCAATGTACCTTCATAGCGACGAACCACTATTTGTGGGCATACATGTTCAATTTTCAGAATTTTACTAGCAATTAAACGCAATGAATTTTTAGTTCTAATTGTGCTCCATATTCTTTGGTTCATCCTTTCTTTTATTTAATATATTTTCTTTTCGTTTGCCACAAACTTTTTATTTAATGTTACACAATAAAAGAGCATCAAATCGAACGGGAAATTATCATTGAACTGAAAACAACAATCAAATGTGTTTGTTATTGTTGTGCTTGTAGAATTGTAGAGTTGCCAGGCTGCGAATTTATTAAACAAAATTTAAAAATGTTAAAGCACTGCGCCGAATATGTGACACCGCATATAAAAGATCCTTCATTTTTTACGTGTTGAATAGCTGACTAATAAAAAGTTTTGAAATAAATTAAAAATTATATGTCCAAACCATTAAAATTTTATTGAAAAATAATAAATAAATTTAAAAATATTAAATTCTCTTGTTGGCTTATACCACAGGCAGGTATCACGGTATCATGGCAACATGTCCAACGCGCCGAAGTGTTCTTAGCCATCTGCAATGGGTATTGCAAAGGCTTCGACGAATATTAAATTTGATTGGAGTTAAATATGAAGGAATTGAACGTAGTAACCAGGGCAACAATATTTATTTAATATCATGACACATGTTTATCATTTTTTTTATTAAAAACAATAAGTAGAAGTAGGGAACATGATAAAAATTCTTTGATATATTTTATATAACTATTTTTTGTAAACCTCACTATGGAGCCAACAGAAACTAGTAGATCAGAAACTGCGGAGGCTAGCAGGCACCCGCAGGAAGAGCTATATATGCGGTTGGGACCGCAAAAGAAGGGCAAGGATTCAAAAAGAAGAAAAAAGAAATCTAAAAGTAAAATGCAATCATGTGGCAGTTGCCCTGGATATATGTTTTCCAATGCTGGTGACGATGATTTTTCCGATTCTGAGTCAACTGAAATTGAATCTTCTACTGATGAAGAAGAGCGGTGGAAAGATGTAGCTCGCACGAGTGAAATTCCCGTCGATTATTACAACATACAAAAATTGGTTAAATATATTAAAGCTGGCAATCAGACTGCAACCATAGTCTCACTTTGCTGCCTGAAGGATTACAATCTTAAGGTACAAATTAATCAGTTTGCAATACAAGATATGGGAGGTCTTGAAGTTTTGGTAAACATTCTTGAATCGAATGATAGTAAGTGCCGCCTGGGCGCGTTATCTGTTTTGGCCGATATATCTCTCAATATCGATATACGTAAAACAATCGTCGATTTGGATGGTGTTCCATTATTAGTAGATATATTAAGTACATCACATAAAGACCTTAAAACAATGGCAGCTGAAACTATAGCAAATATAGCTAAAGTAAGATTAGCTAGAAAATATATTCGAACATGTGGCGGAATACCTAAATTGGTTGATCTCCTTGATGTCAGATTACAGTGAGCCAATACTGAATTAGTTAAATAGTTTCAATTACTCTCTAATGTGAAATTTAAAGTATTTTACAGAATCCAAGGGAAAACCTAACGCTCGAAGAACAGGACTTATTGTTTATGGCTAGAGCAGGTGCACGTGCTTTATGGTCGTTATCAGATTCTCGACATAACAAAGAACAAATGCGAAGAAGCGGTATTGTACCTCTAATGGCTCGTTTATTAAAATCTGTACATATTGATATTGTTATACCAATAATGGGCACTATACAGAAATGTGCCTCACAGGTAATGTGTCAATTAATTTTTGAAAATTCCTCAATTATCTCATATACATCATTTGGTAGCCAAAATTTCAATTAGCCATTACATCTGAAAACATGGTGTCTGATATAATTAAGCACTTAAACACTCAAAACTTAGATCTGAAAATGGAAGGTAGCACTGCGATTTTTAAATGTGCCTTTGATCCAACTACTCGTCAGCTAGTACATGAATCAAATGGAATTGAACCACTGGTAGGCATCATCAAAGATAAAACCTTACGAGATTATAGAGCACTGATGGTTGGAACAACAGGCGCGCTGTGGATGTGTGCCGCTTCCGAAAACAATGTTAAGAGATTAGACAGTTTGCGTGCAATGCCACACTTAGTAAATCTTCTAACGCATGACGATGACGAGGTGTTAACAAATACTGTAGGCTGTATCAGTGAAGTTCTTCGATATCCTGTTAACCGTGATGGCTTTAGAGCTATTGGTGGTATACCTCCACTTATAACTTTGTTGAACTCTTCGTGTCCGCCTTTATTAGAAAATCTGTCTAAAGCTGTCAAAGAAATAGCGGATGATCCCGACAGCATGCGCGTTCTTGAAAAATATGACGCAGTTCGTCTTGTCTGGTCTCTTTTGAAAAACCCTAATCCTCGTGTACAAACTTACGCTGCTTACGCTATATGTCCTTGCGTAAAAAATGCACTCGAACCTGGTGAGATGGTGCGTAGTTTGGTTGGTGCAATGGAGTTATTGGTCATACTACTTAAAAGTGAGCATGTAACTGTCTTATCTGCTGTTTGCGCTGCTATTGCTACAATCGCAAAAGACACTGTTAATTTATCAATTTTAACTGATCTCAAAGTTATCTACAAATTATCGAAATTAGGTGAATTGATTAAAATCACATTTTTGTGTTCGAGCATTAAATACTTATTTCACTTCCAGTTCATACTGAGGATGATCTTTTGCGGGAGAATCTAGCCGACGCTGTTGCTAGCTGTGCTGCCTTTGACCATAATACAGAGCTATTAGGACGGTTACACACTGTAACACCAATCGTAACATATCTAACAAGCGATAGCCCAGCTGTGCATAGGACGACTGCAATGGCTTTGGAACAACTTTCGAAAGATCCACAAAACTGCATTACTATGCACCAAGTAAGAACATATTGGATAACATTGACAGGTCTTTTTTTTCCATTCTATATTTTTTTTTTGTAGAGCGGAGTTGTGCCATTCTTGTTAGAGTGTATTAGTTCAAATAATAAGGACCTTCAGTTAGCTGCTGCTGGTTGTTTGAAGAACATAAGAGAATTGGCGCTTCGTACTGAGGAATACTTTTTGAAGCTCGATGAAGACAAGTGAATTTTCGTTGCGCGTTGTTCATATTGGATAATATGTGGACAATTTGAAATTAAGTTAATAAAAATTTACGTTCTCTAATTTAAATTAAGGTGCAAACATGCATATTAAGATTTCTCTGATTTATTGGGTAAAATGTTAATAAAACAAAAGTTAAAACCCGGCAAGATACAAAATTTATGCGTACACCATTATCTGTTCTTTACGATAGAATGCAGTACATTAGCTTGTATTAGTAACTGGCATTGCTACCGCGAGTCGAGATACTCATACGTCTCTCCACACGATTTGTGTGTGGCAATAAGCAGCCGGGAGGCGGGTAACGCCAACGGCGCGGGCGGGACAATAATGTACCATCTGTAGACGCCCGACTACGAAAGGGTGATGCAACTATATCATTGCACAAGTTATTAGATCCGATGGCGTCATTCGATTCTGTGTGATCTCTTTCATCCAAACACGCGTTACCTAAATTAAATAGGTCATTTCGTATAAAATCAGTTTTATAAAAAAATGTAAGCATACTTATAACAAAGAAGGAGCGTCGAGCTTCAGCTCCTAGTGAAGCCGCATCATAATATGAACAACAGGCATCTGGACTTAAAGTAAAATCCGTAGAGTTTTGTACATCACTTGTTGAACGCTTCAGCTTCGGAAATTTACTAAAAACGCGCCAAAACCGAAATACATCACGAAACACCGATTGTACCTTAAATAGTAAAATGCTGAGAAGTTATATATTTTAAAATTTATTTAAGGATTGCAATTTTAAACGAAAAATTCTCTTTAACATACCTGATCCACACTTTCTCTAACCGAAATCTCATGAAAACATGCGCATGTGAGTTCACGAAATCTGCGCTGACCTTCCTCCAATGTAACCATGCGATCTGCACCATTTTGATCATTTTTGTTGCCCACTAAAATAACAGGTACGTCTGACAGTGTGTCCTATTTTTAAAATAAACATAGTAAATGTACTTTTACAATAAGAAAAAAATTAGTGCGGTCCTCAATATATTTCAAAAAATTTCTGTACAAATATTTTATGCAAACTATTCTGTATTGAGGAATTGATTTATGTATTTAGGAAAAATTTTCTTTACCACAGCAAGATAGGAATGGACATGTCAAGGTTTCAATGTCAGTCTTTATCGGAGGTAAAGCATCTCTTAACACTCTCCTTTAGATTCTCAATTCAGACGAATAGATGGTTAAAGCAAAGAATCTATAGTACTATAGATTCTTTGGTTAAAGTAAATAGATCACAACAAGAATAACGAACTTAAGTACTCTTTATACATACTAGTATACTTAGTATATCTAATATATTATTTGCTTTGTTAATGAACATAAGGTAGCTTGTGGTGGGAAATAAACATATATGGGGAGTAAAACTAAAGGCAAATCGATTAAGTCCATTAGGAATTCAAAATTTTTTTTTTGTGTTCTAAATTATTTATAAATATTTATTACATCATAAGAGATGATGAAATTTAATTTATTTATTTTAAAACTAATCAGTTTATCATAGTTATTTGATTCCTTAAACAGAACTATAACATTCGACCGACATATATGAATACCAACTACTTAAGATTGTAGACTTAATATAAGCTTAGGCATGTAAATTCTACTTCGAAGTACTGTTGGCTCGAAGTTAAGTCATACATACGTTTATTGATATATGTTTTACGCTTACCAACTGTTATTGCCTTACCTTACTGTTCGAACCCAATTTACGTCGTCTTTTGTTGTAGTTTATTAAAAACTTAAGACGATTGCATTCATCGAAACTGCACTTGTCTGTTACGGAATAGATGAGAATAAAGGCATCAGCCCAACGTATATTTGATTCCAAGGCTATACAGTCTATATCGATCTGCACATATAAATAACTGTAATTAGATGAAATTCAATTAGCTTTTTGTGTCTTACACTAGGCTGTCCTGCTGCGTCTAAAATATCGAATTGTACCAGTTCATTGTCCAACATGGTATTATATGTATACATTTTCTCAGTGTTGTCATATTCTCCAATAAATCGACGTGTAATAAAACGCACCACCAATGCTGGAAGAAAATTTTCGATATTTACAAAAATCTAATGGCAATTAGAATTATTATTCTGTAAGCGTTAAATTACCGGTTTTTCCAACACCACTCTGACCCAGTACCATTACTTTCAAGGATTTTTGTTTTGAATGTAAACCGAGTTTCGATAACGACGATTTCGGTGACGTCGTGGTCATTTTAATTTAGTTTAAGCAGTTCTGTATGTCAAACAGGTTTTTATATTCGTCCAATGATGTTTGGATAACAATACTGAAGTTGATCCATAGGAAAGTCGTAACATGGAAAAATCGAACATTTGCTTTCCGGTAGTAGAGAGTCCTTTTCTGCAAGAATTTTCAAACAAAAACCAATCTTACTAAGGCCAGTATTAAAAATTAAAAAAAAACAAATTTAAATTTAGTTATATATAAGAAAATAGAAAAAGAACTAATATAAAAAAATAAAAAATTGTTCAGTGTAGTATACGACGTATGTTGAATAATGATAATAGTAGAATGGTAGAGAATAGTAAAATAAGATCTTTATATATTTTATGAATGTATATATTCGTATGCCTTCGAATATATACAGGCTCTTCAGTACATTGGTTTAAGACCGTCGTTGTACCAGAAACCGCTATATATATTTTTGTATATTACCATCGTTGTGCTAAATTATATTCTATTATAAATAATGCTTATAATGTTATTATTATATAATGCTTCTATAATATTTAAATCTGAACTTTAAGGTGACCTGTTCAAAGTGGTGACACCAACATCCTTCAAAAAATTAGTTATTTGGCTTTGTGGTATAGAGCATTATCCTGTAAGTAAGTACTCACTTATTTTTCTAAGCATCGCACTGGGCGTTCGTCAATTCTGTCAGATAGAGAAAGACGCAGTATAATTAACCAGGCGAAAGTAAATCCAAAAGTAACAGCCTACAAACTATTTGAAGATATTGCCGAAAAATTTGGAAAAACATTTGTCCTATGCAGAAAATTTTGAACAAAAGCAAGTATTATACCAGGGATGCAAGAAAGAAGCCACTCCCTTGCATTAAGCTTTGCAAGCGAGCATGTAAATGAACCTATAGAAATCTGGAAAAGAGTTATTTTCTCCTTGTGTGGATAAAATCATGTACAGCCTATGACAAACAAAACTTAGTTTCAATGGTTTGGGGGTGTGTAGCAAGTAATGGTGCTGGCAAATTTGAATTTATACAAGATACAATGGATAAATATGGGTATCTAAATATATTAAAAACAAATTGCAAAGAAAATGACAGAATGTTAGGGCTTGAGGCAATCCTTTTGTTTTAGTAGGACAATGACCCTAAGCATATAGCAGAGATCACACTAAATTTTTCATATAGAGTCATTGATATAATGTCAAGAAAAAATCTTTGACAAATAATCTTTTGGCCATTGACTTGATTCTTTAGGCTGGTGCCATTTGCAAAGTCAGGGCTGTGGTATGAATCTGAAGAAAGCAAACTTTCAAGCATTTAAAGCAATCTAGTTACTAAGAAGAGAGTCATTGATGTGATGTCAAGAAAAAATCTTTGACAAATAATCTTTTGACCATTGACTTGATGCTTTAGGCTGATGCCATTTCCAAAATCAGGACCGTGGTATGAATCTGAAGAAAGCAAACTTTCAAGCATTTAACGCAATCGGGTTAATAATAAGCAGGTGTACATATGTATGTACATATGTGTAGATATTGTGAACTACCAGAACGATTCTCTCCATTCTGCCTCTCTTAATTAACAAAAATAAACATTTTTTTATTATGTACAGAAAATTATGGAAATTTTGTGAAAACTTCAATATCATTTGATAATTTATGATTGTAGGCACTTGTTTCCCTTCACCTCTATACCCTCGTCCTAAACTAGAAATAATTAAATTGAATAAATTCGTGGGAATCGTGGCATTTGTTCTCTCCAATGCCAGACAATGATGATTCGAAAAAATTTTAGAAGTTGTCTTATCGTTGAAAACAATGTAACAAACAACAACAATAACGAGAACTGAGGTAGTAGCACACACACACACTCACTCCAATTAACTTTTTTATTTTCAATATATTTTTAATTGTTATTTTTTTTTTATAAAATTACGAAATGCAGTCAAAAATTATTTAAAAACTAAACGCTTTCAACATTTCGAATTTTTTTTACTATAGCCAGCAATTTTTTTTATAAACACGCACTTAACGCAGGCCTGTACATACACACACACACATGCATATGTGCACTTAGCATATAAGCAATTGAATAATTATGAAAAAAGTAGTTTATTTGCATGTTGACGCACTCACCACACACTCCACACATTCCACATATCGCACACACACTCACACACCCACGCAACTCACAAATTTCGTTTTTGTTGAAGATTCGAGTGGCACATAAATGTTCCTGTAATGCGTTTCCAATATATGTATGTATATGTTTTGTTATTGTTTTGCTCAAAGTTTATTTTTTGTTTTTTTGTTAATTATTTTTTGAACTGTTTGCGGCACTTTTGTTCGCAACTCGTGTTGATGTTCGATTAACGGTAAATTGTTAACGACTTCCATATTTATATGAAAAAGTACAAAAACAAAATAGAAAAAAAACTAAGGTAGCACACTCAGATATGAAACAATTGTAGACATTCCCCAAAAACAAATTGCGGTACATCAGCATCGTCGATCAGTAACGATGATAATAATGATAATGATAATCACAATGACAATTACAATCCAAAATTGGATGTTAGATCAATGAAGTTCAACTCACATTTTAATCAAATAAAACTGTACAGACTCTACAGGAGTAAAGAAATTAAAGCGTTTGGTAGGAGTGGTCGGTCTTGCGAAGCATAAAAAACTTCATAACTAATCGTGTTCACTGTTAATGCTTAATGTTTCTTTTGTAGCGCTTCAACTATTCGTCATCGCCGTCCAAAAATAGCACATATTTTTCTATTATTCTACTTGAATGAACGACAAAGCGCAATTGACTGTCTTCTCCTTACCTTGTAGAGTTGTTTACATGACTACAGAGTGTTCTTACCTATTCCAGCTGTTAATGGCGCCAATTACAACACATCAACGTATGTCAAATGTTATCCGATTTAATGAGAATGTGCATAATTTAGCCAGGAAAATCGGAAAATCGGAAAATCGGAAAATTTTTTAATAGTGTGTATGTCTCCTAATGCCAGGCCAAGTAGATAGAATGAGAAAAAGTTTTATAATTGAAACTGTAAATAAGGTGGACGGACGTCATATATTATTTTAATCATTACATTTCTCCTTTATCATTGACTCCTTTAAAATTATGTACATATGTATGTGTATTGATTCCATTAAATTACATATCAAATTCGTTAATAAAAATAGAGCAGAAAAAAAATGTTCGTTTTCTATTTTTTTGTGGGTTACCACATGTACACGAGTGACCATATTCCACTGATAAATACTTAATTGTAGAGTGAGAGTCTCATAAAGGCCTACTTTTGTATGGTAGATATAGTTTGTCGCTTTTTCTACGTAAGACGAACTTAAGGTTAGGTTAGGTTCCTTGCGGACTAAACCCTACTTGAGCACAAATAATGGTCCGTTGTGATACCACGCAATACAATTGTGAGACGTGAGACAAGCTTTAGGTTGGGTTAGGTTCCTTATGTATCCTTGTGCACCAAACCCTATTTGAGCACAAATAATGGACAGTTGTGATACCACGCATTACTATTGTTCATATGCAAACCAAAAAAACGTCGAAAAGCGACGTTTGACTGCAGTGATCAGTACACAAACAACGCTTAATGGCACGACTTCCTCCCCGTTCAAGTGAAAGTGAAGCAACGCGATAAGTCTATAAACTTGGTCAAGTCTCAAATTTTGCACGACTATAGCTCTCTTAAGTCGGTGAGAAAAGGGACCTCTAACATTTTGTATCTCTTACTATCCAATGATAGACACTGACATATCTTTTCGTATCTACGATCTGCCTTCTTTTCCTAATCAAAATCCGATATATACAGAAAGAACAGAGAGCCGACTCTTAAGTTAAGGGATTTTCTTTATAATTCAACAGTGAATTGGTTTGGATAGGTAGATAGAAAGAATTATCTTTTGGCGCTATTGTGTTGTACGTCTTTTTACTAGATGCATCTCAGGGTCTCGATTATTATAATTTATAATTATAATTTCTAAAAAATTGCTACCCAAAGTCGATAACATTTTCAGAAACTTTGGAAGATAACATAGTAAGCACCTTACAGTTTCTTTCATATACATATGTATGTACATATGCAGACCATTATCTACCAGCTGTTCTATTCGGAAGTATAAACATTTTATAAGTTCCGAAGCAGAGCAAATTTGATGTATTTTTTTTTCTATTTTCGTTCTATTAATGTATTTCTTTTTTGTACGTTATTTGTTGTTATACTTTCAAGTTTTCAAAACACTGAAAATAAATATTAGAAATAAACAGAATTTCAGTCTTCTTTGTTGCATCGGCAAAAAAACATTCTGTCGTGTTTTCTAAGAATTTTCGGTGCTGAACAAAGAACGGTGCTCGGCATTATAAACTTAGAACATAAACGGAACTACAGATCTTCTGCGTCATCACAAGTAAATATTTAGTAAATTCGATTTCTAAACATACTTCATCTATTTTACATATAAAAATCTCAAAACAAGCGCCAGAGACGTCCAATAAGCTTACATACCCATAAATAAGGTCACTAACATCCCACACGCACACTTCAACATATCTCCACACTAACACGACCAACTTTTGCATTAATTCAAAACAATAAAAAAATAAAAAAGTTATTTTTTTTGTAAAAAAAAGTAAATAAAAAAGTTTTCATAATTTTTTGATCCAAATAAATATAATTATTTAATTATAATTAATTATAAATTATTTAGACCAGAGGGTATTATTATCATTTTTTAAGAACTGTATTATTCCCAAAATTGTGGAGTTTAAAAGATAAGGAATAGAACCAGGAAGGTGTAATTCCTTCATCTTATAACAAAGATTTCGGAACTCGTGATAATTCATTTGAGATCGCAACTCCCCTCTTCCCATTACCCTTTCTGTGGCTAAAACTAGTGTAAAGAATTTAGACAGTTTTTTGTGATCTACTGTCTTGATTATCAACTAAATTCTGCAGTGTGTTCATCGACGAATTAAATCAAGAAAATGATAATGAAGATATCCGAATTCACGATAAGGCAAGGAGACTACAACTCGTTAGTACAGTTGTAAGTTATCTTTTCTATTCTTATATGGAAAGCACTGCAAAGATGTCATACACTTTTTTGTGATCTTCTGTCTTTATGTTATTCTAACAAATCTACAATCACTGTATTATAATACCTATGTATGTGGAGACGGAAATATGAAACACCTTCAAATGTAATAAATTTCTTCATGAGTCATTGGGTCAATTTTAATAGTATTTTACTTATCGAAACTAAATTATTCATCATGTTGCTTCGTTATTATATTCTCAATGTTGGAAAGAAACGCTGGAGAGTATATAAACCATATACAATATTCTTAATTAGAATAAAAAAATATGAATAAGAATAACAGAATAGAATAATATAAATATATATTGTGATGATGTGCCGATTGTTTGTGTACTCCAGTTCGTAGCTTTGGATCACATTACAATGTTGTACACAAAGTCTAATAGAATATAGCATCCCAAGCACTTCAGCAACCTGATCAAGCCCATTATTAACCTTAACGTTGGTTATCCTTCGCAAAATCATATTATAATTTATTTTTTTGCGCCAATTGGACTTTATTCCTTTTTATTACTGTTTGAATTTTAGGTTATTTTTATAGCTTTTCCCTCACATAATATTATCATTAAGGATATATATCATATTCTCTTTTATTGAATCAATAATTTCACAGAGCACTCATTGTTCGAGGTTTTTATTGACAAGTTCTTTTTATTCCATCTAATTAAGGTCTAGTGTACGTTTCTAGACATGACTTACATGACTTCTAGACTTACCTCTATATTAGACATGACACAACGAAGTTACGATTAAAATTGGTTGTTACACATGTTATATATATATATATACCCATGCAAGCACTATTTGCAAGCGGTTTATTACTGGGTTTATTCAACAATATTTTCTAAATTAATGTTCACACGAAATATGGTAATTGAAGATTATCAATTGTTTTTAATTTGTAACTGTGAATAGTAATATTTTATATACGTTTGTGCCTTTATTTGTATTTTTATGACTATATCATTATTTGCCTAACCATAAAAACCGGACAACCGTTTGAATATTGTCTCAATTCCTGCTTCTACAGCCCCACATCTTTTTCTTCTTAGTACAAACTGCTTGGTATTTATGGGAACCATGTAACAGATCTTAAATTAATTATTATAATTATACATATTTTTTATAGTTCGACGTCTAGAAATTTTATTTTTGTTATGTAAGGCCTACTCTACAATAAAAAAATTGTCTATATTCGGAATTTCCACGACACTGTATTCTTGTTTTCTTTTAATTGAATATTGTTCTTATTTGTACTTCTTCAAATTAGATTTTCAAGAAAACAGATCCATACTTTAAATATTGTTTCTATTTGATGGTTACATGCGTCTTTGTGCTTATCTTTTAAATTGTATAGGTATACCAAGAACTTATAAAAAAGTATTTTTAAGCTCCATGTCCATCTGCTTTTAACTGTATACAAAGCTATACAACTTGAGTTTTAACTCTATTTGTGTGTCTACGATCCCACATCTTTCTCTTCTTAGTTGTGAATATAAACAGCTTTATGTGTTTATGGTAAGTATAGGAAAGATCTGCACAATTTGAATATTATAGTTGTTTATATATTTATAGCTTAATTTTTTTGTCTTGTTCACCATGGTGTATATCTATGGAACTGTATTCTTCTCTTCCAAACCATGAAGCAAGGCCACATATTGTATCTATAGTCCTACAACCTTATCTTCGATACTTCTGGAAACCACAGGAGAGATCATAATTTTGTTAATTGAATATTGCATTTCTTTGTATTTAATAGCTAACCTGTTATTTTCTGATCCTTAACTTTATCCTTAATGGAATTTTTTAACCTGAATATCGACTATATTTCTGCTTCCATTCAGTATGATATAGTGATCTTTTTCTATGTTTATAAGCCAATATGGAGAAATATATAGAAAAACTTTCGTACTAACGGCGTGATCATCGCATGATGATGAACTGTGATGTTGGCTCGATAATTTGGACGCACTTCATCAAATTATTCATCAAATTTTACTTTTTTGTTTAAATATTTTTGGTTTTATTTTCTTATTGAATCGATTTTAATATTTGATCAGTTGTACATATTTAATTGATGAAAACATTCTAATCTCTTTGATTTTTGTGAATTTTTGTCTGAGAAAGTGAAATCATGTTTGTTTCAATTTTAAAAATAAAATGATCGGAAAATATTTTGCCGCCGAGTGGCGAAAATAGGCGTGCAACCTGCCCGAGTTCCACGCGTTCGCCTCGTGATGAGTTGTGGATTTTATTTGTTTATTAACTTTTGCTTTCTTTCTTCTCAAGAGAAAGAAATTACATTGCTTGTCAATTTTGGTCGTCGCAATAATTTTGAATGAAAAATGAGTCCAATATGTGTCAAAGGCAAAGGAACCAACACATTTCAAGGGTGATGTATGTATTGCGAAAATTTTTTTTTGTCAACTTTTTAACAGACGAAAATTGGAAGACCAATAATCGGTTTACGAATTATAGATATAGATGGATTGTCAAATAATATTGAACTTTTATTTAAAACGATATTTTCATATATAAATTTACATAGCTATTTCGAAGTTCTGATATTTTAGTACATAAGTTCTTATTTGACTCGACACATCTAATTACAATTCGAATTTTATTTTTGAAGACAAAGCTACTGCACATATGAATTTGAAAACATTAACTGCAGTTTACTGCAGTTATATTTTATGAGCGCTACCAGTAATATTCAATCCATTTGAACCATTTGCAGTTCTTTTCTCCATGTTTTCAAAAAAATTTCCCTTGCACAACCTTCATACGCTTGAGACAGTTCCAATTATTCAGCGTTTCCAATCTAAAACATTGCGGATGATCACAACTGCACCTTGGTATATAACGAATGAACAGCTGCATAAACAACTACATGTTTGGACAATCAAGGAAGAAATAGCCAGTATTTTAAAGAATTACGCTCATCGCATATATATGCACCCAAACCCGCTGGTGACACACCTGATGTCCCCTTCCAACACTTTTATAAGGCTGAGAAGGAAAACATCTAGAGATATTTTAGATATGTATATGTAAATCACACTGTTACTTTAAATATATAGGGATATATCACTGGGCATAGTCCATACGTGTCTTTCATTTTTTTAGATCGTAATAATTATTATTACGATTTATAATTATACTTATTACTTATTGTCATTCATACCTGACAGATTGTAATAAAATAAATGGATCTCAAAAAAAAAAAAAAATCATATTCTTGGATAAGAAGTGCAGTTATCCTTTCATATATTTTAGTGTATGTATGGTGTATGTACAATATAAAAGTTCAGCAGCAATTTAGATATTTGATGCTGCGCCAAGTCGATGTCTGCTCTGTGAATTCCGTTTGAGGACTTATATGTAGGAGTTTAACTTTGTGTCACAGACTCACTGTCATTTGGACCTTTCAACCATATCTTTGACTGGTTTACCATTATACATAATCTTACTTTTATAATTAATATACAGTCCACCATATTTTTAAAACTTATCTAAGACACTTAATTATGTAGTCTAAGGAGGTAGAGAAATTTCACGTTGGGAATATATATGCAAAATTGCATTTCGTAGCTGTTACTTTATATACTTGCTAAAATATTATCAACTTCTATTAGTAACGTAAAGCAGATTTTGATTTCTTTAACTAGGCGTTGTTAACTTAAAAGAATTTTATTATAAATTAATATTTACTTTCTTGATTTAAAATTAAATTTAACAATAGACCCAAAAGTGGACCTATATATTTGAATATAAGGTCGACTAGGACCTTACTTCACCTTTCCTTACCTTTCATCTTTACGGGATTGTGGCCCAACTTATGTATGTTGACATTCGCAAATACATATCTGCTGAATATAATTATTTGAAATAGCTCCACTAGGAGCTGACAGATTTACTGGCTTTCACCTTTATGGAATTATGTTTCAATTTATGTGTGTTGTTATGTGGCAGGTATGTTTGCTCCTATGTTTTTTTAAAATGCACCTTCACTAGGAACTGTAACCTTTACGGGATTGTGGCTTAACTTACCCGTGTTGATGTGAGCCAAGTGTTTTTCGTTTTTTTTTTTTTAAATTTATATGAAAAGCGGGCCTTTCGTTCTATATACCCGTACATAGGTATACAAGGTTTATCTATTTTTGAAAAAATAAATACATGTACATATATTACTATTTGTTCGATACGTATACATATATAGCATTTAACGGTCAGTGCTACGAATGATTTGCACTCGTTGGTATTTACGTACATACATACAAACACATGCACTTTCTCGCCTGTGAAGAGAAAGCTTGCCTAGGTACGCATGCAAGCTGCGTATATTGCATTGAAATGTGATTTCTTTGTTCGGACTTCCGATTCCTATTGATTCGGGAATTTTCATTTGTCAACGTAGTAAAATAATTCCGGTTCGCTGCTATATAAAAACAAGTATCGCAATGGCTCAGTTCCAAAAGCGTTGAAGATTGTCAGAAGGTTCGACACGCGTCTTAGCAGCTCGATCGTTTGTTTAGTTGTAAATTAAAAACAATAATTAAATATATTAATTATAATAATTTAAGAACAATAACAAGTCGAGCAATTGAACAAGTGACGGTACGTAAAATGTGTTTCTACGAATTTGAGATGAGAGTGGATCATAAAAAAGAGTTAACCTTGCTTCCAAGGCTCAAAAATTTATAGATTCAAACGGGAAATAAACAAAATTCCATTGTTATTTCTGTAGATATGTACATTGTTTTTATTAGTTATTTTGTTATTATTTTTGGAAAATTTTTTAATTAAATTTAATTAAGACAATAAAGTGTAGAATGTGCGTGACGTGATGAGCATTGCAAACTCAATTGATAAGAACGACACTCAGCTATATTCCAAATCTAAGGGAATACATGTTGAGGGCCGTGTGTATGTGTGTATGTGAGTGCATGTTGTTTTCATTGATGTTATAAATATGTACATACATATATAAACTATGTATAATCTATTAAATATGCCTCATCCTATATGGATTGTTACGCCGTGCAAGCACATGCTTGCAAAAGAATCGCTTATCATACCTGAAAACTAGTGATGGATAACTCTGTGATAAGCAAACTCTTAGTAATTCTTTTTTTACATTTTCTTTAATCCCGATTTAAAAAATTTCGGTAATAATATGTGAACTAAAATTTTTGCAAACGTTTAGACTTCGTATTGAATTGATAATGAGTATTGAATATTCTGTTCAAGATATTTAAGTGTAAAGTCTTATCAGTTTATTTATTTAATATGAAATCTACTATTTGTAGTGCTACACTCAAAACCCTCGGTGTTTTAAAACATTTATTTTCTTTCTTAAACATATACAAAGCATTATATTACAAAATAATACTAAATACGACATCGCCCACAACAATCGCCCTAAGATAGTTCAAAATTTTTTATTTGGACAGGCGCCAATAAAGTTGCCTAGACTTGTGAGATCACTAATTGTTTCAATTAGTTATAAACTAGGTTCGTTTTTTCTATTAATCAGGCAAGGAAAAGTCTAGTTCTAAATAAATTTTCACTATCAGGCTTACCTGTTTATTATACAGTAAATATATAAAGATAAACAAACTGTCAAGTTTTGTTCTGAACCAGGTTAAGATTACTAATCTGGCAGCTTCTATTTCCGTTTAATATTAAAAAATCCTAAACTGGAAATATTCGAAGATATTCATTCAAAGGACCGAACGTCTTTTGTCAGTTAAGCTCAGCTGTATCACAAATTAACTGCAATGATCCCGATACTCTGGTATAATGGAACATTCACCCTGTTGATTTTTATTCTATAGATGATATAATAATATGTATCTATATATAACGTCGTAAATGTAGGATGTTTTGCATAAAAATTAATATAAAACTAGTACTTATACATTTAACTACAAAAACGGATAAATAAATTCACATGTAATAGAATAAAAATTTTTAATGATCTAAGCTGTATGATACCCTGTATTTAGATTTAGATTGAAAATAAAAATATGTTTGTTTTTTATGCCTTTAATCTAATTAGTAATTAATTAGTAATCTAATTAGTAAGAGTTTTCATAGTAAGAGTTGTTTTACTGTAGAAGGTTTTCTATATGGTTAGTTCAGAGAAAATCGAAAATTTGTATATATTGCGAATTTATTATATATTATACATATTTACATATTTAAGACTACTAAACCAAGAAAACAACGATTAGACGTTATAGAAATGATTCCTAAAAACATTTGGAAATTACTGAATTACGACCATTAATCATGTTTATTGGAGAAATACTGTGAAAGTCGCTTCGCTTACTAGTTATTACGTATAGTTCTTAAGTTAATTATTAAGAAGTGGTCTCCTTAAGAGAACAAAGAGATCTTTACAAAAAAGAAGTCGTCATTGAAGTTTATGCATTTATCCTAGATAAAAGATTTTCAAAAGTCTACAGAAATAAGAATTGTTCATATTAAAAACTAGAAAATTGTGACATAAAGCAGAATAAAATATATAAAAAACCGGAACTATCACATCCTAATCAAAATTTCTCTTTATCGTACTTATACATAAAATATATAAGAATACGCCATTTATTTCTACAATAAAAAAGACCCTCTTTAATAAAAAGAAAGCCATACTTTCTTTCAAAAAAATTTATAATCCCTACATAAATTTGTGTTTAATTATGTGATGTACGTTCATTAGCATTTTGTGCTCTCCCTTTAACTTTTGCTTACGAAGTCTCCAAATAATTTCTCCAATGAGAAGTGATACTTTAATGCTGTAGGGTACTAACACTAATCAACATGACAGACACTATTAAGAGTTGTTCTACTCATGTTTACGGTTCAAGCCATGCAAATGATTCAGTATCAGAGTAGCGTATTTCATTAGGAGTTGATGTGCCGATGTGTGTTAGTTTGTGGATTGTTGTGTGTCTATATATATAAATGGTTATAATATAAAAATTATTAAATAATTTCGGAATTTTTGTGAAAAGCATCTGTTTTCGTATTTAGTACGCGTTTTGCTCAGACTTTATAACTTCATTCCTTGTGAGTGATCTGCGATAGCTAAACGCTAAACGCTTAAATCTAAACTTGTACACTAAGAAGGATCAAGTGATTTTGAAAGTGAAGGAAGAATCGAATGTTTTTCACTTTTATTAAAAATTATAGAAAAATAAATAAACATTGATATTATCATTAGCATTAACATTTAGATTAAAAGTTGTAATAAAATCAGTTTTATAACGCATTAATTTTTGTGAATTCTCTGCAGTGGAACTAAAAAAAGGACAAGGAATATTTTTACTACTATTTTTGCTAGTACTTGGCAAAAATTCAATTGCGTCTCAATTGGACGAAAACCATTCTGATTTGTTGAAACAGACCACCGAGGAGTACAAAATGCCTGAGAAGCGATTGGTACCAGCAATTTCATCTTTGGAAGAATTCGAAACGAATTTGCCTGGGTAAGTTACTTATTACTTAATGTGACAGCCACTTCCCCCACCTTCGGTTTATTTCCGTACTCGAACTGACCTTGACTGCGTACTTCATGCGCCACATATAATCAACAATCTAACAATCAACCAAAGCTGTTACACGTGTATGGACGTGTGTGTGCGTTATAATGCGCTAATAAATTGCATTGTGACGAGTGATAAGAGCAATAAGGCTAGGTGAAATGTACTGCAATTGTCTATTAACCCTTTAGTATACAAGAAAATAAAAAATACAATTCGCTCGGGCTTTTGAAAAGTGGTTCATAAAGTGGTCATATGAGGCCAAAGTCCAAATGTGTGGAAGTCAGAAAAAGGTTAATGTCCGTGAAAAGAATTCAATGAACAATATTTTAGTGACTAATACTGCAATTACAATCCTATATAACAGACTTACTTTTCAATTTTTGAATATGCAATCCTTTCCTCCAATTCCTCCAATTATCAAGGTGGTTTCCTTAAAAGATCGATAGTTTAAATATGATAGGAAATTATTCAGTTTGTTTAGATTTTTATATTGTATTGACAACATCCGTTTGAAATTTTTTATACAAAACCCTAAAGAAGTTGATATTTAAAACAATAATGGATTATCATTTGGGCTCTAAAAGATACTCAGATCCTACAGGTTATTCAATACTGTGTTAGTAAGAGATAATATTTTTTACAGGCTTAAAACGAAAGGGTGGTTTGAGTTCTAGAAGTTGCCATATTCTGACACTAGCATTATTAGTTGTAAATAAGACATGTAGATTTCGGGATGGTAAATATTGTTTGAGACCTCGTCCTCGTATGTTAGAAATACAAGTTTTCATAATTAATTTGGTATATGGCAATTTAATATTTAAAAACAAAAATTTGTAATTATATGTTCTTGAGCAGATAATGCAATAACTAGATTAAGATATAAGATATACGGGTACTTTATGGTATTTTATGGTTTCCGTAGGGATTTCTTTTAACTTCTATTTTAATTCTACATTGAATTTTACTAATTGCTCCATTCATTTATGGACAAAGCTTAACGTACATTCTTAGTTTCTATGATTTCAAGATTTAAGAAATAATACAGCGCTATTTCTCACACTTTTTTTAAACTCTTTGTGAACCTTCTTGTCACCAGTCTAGGGCTAGTCTTATTTAGCGTAAAGCATGAGTTTCTATTAGAATAAAGTAATTAACAAAGACAAAAAAAAATGCTTACAATATTTACATATAGAATTGATTACTAAGGTCAAGTTAGAATGATATCATTAAGAAATTAGGATTCACTTAATATAAATGTCTCATTTTGTTATAATTGTAAGTTACGAATGTATCTATGAATTGAGAAACTATTTTAAGGTTTTAGCAAAGCACAAAAAGGTTCCACTTATAGGTGTCACCGCCGATGAAGAAATAGTGTAGTGGTTTACTAGTTCTTCCCATTGCAACTACGATATTGATTATTAGATAGCAAACCTAACCTTCGTAAAACTACAGCAAGATTAAATTCCTTAACTGTAAGACTCATAGGAAAATTCCATTTCCTGAAATTTAAAAAGGTTAGCACTGAATTTCTCTGTCTCTTCCATTTGTCACTGAACTAACTCAAAGAACCAGATTAACAGATAAGACGGTGTAAGCGGTAAAAAATAGTTTTATATATGTTTCAAGTATTGAAGTTCCACAAACTAATATTTTTTAAATTACTTTTCCAACAATATAAATTATATTAGTTAATTACACATTTGGAAGTTCTTCAAAAAGCAAGGGGCGAGTTAAACCATTCCTCTGCCTTTTAGTATGCCGTACCACACTACTTGTCTCTAATGGTAAATAGTAACATGGACTCCTGTACGGAAGATTGTTATCTTTCTTAAAATTAGAAGTTCCAACAATAAATATTTTAATAAAATATTTGCTGGATATCTAAAAAATTATCTGAATCTAATTTTGATTTTGTATTATCGTTATAATACAAATGAGCTTATTATCCAGTACTATTAAATTAAATATAAACAAAACAAAACATAATTAAATAATATTGTTTTTTTTTTCTTATTAATCAGCTACTTAAATCCTGAAAAAAAGCTAGCAATCCTTTTGGACTATGATGGCACTTTGGCTCCGATTGCTAGTAACCCTAATAAAACTGCAATGCCAATAGAATGTGAAATATTGTTGAACAAAATTGCGAGTCATCCTAAAGTATTTCTAGCTGTTATTTCGGGAAGAGGCATTAAAGACGTGCAGGAGAAAGTTGGCATAGCCAATATAACATATGCTGGTAATCATGGCATTGAAATTGAGAACCCAGATGGTACACGGCAAGACTACAAGTTGTCAGGTGAAGTCTTAAATTCCTATCGTCAGCTCGTCAACGAACTAAATCAACAAGTTAGCAAAAATAATGCCTGGGTTGAAGATAAACGTGTGTCACTTACGTACCATTATCGTGACACGCCACCACTTATCAAAGAAGAGCAGAAACAGTTAGCTATTAAAATCATAGAGGCTCATGGGTTTAGAGCGAACCAAGCACACGAAGCAATTGAGGCTAAACCACCAGTGAATTGGAATAAAGGTATATTAAACTAATTCGCAACATCGATCCATATACTAAAATTTTGTTTTTAGGTGAGGCAGCATTATTGATTCTAAAAAATAAATTCGGGAACAATTGGTCTAATCACGCCGGTGTTGTGTTTGCTGGTGATGATAACACAGACGAGGATGCAATGCGAGTAAGAAACCGTTTATTCTGTAAATCTATACAAATGTTTATTTTTCATAATTCCAGGTATTACAAGGCTTAGGAAAGACCTTTAGAATATCTACAGATCCAAATATCGAAACTTTTGCTGATTTTCGTCTTGCTAGACAAGATTTGGTTACAGATCTTTTAAAATGGATTGCAAGTGCTTATCACATATAATAGATGCTAAGATTATAATAAATTCGATATTCTTTACACTTGTAGCTTTATTTATAAGAGATAATCATTGTTCCAAAACTGGTATATATATTTGTGAAAGTATTTTTTGGATATTTGTATAAAAATGCTTTAATACTAAGTTTTATTTTATTTTATAATATTTTTAATTATATATAAATATCATGTATTTGTTAAATTTCTAATAAAAAAAATGTTCGAATCTTGATTTTAGTGAATTAAAAGAGTTATATATATGCATATCCTCTCTAAAGGGATAGATTGTACACTTTTCTTTAAAAAATCTAGAAGGTTTGTCATGATCGAATGTGATCTATATTCGATTGTTAGTGACTTTAGTTTATTAGATATGAAAATTATAAATGGATTACTCTATATACACAGGATGGAATGAAATGGAAAGGATGTTAGAATATATGTAAGAGAATGCGTAGTCACAAAATGATTTTGTGGATTTCACTTTTTTTACTTATACCTATTGCTGTAAGAGATCACTTGTTACTAGTGTAGATCTTTTCTTTGTGACTCCTACAGATCATGATCAACGTTGTTTAAACGACAAAATGCTCAAAACCCTATTGACTCGTTATAAGATGATCTGTTTCCCTAATATGTTTTCACGAGAAACTTTAAAATAGAAAAGGTTATTTAACTAATTGTGCATCTGCTGATGGTGTTCTTTTTAACCCTTAATGAATCCTAAGATTATCCAATAATTTAAGTGTTATATTTATTGTTTGATAATTTCTCTATTAAAAATAAATTAGAAACTCACAATGTTAGGACTAATATCTTTCCAGTCATTATAATAGATTAACATCAGGTTAGAATAGTCAATAATGTGTCGGTCATTTTTTAACAGGGAAAAGACTATGTGAGGAGCGATATGCTAAAATCATTTAACACGTCAGTAACCACTTAGTGTCACTTATAGCTCCGGTTGAACTTTCACCATTTAGAAGTAAAACAATTAGAGCAGTCCTTCTCGGAAACGATGGAATAATCCAGGTCACAGCAACATTACAATTCTCCTCTTTACGATTTTGCATATTTCCAAAGAAAAAACTATAATAATAGATTATACTTGTATTAGTAAAAATTTGGCCCAACTTCATATCCAATTAGATACAACTTTCTTATTCACTTTTACTGTTCATCATTCCATTAAGAATAGTCTGTGTAAAAAGAACGTGCTTAGTATTGACCTTTAGCCATTTGGCATTTGATCCCAAAAATCGACCGTTAAATGACTTTGAAATACTTGGTTTAGTAGGTAATATACAAATCGATTGCTTCAAAAATAATTTAATTTTAGTCTTTAACTGGTAGCATAATGAAATCAGTTACAATCATACTTTTTGCTTTACTCCTGCACAGAACGCAGTTAGGCTTTGCATTAAAAGAAATGTAAGTAGCGCAAAATTAAAACATTTAAATGTTTTGTTTATTGGGAATTTTAAAAATTATTTACCGATTTTAAGGAATCTCATACCGGATTTGGATAAAGTGTCACATTTAGGTTTCCTGCTCTCCGAGATTTTGCTTACAGTACGTCTGCACCGTTGTCTCGCTATCATAACTGATGACAACTATCATACAACGTATAATCAAGACTTCTTTCGAGCGTCATCACTCTACTGGCCATATTTCTATATTAAAGTGGCCGAAAGTGAAGATCTCATGTCACCTAATTATCAAATGTTACAAGTCGTTAAGCTTATGAGATTATACTATTGTGACATCTATTTGGTAACGTTGCTAAATGGGCACCAAGCAAAGCGTTTTTTCCAGTTCATATATAAGCACAAATTCTTCACTGCACAACAGAGCTTTATAGTGTTACACGATGATAGGCTTTTTGTACCAGATATGTACCATATTTGGAGCAGCGCGATTTCAACAGTCTTTATAAAGACAAACAAGAGTGATTGTTGTTCGTAAGTATAACAAAATCTTAGTGAAAATTAAGATGGAACCTTCTAAAAGCTTAGCGTTTCATCTTAATGTCCTCAGATATCCGATATATAATTCAAAATATATTTAGATACTGAGGGCCCAGCTTCTACTCAGAGCACGGGTCGTAATAAAAACAAGAACTACTAAAAAAAGATAATTCAGCACAGCAGTTAAAAAAATTATTTCTGTTGAAAAGGGAACTTAATTTTTATAATAGAGAAATGTGATTTTTTTACTATCTTTCAGTTTCCTGATTTCCACAATTTCCCCTCCAACATATTTGCAAGGATTGACAGTAACCACCGATTTTATCACATGGAATAGAAAAACAAGACTAAAAAATCACCAATTGTTTTGGGACAAGTGCACTAATTTGAATGGTAAGAATGCAAAAAAATATTACCCACCAAAAAAATTATCATGATTTTAGGAAAACTGGTACCCATAATTGTGTCGAAACATTTACCAATGACAATGGCTAATGCGGACAACAGTAATTATATAGGCCTAGAGGTGGAAATAATAAAAACACTCGCAGAAGGGCTTAATTTTACTCCACTGTTTTATGCAAATGAAGATAATGGTAGTAACCGTTGGGGACGAAAATTAATTAATGGCAGTTACAATGGATTACTTGGAGAAATGGTTCTAAATGTCTCTAAAGCATTGCCACATAAGCTTTTTAATTTCGTTTCCGTAGATGAAAAATAAAGCACAGTTTGCTATTGGAGACCTACACATGTACACGTTTTATAATGATATATTGGATTTTAGTTGGCCCTATAATCACGAATGCCTGACTTTTCTTACACCAGAATCATCACAGGATAACTCATGGAAAACACTCATACAACCTTTTAGGTAATAATATATTTCACAATAATTGTTGAACGGCTATCTCCAATTTGAAGTGGCAACGGCAATAGTTCACAGAATTATTGGAATTTTTCTTGAATAATGGAAAATGAATAGTGACTCCATTAAAAAGTGCAGTATAGTTATATTAAAATTTAATTTTGTCAGCACTCAAATATGCTAAAATACGACTGACATATTTTATAATTATAGATCTACCATATAGCCAATATCAACAAGATATGCCTATATATTATGAAAAAAAACTCAATTCCTACGGTAACTGTTAGTTAGTAGTCATCTATTTTGCTCAATCAATAGGGTGAATAAGTCTAAGAAGCTCATATAGTCCTATAGAGGTATATAAATTATATGTGGTAGTAGTAGTTCTTCGTACGCAAATTAAGAGCACCAGACTATTATAAAACATATGTAACCTTGCCTCTACTCAGATATTATTGATCAAATTTAGTCTCAAAAAAGATTGTTAAAAAAACATTTTGTTTACTATTTTGTACCTAGTTTAAAACAGCCTAAAGTTTCACATATTTCAGACCTTCTTCCATGTTTTTTAGATAAGTTATATATGTCATTTCTTTCTCTCAAATTTGGGTTAGTTGATTTGAAAGTCGATTTTGTTTTTTTAAGAATATTAACTTTTATTTCGAGCGTTAATATTTAGTCTTTTCTATACGTATTTTGGTAAATTCGCTTTTGCCTTTACCAGGAGAGTTTCTAATATTGTATAGTTGATTTGAAAATCCTGCAATAAATCCTGTCAAAATTGCAGCGCCATCGGAAAAGTTGAAGATCTTTCATTGTATGTTGAAAGATATTAATATCAATACCAATGTGGTATCCGACCCTATCAAATCGTGTCTCATTTGGTTTGGAGTATTTTAAGAAACTTATACAGCTTTGGTACAATGTGTAATGGACAGATGAGTCTGCATTTCAATTCCAGGGTTCGTATGGTAAGCACTTATTTGGACCCAAATTTGGCAGTCCAAATCGGCTCATATATTTTGGAACACTTTTCCATGCACATATTGTAACTAACATAAGCAGATACTTTTATTCGATTCAGGTTTATTTACATTCAATGGAATATATATTTACTAAATACAGTGCTGAAATGTGGACTGGAGTACTGCTTTCATTGTTACTAGTGGGCTCCATATTTTATGCTATATCCTATATACACTCCCATATGGTTTTAATGCTTACATCGACTCAAGTACTTGAAGTGAGGAAAAAACGCAAAAACTCACTGAAAGCTTTGATGAACTCACACGGCTTACACGATGTCAACTTCCGAAAATATATAAATCATATGCCCCTGATTCAACCACAGCAGAAAGATATATTTGATAATATCGCCGATTGCATTCTCTTCACATCTAGTATGCTAATGTATGTAGCCCTTCCGCGAATGCCCAGAAATTGGCCACTTAGAGTGCTTACGGGTTGGTATTGGCTCTATTGCATTTTGATAACAGCGACTTATAGAGCAAGTTTCACCGCCATTTTAGCTAATCCTCCGCCCCGGTAAGTCTTATAGATGATTAGAAATGTAGTATATATATGTTTTTTAAATTCATTTATATGCAGCATTACTATCGATACACTACAGCAATTAGTTCAGAGCCGCATCACCGTGGCTGTAGGAGAAAAGGAAAATGAGCGTTTTTTCAATGAGGCCTTCGATGAAGAGGCACAAAAAATTGCTACTAAAATGGACGTCATTGATAACATAGATGGATTGGTAATATATTTAACTAAAGATTTCCAAATTGTTTATAGTTTTAAATAAAATTTAGACGCAACGGATTGCTATGGGTGATTATGCTTATTACGATAACGAATATTTTTTAAGGCACATACGTCTTATGGGTGGAGACAGGCAAAATCAAGTGCTTCACATTATGGGTGATTGTATAGTTCATCTTCCGGTCGCAATTGGCATGACGAAAAATTCACCATTCAAACCAAATGTTGATAAATATTTGAAAAGATTCATTGAATCAGGTCTTATAGCTTCACTTTTCATATATATAAGTTTATATTTCAATTCCTTTTTTTAGGACTCACCAACAAGTGGTTGAAGGATATTACAAAAAATTTACCATCAGAAGAAGAAACCCCACAGGAGGCATTTATGGATATGACTAAGTTTATTAGTTCTTTCGGTGCGCTTGGAATCGGTTATTTATTCTCTTTCTGTGCCATTGGTGGTGAGAAACTATATTTTAAATATATCGTAGAAAGACATCCAGCATACGACGTATACAATCCAAGTCTTTACTATAAATTTACTCGCAGATATCATTAACATATATACACGGCTATATAAATGATTTTAAATAAACAAATAAAAATAATGAAATTTTAGTATGTTTTTAATAAGTTTTTTTTGTTTTATCTGACATCATAGAACATATAAATAGTTACACATAAACACATATAGGTAACACACATACACACACAAAGTATATACAAACACTCCTAATAACTAATTTATATACAAATCATATTTCCATTAAATCTTAAGTATAAAAATGAAATTCAGTCGAAACCTGTGTTTGCGGAGAGAACGCTTGTTTTCCGGAACTGGCTCGACCTATAGACTTCAATTCAAGAGAGCACAAAAATAATACACAAGTGTTGTTTATAAATAGATAGATAGAGCGAAGTTTGCCCTAGACTGCTGGGGAACATTTTTGCAATCTTTTATAGGAAATTGTGACAAATAATGTCAAAACTAGGTTCTTCAAAATAACAAAATATCTACAATTGAAAATGCCGCTTTTATTTCAGTTTGCAGTTTGGCAACCTTTTTTTTTTGTTTACAAATTCGTTTAAAACTTTTTTCAAAAAAGTTTTTCTTCGGGAGCCAAGAACTTACTGACCCCACTGAACTAAATTTTGGAATGTTTTCGACAATGCACGAGTTTAAGCGTATCACATCTACATTATAATGTGTTAAAGTTAAAATTTTAAAACGTGCAACAACAAAGCTTAGGGCAGAAGATAAGAAACTACAGGCAAAACTAAGATGTTGTGATGATTGGACTAATCTGTTTTGAGAGTGCGATCATCAACGGCATTATTATTCCCCAAGTGAGTCAAAAGTTCTTGCGATTAAATTAAGTACATAGTAAAGCATAACAAATAAATACTGAATAAATATCTTAGACTAGTTTTTAAGAACTATCTAAGATGGGTTCTAAATGTGAAAATAACATTTACAATCATTCATCCAACTGAAGTTAGAGAATAGTTAAAGAAATTATGTTTTCACTTTTCTTCCAAGTTTGGTGATAGCGTATTTGTTTTGACCGTTATTGTGCTTATTTTTGTTTCCATTTAGACGCAGAATTCCATTAGGTTTTGTGCGTGTCTCGAAAAGGACATCGGAATCCGTGTCGGAATCTGTTAAGGATGAAACGCGTCCAACTAAAAAAATAAAATTATAATATTACTTTATACTTGGAGTTGTGGATGATTTTAGCTTACAATGTCCACCTTCTTCATCCTGATTACCAATCAGAGAATACTTTTGCACTTTCGGACGTGATCGTGCTTTTGGTCGGGATTTTAGTTTTGACTTTTTGCATGCACAAACAATGCCCCATAATATTATTGACAACAATAAGAAGCACATAATGACACTAACAAACACATATAGAATAGACCAATCTGCAATTTTTTTTGTGTATCAACATTATAGTATGTATGTGAAATAGTCTATTTTGTTTGTCTTACCGCAATTTGGTTCACTGACACCCCAGTAATAACCAAACGAAGACATCCAAAATGCTTCGCATATGCAATTACGGGTAACTGTGTTGCAAACGCCATGACCGGAGCATTTGTTTTGGCAAACTGTTGTTCTTACGTCTGCAAATACTGTGCCTAGTATGGAGACATCACGTTGCAGTTTATCCTTAAGTAATTGTTCAATTACAAGCCCCTCTACGGGATTCGTTTGTCCATCAGAACCAGCAGCAGACTGAAAAGGGAACATAAATTACAAAAAATAATAAAAAATTAGCTATGAACTATGAGTACACACCTCTACGTAAATGACTAAAATTGATGTCTCAGCCCTCGAATCATATTTCAGCTCTCGCACATGAATTTTCATATCTCCTAGTAATAATGCAATTTTTTGCACAACTGAATTCAATTCAGATTGAGCAAGGTTGGATATGCTCATTGGCAATGTCAACTCAACGAGGTACATAAGCATCGGATCCGGGTGCACTATGACACTGATTGTGTCAGTATTAGTTAAGCCCTGCTCATCACTAACCGTCAATTTGAAAACATAACGTCCATGCACAAGATTTGTTAACTAAAAGAAAATGGAACTGTTCTTTAGGTTTTGATATCAAAACTAGCCACATCTCAGCTTACAATTAGAACAGGTTTTGTATTCGTGTCTCCCACTATAACACCTGCTGCAAGACTAGAATCATCACGAGACCACGCATACTTCACGATTGCCAGATCGTCCGATGATTTCGACCCATTTAAATACAGTGCAGAAATCGGTAAAGTGACGCTTTTGTCACCACCAGCGTTCGCAACAGGTGGCGCATTCTTTTCTATATATTTAACAAAATAAATTAAGAACAGGAGTTACACATATAAAATATAAGTCCATTCTTACCCTGTACTACCTTAACCCAAACCTTATCGCTTGCAGTATTATTACTTGCATCTGTTACAAATAACTCAAACTCATACAGACCCAGAGTAAGTGATGTGGCATTAGCGATCTGAAATGTTGAATGAAAAGAAAGAAGATATAATATATATAAATATTTATTTATATATATAAATATTTATTTATATTTATTTATATTTATTTATATATTAAATATTTATATATTATATATATATATATTTATTTATATATATATATTTATATATGGCGTGCAAGTAGAAATTGCTGAGACAGCATTAAAGCTCATTATATTATTTTATAAGAATCATTTTAGACTCCGCACAATGGTGGTGAACAGGTGACGTACATGACTGGATATTATTGAAGCGCATATAAAAAGCAAAACTAGGATATGTATACTGGAACAGTATAGGTTGCATTAAATAACCGTATTGTTAATTTGTCTTCGCTCATGGAATAGCCACCCATTGCTTTTAATATCTATTTATGACCACTACACTTGTTCCACAGTATAGCAGCATATGTGGAGAATGTCTGCTCACTATCTAAAACGACAAATGTCATCATTAAGTTATGTATCATATTTAATAAGCAAGACATCAGTAACTTATTATTTTAAAAAACTCTCAATGAAAGTAAAAAGTAAAGACTAACTTCTGAATGCCATTTAATAAATATATTCTATCGTAACTAAATAAAATGCTCTATGGTTTCAAGAACGGCCAGACCTAGACCGTTTGTTATAAAAGGTAAAAATGCTAACACAAAAGAGAAAATAAATTATTAAGCATGTTAGGCTTCTATATGGTTGTTATGTTACTCCATGTTGTCCAACCGTCCTTGACAAAGTCTAGTAAGCAAAAAATATATAAGTGCAACAAAGATTAAACTGAGAGGAAGATATAGACGAAATGATTAGTGTTTTATATCCACCGGTGCTTTATCGCCTGCGGTGCTTTTAAGAAGAGCTGAGTTTAATGAAAGTATAGTGGGTATCGGTAAGGTAAAGCCTGAATCAAATTTCAATAACTTTACCAATATAACAAAAGTAAGCTAACAATTAATTAATTTTAAGTTAGCTACTTTAGAACAACTGAACTGATGGATGACGTAATGACAAGCAAGCTGCTATTGTATAGGTTCCAGGAACAGAAGTCTACGTCAAAGATTCAATTGTCTGCACAGGCGACTAAATGTTGCTCATCACAGCCTTTAACGACAATAACAACAGGACCTGTCGGATTACAACTACAATATCAGTTAACATATACATAAGAAAGTAGTCCTCTGTTCAGTAAAAAGCCAAAAATTCACATTTCCTCAGAGAGAACAGCATAATATTAATTTTTGCATATTTACCGAAGTGTTGGAATTTTTTATAGCTGCGGTATTGGGTCCAGAGACTTGTTTCCAATTGTAGCGCTCAATTCGAATATCGTCTGTTGATTGACTTCCATTTAGTAGAGCCCAATTTAGTGGTAAATTGATGGTCTTAAAAAAATAAATTATTAAATAAATATTTTCACATATTTAAATTACATTTTCTTTAAAATTACATTATTTTGTCCTGCTACAGATATGGGAGGAGAATTTGTAGGTTGCTTCACGAAAACATTCACTTTCGCCGTACTAAATTGACCGCTTTCATCTGTAACTTTTAATACAAACGTATACATCCCTTCCTCTAAATTGGACAACTGCAATATAATGATTCAATAAAAAATTTACATACAACCATAAGAAGGAATAAACCTGCACATATGGAGTTCTAGTATTTTGCATGTCAACTGCTTTCGTTTCATCACTCGCATCCTTCGTCCATTCCCAAGCAACAATTTCATGATCGTCAGTACTAGCAGTGCCATTAAGTGTGACATTGTTGTTAGGCAAGAACAATATAACTGCTTCACCTGATTTTAATTGAAAACAATGTAAATGAAGAACTTCTTATTTTGATTTCCATAACGTTTACCTGCGTTTGCAACTGGTGGATAATCTGTAGCTTTTACCATAATAATATTGGCTGTTGTAGAATTTTTCTCATTATCCGAGTCCGTTACGGTTAGTTTAAAAGTATAATTTCCAGGTGACGTAAGGTCGGTTAATTGCAATGTACTTGTGTTGGGCAATTTCGGTTGATAGCCGATTGGACCAGATACTACTTCCCACTGCCAACTTACAATTTTGTCATCGTCCGTACTAATGCTACCATCAAGTACAGTATGTGAGGTAGGCTGTTGTAATATTTGGAAAGGTGGCTTTATTATAGCTTGTGGTACACGATTTATACGTGCTTCTGGTAAAACCGTTACATTGGCTGTAGCTTCGCCAAACGTATCGTTAGCTCCGGTAACAGTTACACGGAATGTATACAATCCTTCAGAAAGATTCGAAAGTCGCACTTTTGCTTTACTTTGATCAGATATTGTACCGTTCATCGGACCTTTTGGTTGGCTAATTAGAGTCCATAAATAGTTGTATTTCGTATTAGCCGTTTCTTCATCTGGCACGGTAAAAGCGGCTAAAGTCACTTCCTTTTCAGGTAGTCGAACCTGCTTTGATACAACAGATACTACAAGTTTCTTTCTCTCAGCTTCCTTCGCTGAATCTGCGTCGTTATTTATCGCATCTTCTTTGCTAAATTCAGTAATTGTTGGAGAAACATTTGAACTTGCCGCTGCCATTGTCATATGTAAGCGAGGAGAGTTTTCATCTAACTGATAGTCCACAGTTTTTAGAACGCATTCATGCCGCTCATTTCTATAAAACCCGTGCGAACATTTACATACCCCAGTGGGTACATCTGGATATACAGGCACACATTTTTCGTTAACTGGACAGCCACTACCTAATTCGAGGTCACACGGAATGTAGTTTGTATTTGTATTAGTATTTGGTTGTAGTTTGGTATCATAAAAAGCTAACTCATCTGGTGATACATTATTGTTGTCAGCCAATGTAGACATAAATAATTGTTTCATGTGCTTTTCAGAAATAGGAAATTCACTATCATCATAAGAGGATACATCCTTTGATAAAAATTTATAAAATTATGTAAAAAATAGAATGTATAGTTTAGAGAATCTTACCTGTTCTTTAATGGGATAATGAAATTTGTGTGGCATTCTCCAAAAGCTTAGTGTATTTGTGGTAGCAGGACTCAAATTTTCAGCTGATAACATAACATTATTCTCATTTTCCCCTTTTAAAAAATCCAGCCAGGTTACATTTTCATCATCAGCGTCAGGTTGTCGTACCGGATTTACTAAAAACATTTGCAGTCTCTCTTTGATGTTTGCTCGTTTTTTGGGAACGCACGCTTCGTTGGTGAAACAACGGACGTGATAGCATTTTCGCTTGTAAACAAATACAACATTACAACTATTGTTGCGTTGCTTCTCACAGCATGCAGCTAGGCAGGCATGCATGCTATCTTCATCTGAATCACCAATAGTTGAGTACAACTCAAATTTTCCAGCTTTGGACTCATCTCTCGGAACAGCATTTTCAAATACAGACCGAATCATGTTCGGGCACATGACAAACAAGTTGCTGTCGGCATTTCGTGTAGCCATATCCAACTGGTCTCCTACTGCATTTGCTTCTAGTACATTTTGAGTAGTCGACTGACTGGCAGCTGTCAGGTAAAATAGGAACAGTAAAAAAATTGTTGCGTTGCAGTAGTTGAGATGCATCATTTCAAGAAAATTCTAATCACTGATTCAATGCTGTTGGGCACTTGTTTATACGCTGCTCATGAATTTATTATTAGATTTTTATGCTGTAAGTAAATTGCTTACTACTCACAATTATTTGAATTATTTCGAGCACACGTACGCTTATATGTTTGTCGACTAATCCTTTTACTCCTCCACTTTTTGCTTATCGAATTTTTGAAGTGGCTTTCATAGTTAATTTTGCACTAATAATTAAAAAATGTAACACACTGAAAAATACTTATTATTTCAATCGTAATACTGAAATAGATTTCTACGCAAAACTCCACTGATGTTCAAAGAAAAAACAACACAAGCTCAATTTGTTATCAGCTGATTAGTCAGTTGTGAATTGCAAGTGAACTACCAAACAACCTTTGACTAGATGTGACACTACGCAGACTAGATGTGAATTAACTGTTGCAATTGGCGGAATTGGATTACATTTTAATCCACAATGTGAGATGTGTACTCAATAAAAACATTTCTTATATGTTTCCACTGCAACTTACACAATTTATGTTAATCAATTTAATTAAATTTGGTCGTTTTCACTGGCATAAGTTGATTAGTGGATGTGAAGGAGCTTTTATGTGTCAGAAAGTTCTAGCAGTTCTGCTTTAATTAATAGCCGATAATATTTAGTGTTGTATTGTTAGCCAAAAATAATTAATTCAGCATGGCAAACGTAGCAAAAGCAAACAATTTAATATATAATTTTTATGAAATTGTTCACAACGTGAATAAAGCAATATGCACATCAGAAAATAATGTGCGTTAGTTTTTTCCGAATGTTGACCTTTCCAGTTAGTAGTTCAAACGCGGACGAGTGCTGTAGGTGGAAAGCATCAATAGTCACAATGTGAGACTTTAATCCACTGAAACCAATTCTTAAGAATAATTGTGGAAGATTGTACCCAAGTTTAGTGGATGCAACCCCATTCCAGTAATCAGGGGGAAAGATATAAGATGCTTAGTATTAACTTGTCGAAGTGATTTCGTGGCGTCCGTCTGTTCTAACAACGGCATCTGTTTAAATAGTTTAAATTTTAGCTTTACTGATAATATCTTTTTTGTTACTGAGTTTGTTCTCTTAAAACTAGGTTTACACGATTTTTAAAGTTTGGTTTTTCCTAAGCGTATTTAACATTATATTCAGGTGTTTCACATATTACAATTTTCAGATTACTATTATTGCATTAACATTATTTTTAGGGCAAAAATGTTACATACAAAAAAAGGAAGTCCATTTTATCTAACAACGGCATCGCTTCAAGAGCGTTTAGCCGCAATGGTACGGAACGCGTAGAAAAGCTGTGTAAACAGCGGCTTTTGTGTAGCATAGTTTTAAGCGTCACATATAGTAGTATGCGTAAGTTTAAGTTGTGTCTGGTGCTGCCACAGTAGAATGCGTCGGCAAAAATTATTATTAAGCCACAACAAATATAGCATTACTTGCCTCTAAGTCTAATTAAGTCACAAATCAATTTCATATATATTACATATTTACATATAACATATATTACATATTTAATTTTGAAAGCTAAAAATAGGGTGAAAATGTGGCGAAAAGCTTTGAGAAGTGAAAATCGAATTTACTAACAGATTAAAAGAGATTTGTAATAAAATTAGTAAATGCCACTTTAGTATTTAGGTCCTTAAAGTTATTAAGGAGGTAAAATTGGACTTTTTTCCTAAATCAAGTATATATCATGAGGCCACTTAGTTTTTATATCTACCAATAAATTTGATTTTAGAAGGAAATAGAAATGGAAGTATTAAAGGAATCTGTACTTTGGAAAGCAAGTTAAGAATGTTTTTCTCCTATACTCACTGTTTAGGTATAATGTATGCTAGGACTGTCCAGACCAGATACGATCGCGGGCCAAAACAAGTTATTGTGCAGATTGGAGGGCTGCAAAAACTAATACATATGTCCATGGTTTCTTTGAAGAACAATAAATATACGGTGAAAATGTTAAATTTAGTTTTATTAATTTATTTATTTTATTTCATTTTTTTGCGATACCATAAAAATAAATTAATAGAATTATACCAAAATGTATCAAACGATAATTTACGTAATTGTGGTAGATTATAGACATGTCGAGAGCCGCACATATCTTAGCTGGGGGCCACACATATATTAGCAGCGGGCCGAACTGATATTACAAGCGGGCCGCACTTATATTACCTGCGGACCGCATCTGTCCCCTGGGCAGTGCTTTGAACAGCCCTGATGTATACAATCGCTGTAATACTTTCCTATATTTATGTGTTATATTCTGTTGTGAATTGAAATGAGTGCACTTGAATTCTCATATATATATATTTTAGATGTTGTACATAGTTTCTGAAATTAACCCCCGAAGATGGTGAAAATATTGGACATTGTAATTAATTTAAATTATATAAAACTAACGTGTTTTGTTTGTAATATAAAGTTAGTTGACATAATAACCTTTAAGTAAAAAAAATGTTAAATTTATGAAAATAAATAAATAACAAATTTAAAATAGTTTATTAATAATGTAATAGTACCAAAAAATTATTTTTATATTATGTTTTTAGTACATGGGAACCACAAACATTTGGAATTTTCAAAAGACAACAATAAGTTTTGTCTGCAAGTTTAATGGAAAATAGTGTTTAAATAAAGCACATCAATGATGCAATTACTCACTATAATAGATGCAGCTACTTTTTATGTATATAAGCATATTTTTTATGAAATTAGTGTGTTTAATTTTTAATATATATTATGAAAGTTTGACGTTTAGCGTAAAAATAAAATTAAATACAAATTAAATCTTTTTAACTACTCTAAATAATGCGTTGTCAAGGTCATTAAAACAAACATTTATAAAACAAGTACCAGATTGTCCTCTCAATGAAAATTTCAATTTTTAAACTTTTCGCCATAATGTATTATGCTAAAGTCGTCAAAACGCACATTTAAGGTATTATCTCTCCATTTGTCGAAAATTTTTTACTGTCCCACATTTTCAAAAAAAAAAAAAACAAAAAAAATATTCATTAAACCAAAGTGGTCTGGTTAAAAATGATTTGTAAACTATGGTCATGGCTATTACCGACTACTGAGTTCTTTGCAAATTTCGTTCTCTTTCGGTAATTACAATATTCAATGTATTCAGCAATTCTACCTATTTGCATGCAAAATTCTTCAAGACTGTAAGACTGTAAATGTTGACAACATTTATTTTTCTGATCTGATCACATGCTCTATTTAGATCAGCGATGTATAACCCAGTCACAGGACTTGATTCCTCTGGACTTTCATTCTACTAAAGCCAATGCTTTTGATTTGACTTTAGCTATGGCTGCCACTTCAAGTTCATGAAAAAAATTGTTAAATATAATTTTGGAAAACCTTATAATAACCTTTGTGGGAACTAGCCTTATTTTCTGGCAATCACTAGACGCTAGCAATGCAGACGGACAAAGAATTTTAAAAATCTTAAGCTGTCAACATTCTATGTAGGAAGTATGATAGCTGACGAGGGTCTACTCATTAATAAAACTAGTTATTATTCATAGTTCAAATTCAGTCATCTTCGAAATCTAAACAATTAAAGTCAAAGCTTGTTATTGGGTGTCGTTCTAGACTTTAATTACCAACATCTGCAAGGATCGACATCCGATATTTACAACACGATCATTAACTAATATTTATTCTGATTTTGTTTTCGAAATAAAAGCACATAAAATCAGGGTTTAGATTATTGGGGGTTTCAATATGCGTTTCACAAAATCTCCAAGGATTAGTAACCGATATTTAAACCGTGTTAGTTTACTGGTGCTTAGTCCAAGTATAAACTCGTTCACATCTGAAATAAAAGCGCGTAAAATCAGGGTTTTTGTGTTTTTAATAAAATTATAGCAAATCATATTTGCTTACGACAACCAGAAGTAGCGTTACAAATAATAGATGTAATGAAATTACAGTGCACTTCCGTCTGTTTATCAGGAGGCTGGATGTTTTACATCTATACATGCTCCAATTGGGGCATATATACATATATGTATATAAAAAATATATATGACGGACTCATAGTTTTGGAACTATTTATAAAAAACAGAGTTAAATTGAAAATGAGTAATATAAAGAAACAACTGCATAGTCCTATAATATTAAAATGAAACCAACAAGATGCAAGATCCAGAGATACGTTGAAGGTAGCCGGGTGAAGAAGATCAAAACAAGAGAGAGGAAAACCTTTCTGCGAACTGCGAGCACTAACATGCTAAGAAAAGAATATTAAATCCTTCGTTTATTAGACTCGGTAATAGGTAGACATCTAGGTTTCTAACTTTTTTTTCAATTATAAATATATCAATAATAAACACACAGCTATTCCCTCCATCTCATATAATTATAACAATTATTATTAAGTATGTGCATTTGTAATGAAGAGTCACTGCATGTTAAGTTAAAATGGATCCGACCAACGAAAAACAACTTATTGTTATTGTACAAACATACCTAATGATACTTGGAATAATAATGATTTACTTCGATATTTTGTTCAATGGACATTGTAAACCAATTAGCTGCTTGTTATTTCTCGAAGCCACTCCGGTGATAACAAATCCCTACTGTACTCTCTCATCAGTGCAATGGAAGCTTTGTTAGCGACTTGCGTGTAAATTATTGATGCTTGATCGATTACATTTTTCTTGTTTACTGAAAAATTCCCTTTATTCCCTTAAATTAAATTTATAAATAACAATAAAAACAAAAAAAAAACAACAACCACAAGATCAAAAACAAGTAATTTAAGTAAACAACTTCTAAGATCTAGAAATGCAAACGATAAGCAGGTGTGGAGCAGCTAAGATGTATTTGTGGATACATAGGTCAGCATGCACATAATCATTCAGACGCTGTAGGCAAGTTTAATGCTTGCCTTTGCTTTGTATTACCGTAGCCGTCATCAGATCCAGAGCCAAGAAGTTGAAGCCAGAAGGCAATGAACAAACAGTCATTAGCGTCTACGCAGATATGTGTTCGCACTCATCCCAATATGGCTAGCCATACAATGTAGCTACGGATTGACAACCAACTAAGGCACAAGACAACAGAGCAGAAGAACAAATAAAAAATCATAGAACATCTTAAGAGCATGAGAGACTTGTTTTATTGTAGGGTTCTACAAACGCTACTCGAATAAGTTATAACGAACTTAATCCGGTTAAGTTGAATGAATGTTGTGATGCCTTCAACAACATTCATTCAACATATTAGCAAGGGGACCCTAAATTTATTCAAGTTCAAGTCTTAAGGTTTTGGGTAGACTGCCATTCTTTTAATCCAAGTAACTATTATTTATCAATTTAGTATGTTGCGGTCATTCAATCTATAAAAGTGTTGGGTTCCGCTGTTCTGGTTGATCGATTTAAACAACGAAAGAAAGTGATTTTCGAAAAGTCAAGATGCACAATTTAAAATTAAATTTAACGAACTTATATACTATAATATTTTTATTTACCGCGTCAATTGTTTTTCCTAATAATGCAGCTCCCTTAACAGAGGATGAGAATACATCCGTCGAGCGAATTAGTTACGATCAGCGACAAACCGGGAAATATAATATACACGTGAGCATCAAAGATGTCGCAATTATTGAAATCGGCAACGACGTTATGGATGTAAGAATCTTGAAATAAATTTCATCTTTTTTCACTGAGTATAAATTCTATAACCTCACCTTATTCGCTTTCATTGCACAACTGTTAAATATTATATTGTAAGCGCATACAAGATTATTCTCTTAGCTCTTCGGAAAGAATTTTGATATATTATTCTAGTTAACATAAGTGGTGATTAAATCAAAACATATAGCTTTGTCTAAATCTACTGCTGTGAGTTCCACTCGATCAAAGATTATTTCAAAAATATATTCGAGATAATATATTTAGCTAGTTAATGAACACGAATTAGACTCATATTGCTCGTACGCTGACCTCTAGTTGACGCATGTGCAAACGCTAAACCTGTGGTAATACATCAAGCCATTATTTGAACTTGAGTGGGCTTTGGACACAAGGACGCCGCTCCAACCTAACGTAATTACATTCGTTGAACGTAATAGCCGACTATAAAGTCGTTAAGATGGCGCTAGTAAGAAGTTAAGACGTATTACGATGAAATGAACCATTCTAATAAATGTATATGTAGTAAAAGCGCTATTAAATGAATGTTTTTATAAGTGAAGCGTGCAATGTTGCAAGGTATCAATTTTTATCTTTTAACAAAATATATTCAGTTCTCTTAATCGGTTGGAAGGGCTGAAATTTTTCTACCGAATAGATTGACTGACCTCTTCAGTGTCAACTTAAGAAACCTTTCACTGTTATATTATATACAAAATATTTCTTAACAGTAGTTTGGCTTCCATTAAACATATGTATATATTTTGCGAAGAAGAAAAATTAGTCAATCTTAAGGATTTCTACACTTAAAGAGTCAAGAAAATAGGGTACACTCTTGAAATTAACTCCCATTGCGGCTTCAAGCATATTAGAGAATATACTTAACACCTAGTTCTATATAAGAAATTATTTAGAATAGGAGAACTGCAGTATTAAATACTACTTAAAAAGTCCAGAATATACCAGACGTGATGTTTTTGTGCATTCTATAGATTTTCAGAGCACTATGAATTAGAGTAAATATAATTTTCAAATAACGTTTGTTTAATTGAAAATAATGGATAATTTTCAACATCAGTTAGTATTGAACACTCTCTAATTTGGATACATATATGGGTTGAAATAAAGCCAACTTTCAAGAATGTTCTTCAATTACTATGGAATAAATATAGCTTTTGTTAGATATTAAATAAAATGCAAACTACTCCATTATAATGAGTTAAGATTTATTATTTATGTGCATAGAATATATGTAAAAGAAGTTTTAAATTAAATTGTATTCAATTAAATTGTAATTGTCGTTTGGTATTTACAGGAAACATTAACTGAAGAAGACTATTACTATGATGAAGGTGATCTTACAGTTAAGCCAGGCCTTTTAAATCCAACATCAACTCCGATATCGATAACGAAATCAACAACAACATCAACATCCACAAAACCAACGAGAAAGCCAACAGCCGAGACGACATCAGCGGCAAGTGTAAATTCTACCACATCGACAATTATTCAACCAACAGTAGACTCGAATAATAGTGGAAATTTGACCTCATCGACAATTATACCACCCACAATAGACTCCAATAATTCTAATGTAACCAATATAGTTTACAGTCGAAATCTTTTGGCTGACATTGCAGCAACACGTGCTGAATATTTTAATACTACTTCAACTCCATCTTTAGCTAAGAGAACCCCTAATGTGGTTATATTGGATGATACTTCCAAGCAACACAACAGCCCTACAAGTACACATAAGCCAAGAGCAACTATTAAAACATCAGGCCGTTCCAAATATGTACCAGGAGTGTTGAGCACTGATTCCTTAGCAGAAAAACCTTTTAACGATAATAATCTGCAAATCCAAAAAACTGACGTACCAACATCTAAACACGATCAAACTCAAGGCACTCAAACTTCCCAACAATCTTCGATATCGGAAGATTACAGTGATACTTTAGACCATGATGATCACGATTCAAAAATTTTCACATTTAAAGTGCGTCGTCCAAGCAAACAGATCGGCACTCGAAAAGGCCTGTCTATGTCCGGTATGAGACGCACATTTTGCCGATCAAACCAGTATCGCGACACAAGCGGCAATTGCCGCGCTAAGCGTTCCTCTTCCATTTTGTAAGCTCTTTTTCATTTGAACTATTATTAATCCTATTATATTTTATTTTTGTGTTCTCTTTTTTATCTTTTTTATAATAGAAAGAAATTATTCAGCATGTTGGCGTCTTTGCCTTTTGCCAGTGAGAAAAAAAATCTCGACACTGCTTAAAAGTCCCATTGTCAAAGTCTAACAATGGCCTTTGCCTCAATCATAAACGCATTTAGTTTTGTAAATACTTAACAATAATAGTTTTAAGTGCCGAATAAAGATTTAATTCCCGAATTACGCTTTTTCGTCTTCTTATTTCGTTCACATAGCAGCAGACCAAACTAATATAAATAGTGCAGAGATTTTGTCTGAGACCTATGAGTGGAAAATTGACTAAGCAAATAATGCAGGACATTGAACCAGTAAAAGCGAAATGCAGAGTTAGAGTTTGACAAAATCAGGAAAACTTATATGTTTAGATGTAGAGTGTTGTGTTAAAGCGGAGTTTGTTTCCCATGTAAGAAAAGGGATTTCACCAAATCACTCTTTCAACTGATCATTTAAGTTAGTTATGTTTTTATTGTTAACTATGTCACATCAACGTCGTTGGAAGTCCTAATAGAGAGTTAGGGGTACGAGCCCAATTCAATCTTGCCGAAATTCCTTTTTGTCTATGAATTTACATCCGGGGGTTAAGTTTTGCTATCCATGTGACTCTTGAATCGGAATTTCAATTTTTGTTTCAAAATCTGGAGGGTTTGTTTTCTTATGTATTGACAGTTTGCGGAATTGTTTGCCAATCGCTGCTTTCAACGTCTTTTTAGTGTAATAAGCCTGTAAATTAATAGGGATGCTACTGCTGATCACTAGAACCAATGCTGCGGATACAGCTCGTTACGCAAAAGCTATTCGGAGTGCAGCCGTATGCTGTATGGTATAGTGCGTAAACTTTTCTTTTAGCATTCGACCTTTAACAGGACTAGATTGAAGATCTTAAAGTTAAAGTATTGTTGACACACTTATTGTAGTAGAATTTATTTTTATTTATGATAAGATACATTGTTTTAATCCAAGCTACAGTCACATATATTACTGCAATTTAAAATAAAGTATATAAAAGTCAGTCGTAAGCTTTGTTCATGCCAAGCGATATACAAAAAATGATCCTTCAGCTTCCTTAATCTAGTATTTATAGAGCCAAGAAATAATTTGAAATTTGAATCTTAGGATATTGTGCGACATATTAATAATTATTTTAAGGCGTTTTTCGAAGAATATCACAATGTATAGTATAGGTCATTGTAAACGACGAAGTCTTCAGGTTACAGTGATGTCTAATGTCTAATACACGTAGTAATCAATTTGGTTACCAGAAAACAAGTCTAGTATCTTCATTCCTTATCTGATTTTCATAGAACCGAAAGAAGCCTTGGAACTGGAACTAAATATATTGTAGAGTATATTGATATTGGTGTGCAGCATTTATTGAAGAATATCAGAACATAAACATAGTAGTGATATTGTAATATGTGTTTAAAAATTTTTTTGGGTGTTTACCCAACGATATTAAAATAGATCGCTTAGCTAATTTACTAACTCTACTTCTTGTAAAAGAATACAATCAACTGCTGTTCAAACAATTCCTCCTTGCGTGCCACATAGATAAACATTCTAATAGCGCCATGGCCAGTAGAGCCCTCCCTTAAAGATCTATTCGCCAAACCCTTGCTTCCTACCATAATCATATCGACCCCTAATGCATCAGTGAGTTCGACTACAAATGTAAACTTATAGCACTCCATACAGTTGTAGTATTTTCTTCAAGACCTAGGTTGACTCCAAGCAAGGTTTTCAACAGACCTCCGTCTGTTATCTCACAGAAAATACGATGTCTCCCCCGTGCAGCAAGAACTGTCGAGCTCAATTGATATTAGGGTATAGCTATGTGCTAAACAGTTACTTGTTAAGCATTAACACGTTTATTCCTAATGTATACCCAAACTGCAGCTGTACTCCCTATTACCTCGCCCATCTATTTTCTTGTCCCTCTACGCACATAAATCTTAGTCTAATTGAAGTTTGGACTCAATTTTTAAGTCGGTTTTGTTTTTTAAGAAATTTTAGCTTTTATTTCGATCGTTTTTTTTTTGTATATATCTATATGTATTTCGGCAAATTCGCTTTTGCCTTCATCAAGAGAATTCCTAATAACTCCTAACTATTTGGGATTTTTAACATATGGTATACTATATCCGAACGTGTTGTAAAATTTAAACTTCAGAATTTTGTGAGTTATATTATGCAAATTTTTGTTGAGATAAGCTTAGCTTAAGTGCGTTTCTCCAAGGATAATAAAGTAATTTTTATAGATTGCGAAATATAACAAACGCCTCAATAATTATGGAGAGTATAATACTATTCGAAACAATTATAAGGTCTGTGTGTTAGTCATTCGAGCAGCAAATACAAGACGAAAATGTTTTTGACAATACTTTCATAGACAGAGCCCTGAAGTTATATGCGAAAATTGACAGGCTATCCTACTTACCACTATCGAATCTTAGAGTAATCACTCTCCACACAGGGAGGTACACAGATCTTAGATCAATCACTGAATAATCATGAAGCTTATAGGCAATACATAAATTAGTCAATGAAATGGGTGGTACCCTGTAGTACCCCCAGCTATCAAAGAGTAAAAGTGCCCAGTTGCGCTGACTCGAAAAAAGGATCAACATATATATACTTTCATAGATCCACATATATAAATTATATATATACAAATTTATATAAATTGTTATTAAATAGTTTTATTTATTAGGGAACATTTACTTTCTTCTTGTTACATCGTTTTTGATATAATATAATAATTTTCTATGTGAAACGTTTAAGATATAGTTTCTCTTTAATTACATTACAACTTTTAATTGGATAATTCTATACATAATGTAAAAAACATAAAATATTCATAATAAAAGGGGCTATAAAATAAACTGAAAATAAATACATTTTTGTTAAGACACCCGCACCTAAACACAAACTCTTCCGAATTCACTTAAGTCTCACTAAATATATATCTATATATATATATATATATATATATATTTATATATGGGTCCTATCCAGAACTATTAATTAATTTTTGAGATTGATTTTGTTAGATTTTTTTATATAAAATAAATATTAAATTTCAACAATTTCAATTTTAAGGGAAACAGAAAATTATATTTTTGACTAGACAGGAAATTCGTAAAGAAATTTTTTTTGAATATAATATAAAACATAAAGAGAGTGTGTAGAAGCTTTTACACATAAACCATCCAATGTTGTTTATAAATATTTTGCTATAGAAATAAAAAGTTTTGCCGAGGATGGTAAAATAGAATAGCTCCAATTTGGCATAGGTGAGGGGGTGTGCAAAACAAATTATTTACAATTTCGTACATATCAATTAAAATATACTTAAATTATGGAATAATATAAATATTCACATATATAATTTTACGTCGATGCATAGTTATAGTTTTTGTTTCTTGTTTTTTGTCTTTTATCTTTTTGTTGCAATATACAATTAAGTACTACGATAGTGTGAGGATTTCTTAATAGCTGATTGGTTAATTGCACTTATATATTTAGTAAATAGGGCAGGACGTAAAAAATATCAATTTGATTATTAGAAAACAATACATAATACTATAAAGCATTAATAAGATGCGTTCGCCCACATAAATTCAAAAGAAGTATAGAAGTAGGGATTTTTAAAAGAAACGTCTACAATAATATTTAACAAATATTGGCTAAATCACTAACACATTGTACAAAAAATTTGACTATTCGTTGATTATTTCTAAAAGATATGAAAACTTAAATATCTTGGGACTCTCCAATGACAGCAATAACAATTTTCTTCGCATACTTCAGTCTACTCTTCAAGGGAATGGGTAACTTACAACCGCTGTAACAGGTGTGACGGTGTAAATTTTTTTTTTTAATTTTCGTCTAGGCGAAGCAATAATTTAATTTTTGTGATATCACTCAGATTTTGTAATGTAATTTTTTTTAAATAAACTGCAATAAATTAAACGCTTAAATACACTGCAATAAATTAAACGAAATAAATTGTTGGGATAGCCCACACTACATTTTTGGGTTGGACTGTTATCAGAGTTTGGAAGTTTTAAAGTAACTATAATTATTTTAAGGCATTCCTGGTAATGTATTTAATGTTTGTCGCTGTTGATGCATCAGCAATGTTCGTGCTCGTTGTTGCTCCAATCGTTGTACAGTAGAAGCCAAGTTTGAATTTTCCACATACAGATCCTTGACGAGGAGATCAGCATTTTGTAGGCGTTGTGTCTGTTCAGCAAGCATAACAGTTTGAGCTTCGATTCGACCATGCAAGTCGGTAAGTTCTAATTGATGTTGTCGCCACGATTCTATTGCAAAAAAAAAAATGCACATTAGTCCATTAATACATTTTAAAACATTGCAATTATAAACGTAATTATTTTGTATCCATAATAATAATAAACAAAATACAATAAATAATATAGAGTTACTTTGACAGAGCTTTCACTTCATAGTGATGTCATCTGTTAGTTGTTGTAACCCGGAGCCACAAGTCACCCACGACGCTCAAGTGCTATTCATCATCCCCAAAGGGATTTTAAAAGTAGGTATATGTTTGTATTTGATATTTGTCATCTGTTTGCGATTCGATTTGTTTGAAAGTTCCAATGTAAAGTTTCAGTGGAACTATACGTAGCCGAACAGATATATAGCGGTTAATGCAGACATACAAAAAACCAACGAATAGAGAGAAAGATAGAGAGGCATATTGAAACAGAGACAGACAAATCGTCAAATATAAATGCAGATTAGAAGATAAACCTGCATACTGACAGCTAAAAAAACATTACAGAGATTAACAGACAAAGAACTAGATAGACAAAAAAGAGTGAGATAGGAGATAAATGATAGAATGACTGATGGGAGAACATACAGATAGGATAGATAGGGGAATAAAAAGATACCTAGACAAGCAGAAGCGTGGGCAAACAGAAGAGAGGATAAATAGATGTGAGGATCAACAGATAGGAGGATAAAAAGACAGATACATAAAAATAAAACCGAGAGAGTTTGAAATGAGCAGGAGGGCAAAGAACCAGAATACCAAGCACACGTATAAAACTAAAGATATAGGAGAAAGAATCCACAGAAGTACAAATACATGAAACAGAAAACAAACAGTGTGCAAGCAGTTAGGATAATAAACAGTCATGAACACCAGGAGGACAGAGCATAGACAAAAAATAAATCACAAAGGTGAACCAACAATCAGGAAGGAAGGACAATTAGATAGTTTGACAAATTGATAGAAGAAATAGTCAGAAATACAAAGAAATAGACACGTATACATAACAGACAAAAAGTCAGACACCCATATAGAATGAATAGATGATCAGACATGCATATAGACGATTAGATACACGCATTCGCATATAGAATCGCAAACCAACAGATGGACAAACCGATATATAATGTATATTGTATTGTAGTTTTCTAAACCTAAGTACGGCATGGATCACCAACAAAACATTGAATGCATTTTCTTTTTGATATTCTTCTCTATTATGTATTCGCGCCATACAATGATCTTATGTTGGTATTTCCTTGTGCGGAAATGAATGTACAAATCTTTATATGGATTGTTTGAAATTCAAAACGAATTGCAACAATGAATTATAGAATATTATGTTACTTTAAAAAAAAGATTGATTATGCTTAGTAATAATGAAAACAAAACGTAATACATATGCAATTTTTGGATATAAGTACATAATCTTATCAAGTAAGGATACGGATGAAACCTATATGAAGGACACGTCATCGTTATTTTGGAATTTGTAATTAAAATTCTATAAAAATAACTTTAATAACTAGATCGACTTGTGCGTAGTCAGGGCCGTTGTTGAAACTCAATATACTTCTTTATTTTTTGACAACAATTAGAATAGTACAATTGGGACTATTTAAAGAAGATACTAGAAAAATATATTATCCAATATAAATAGCTGTAATTCTACGATTGCAGGATTAGTAGTTGACATCTCACCCTAATATAGAAAGTACAAAACTTAGAAACGGTTTTTTATATAGAAAAGATCTATATAAATAAATATAAATACGCACATAATAACAAACAAAAGTTTGTATTACAAAAAAATAAATACGGGTCTGACACATCTCGTTCGAACATATGAATAGTTAAAAGATTAAATGTAAATAAGTAACTGTAATAAAGTAGCACTTCCTTCTGGAGTGTAGAAAACGAACAACACGTACATACTTTCATGATTTTTCATTATAAAAAAGAAATAAAAACAATGTTGAATGTGTGACATATACATGCCTGACCCTTTGAAGGACCCGAATTCAATATGTCTCAATTCAGCATCACATTACTTTATGGGTACAAGAGTATGTCTCTCCCAATTCCATCTCATTAGCATATACTCACGTGACAAAACCTCTACAATCTCCTTTTGGACCACAAAATTTCTCCCACATAAATTTGGGATACTCTGACATTAACAGAATATGCAATGCATATTCTTTTCGAGAAATTTTATGACATTGGTATATGGCGTTCAAACTTACGTTGCATTAATGATTCAGTGTATTGTTGTTGTTGCTTAATAACATTTTGCAAGTGACGATTTTTAAGTTCCAATTGATTAACACGTTGGATTAGCGTTGGATGGGCGGTACGCTAAATATGAAAGAAAATGAAAGAAAAAAATAATTAAATGCATTTTAACACCATTTGATGAAACTAATATGAGCACTTACAGCATAAGCTTTTTCAAGTACTGGTTTAGCTTCTTGTAATTGTTGCAGTTCCATAACTAAACCATCGCGTTGAAGTGATAAATCTTTAATTTGCTCCTTTAATGATAATTCGAAGAACTTCAAGCGTTTCAGTTCTTCTTTAAGGCCACTGGAACTGTAATTGTCCTGACTTGAGGATACGTTTGATCTGACTGCGTTTTCACCTTGAGATCGATGAACGCTTTGTGTAGACGTAATACTCTGCGTTTCAAAGCCTCTTTCGGATGATGTCGAAGAGGTCTCACAATCACCAACTTCGCTTTCAACTAAAGGTTTTGAATTAGTTTTCGGTTTTTGTATCGGTGAAATTGTTTGTGATGACTCTACGGATATTACGCACGAATCAATTGGTGTTGTACTAAATATAGCTGTAGCCGATGTGGACAAATTATTTCTGTAACCAAAAAGCAAGCTCAGAGGATGGTTTAATCACATACTTTTGCTGATATTATACTAGATTTAAATCCATTATACGTATGTATAAAAAGTGATTAATATATTTATATAAAGTTCTAGACCATTAAATGAAACATTAAATGAAAACTACTATTAAAATTATTATTTATTAAAACCTTATAGGAACTTAACTATAAAAGAAACTTGTGATTAAATATCTAAATATCTCAAGAGTTTAATATTTAACTGTGTTAATGTGAAATCATAGTCATAGTGATTTATGAAGATAAGTGACCTTTAGGAACTTAACTATGAAATAAACTTCTGATTAAATATCTCATGAGTTAAACGTTTTGCTGTGATAATACAAAATCAGGCGATAGTGATACGATTGGTGTTAAGACCCAACTTACACTGAACATAAATATTAGTCTCTTTTATAATTGAACCAGATCAGATGGTTTTGAGTGATAGTGATAGTGATTATATATTTATTAGAATTGCGTCCATATATAATAAAATGTTAAGACACTATGAGAAATCAATGAAGTTCATCGTATGTATAAAGTTTTATATTTAGATATTATACCGTTATATTAGAGGAGTGTAAAGATAAGACCCTGTAGTTTGACATTCTACCACATATTCAAATGGTACAACTTTAATTGGTTCCGAGGCCATTAAGTGATTTTATTGAAATGTTAAAATTCTATATGAGTTAAACAAAAGAATTTACCTCACACAGTTCTGTTAGATGGTAATTTGTGATGTTAAGTGGCAGTGATGAGGTGTTGAGATCCTATCTGAACATGATTCTAAAACTATTATTATATTACTATGCCATTATTACCCTTAACATGCATAGCAATGATTTATTCCGATGGAAGGACTTATTTAATATAAATTAGAAAAAAATAGCATTCGTTTTAGATAGTGATAGTGAGCTACAAACGTTGGACACCTCAAAATTTATAAAGCAGAATAATATATCCAAGACTTTACATACCGAAGGAAACAAAAATAATTTTGATGGAATAAAAGAAAAAAATTATACAATATAATGAGATTAGAATTTTTATTGTTTTTAATATGGTATAAGGCGTGCAGTAAAAATATAATATAAATAATTTTTTTTAGTAGAAAAAATATTTTTTTTAATAGGTTACAAAATGGTTACAAAATGGTTTGAATGAGTTTGGTGCTGGTTATTTGTTGCCATGTATTCTTTTGTTTTGTGAGTGGTTAAGTAGTGTATGATGAAGTTGAGGAATTTTAGATTTGAAAATAAATCTGTGTATTAAATATTACATTTTGAAATAAAAACAAGAAAACAAAACACGATATAAAAATTTACATGAACAAATAATAAATATTATTTTTTTACTCACCGATTTAGTGATTTATTAGTGCTGGCCGTAGGTGAAGAAATATTGATGACATCTCCGCTTTCAAGAGATTGATAAAGCTTATTTGGTTCTTGTATGGTGCTTTGGTGCCACAGGTAGCTGATCGGAGAACTTGCTGAACTTTGTGCGTTTGCATTTATATTTGTAGCGCAGTTAACTGCATTTTCGGTACTTAACTCACAAGCCCCGGTTAATATTTCTACGCTCTCACCCAAACGTAAACGTAAATCTTCAATTTCCAATTGTAGTGATTCAATTTCCTTGGATTTTTCTTGAAAAATCTTACGTGAATTTTCTCGTAATTCATCTGCCTCAGCCTCTAAATCGGCATATTGCTGTTCCAATGTGTCTTTTTCCTCAATTGGTGATAAACGACCATCTTTACTAAACTGTTCTTCATATTCCCTTACTTTCTCCATAAGTTCTGTGAATTTTTTATCACTCTCTTGTTGCTCCTCTTCATATATCTGGCGCTCTTTTTCGAATAACTGTCGTTCCTCGGATAATTTTGACTGCCAATAATCTTCGCAATCTTCATAAGCTCGCTGCATTTGTTCTAGACTTGTTTCTAGTTCTTTGCAACGTTCTTCTACAGAAGTACTGCTACTGCTTCCTTGCATATTTTTCACTTGCATTTCCAAAGCGGTAATTTGTTCTTTTAGTAACGATACTTCTGCAGAGTTTTGCATGTTTTGAACTGTTTTGCTACCTTCTAGTCTTTGTAGCTCCGAGTTAAGCGCCATCCATTCGCCACTTGTGTCACTGTTTTCACTACCTCCTGTCTCGTTTCCGCACCGTCGCAATTTACCTAAACGTGGACTTTCCTCTGTCATGCGTGTTTTACTTGGTGAGTCTCCACGACGTTTCACCGCACTGAGACCATTACCTTGTTCATTTTCTTCCAGTTGCACGTTTTCTTCAGTTCCTTGGACATTGCTGCCAGTGGCAATAGAAGATTTTTTAATGCCTTTTGCTTTCATACGTTGCATTTCGAAATTTAAGTTCTCAATTTCTGCTACGAGTTCATCACTTTTGTCACGCAAATTTTTATTTTCTAATTGAAGACCATCTATTTTTTCAATTAGCTGCAGCATTTCATCTTGAGAAGTTTTTTCTGTTGTACTACAATTATGCTCTTCACATGTCGAATTTTGTTTCAAATTTATTTCGCGATTAAGTTGAGTATTTTTTTCAATTAATTCATTCACTTGTTTTGACAATTTTTGTTGCTCTCCATCTAATTCTGTGTTTTCCTTACGCGCAAGTTCGAGTTCCGTTTTGAAACGAATTTCATCCTGTTCAAAAGACTTTATACGTGCTTCTAAGCGTGAAGTTAAATTAGTCCAGTGTTCTCGATCGTTGGCCATACGCGTTGTCAGCTCACGCACAGCAGCAGCATGACGCTGTTCCAACATCTTTATCTAAAATTTACGTTTTTACTAAGTTATTAGAATGTTATATTACTTAACCAACCTCTTTTTTAGAAGTATCCTCCAGAGAAGCATGTCTTTCATCAATTTCTACGGCAAGCATTGTGACACGTCGATTTGCATCTTTGTTATCCGCACGCAATTTCAAATTTTCCTCATGTAATTGTCGGAGGGCGTGTCTTAGCGTCGATAATTCAGCACTCTGCAAGGCCAAAGCAGCACGCCATAATGTGGATTCACCGTCATCGTGTATGTTGCTTAGTTCTTCTTCCAATACTTTACTCAAATGTGCTACATTTATTTCATCTTCATCGCATCCAAGCGCTAAGAGTATGCTTTTACTATTTGATATGTTCGCATGCTCCCAAATATCCATTATGGTATGCCTTGAAATCGTTTCCATTAGATTAGGTGCATCTGAAATGTAAAGAACGATATATGCTAAATAGAATAATTTAATATAAGCTCTGCCGCATCACTAGATCAAGCTAGTCGCAATGTATAAAAGCACAGCTGCCACAATCGTGTCACAATTTGTATATACAATATTATATGCGTTCCAATAAATACTCAAGTTGAAATATGAGCGAAACTCACCTAGTGATTCGACACTACTACCAAGTTGGTTGTCTTTGGACGAAATAGTATTTTTATTTAGGCCAAGTCCTGGTTTGGACTTGGCGATTGTAGGTTTTGGTGTTTTTTGCGCCGGTAATGAAGAACAACGCTTTAGTTTGTTGCCATTTAACGACGTAAATCGACGACATCTTGTACCGGGTATATCGGTATGTGAAGAAGAACGTTGTACCTTAAAATAAAAGTATATTAAAATATTTGCATGTGTTGTTTTAAAAAGTTAACCTACAATGTGGCCATTATGTTTGTTACAGCGATTTTCCTCTCTGTATTCATTGTCTTCCGAATCGGATAGAGAAAATTCATCCACAGCATGCTGTTGTGGTCGAGATCGACGTCCATACTTTTTTGTACCCATGACAAGTTTTGGAGAAACTTCACGATCAGATAAATCTTGTTCATGGTCCACGTATGTTTCCACTTCATCACTTATAACCAACACACGTTCTAAAAAGTATAAACAAAAATAATACATACATTATTTCAATTTTAAGTCGTTTGTTTTGTTGTAACCAGAAGAGATCTGCTGCTATAGTCTTTTTTGGGAATGATGCACGACACTTGGTCGTCGAAATAGACGAGTAGTTTCTGGACATAGATTCTGATGCTACTGGAACCTTATATTTGTGACTAATATTGCTTACATAGATTTTTTTGAATAAGGTAAAAAATAGCAACAAAAAACATATGATGCTTACCGAATTTCTTAGCCAGTAGAGCTATAACTTGCTCTGATGACATTTTTTTGCTCTTATAAAACAGACGTGTTCCCATTTTACACTATTTACTAAATTTAAACAAATTATATTCTATTTGACGCACTTAGTTCAGCTATTATACGTTACTAGTCTAATTAACGATTAAAGGCATTATCGGTTTTGCACTTCCAATTTATAAATGTTTCAAGAAACTCTGTTAAATGTAGTACTTTACGAGGGTCAACTGCAGGTAATCACTTATATTAATTGGAAGCATATTTTTGCAAATTAAAGTGAATTGAGTGGAAAAACACGGCGTACAACTGCGCGCAGGTAAAACTGCCTAATATCAACATGTGCATAAAGAGACAAGATTCATTATCAGTTTATCCTTGTGTTTTTTTAGAAATTTTTTATCTGAAAGAAGGCATTGTAAAAATTGTAGAAATGATGGAAAATTACGTGCCCTTCTCTTATCACTTATTTTTTGGAGTGACGTATTGATGCAGAAGTGGTAAAACTAAAAACAGTTACCTTCAAACTGATCTACTCAGCATCATATACAGACGCTATGAAGTAGCAATATACTTCATTGTTCCTACCTCTACTTTTGGTTTAAGTATGTAAATCTTATCTAAAAGGAATTTAAAAACATTTGAAGAAAACAAATTTATCTGTAAAGACGTGCTCAAGGTTATTTTGAACACTTATATTCTATTGTAATATATGTGTAGGAGGGTCCATGGATCTTAATAATACAATATTACAGCAAAATACATCCGAGAGATACATCCAAAATAATTAGCCGCATAACGGCACTTATACTTACCACAGTCATGAGTAGCGTTTTGAATTTGCGGGTGTGAAAATTTTGCCGTTGTAACTGATGTTACTTCTTTGCCGTCGAGCTCAGTGCCTAGAAAATTAAGCAGTGCCTCTTTGAAACATTCAAAGGAGACATGTTGATTTTTGCCAGAGACAGCAAGGTTTTCAATTAGCACAGCGCCCTTATCACGCAGTTCCAGCAAGGTACATAGTCGACGTAATGCATCCTGATTAAGAAGACCACAGCTTTCTGTATCACAGCTTTCAAACATTTGATATAATTTCAGCTCATATGGATCAGATGAAACTTCCATTATTTAACAATCAATCAATCGATGAGCGGGACCTGGGAGGTTCTTTTATTTTTCTACTGTTTTTGAAGTCCAGTTATTTAAAAAAATAAATTTGCAGTATATTTTAGTATTGCGCGGTTCATATAAGTTTTTAATAATTTATTTGCATGATAAATCGTAAAAATCTTTAATATTATTGTACAATTTCTAATTTTTAATAAACAATGAAACAAAATTAGACCAATGCACTGAAAGAAAATCGTTTCGTTTTATTTATTTTCCCTTTTTGTTGTGTTGCCACACTGGCTTAAAAACAAATAATTGAATACTGATCATAAATAAATTTTTTTTATATTAACGATATGTCAACATAAACATTGAAGATAATCATTCATTTGGGAATATATTGAAAACAAATAATATTATTGAATATTACCATTTATGGTATTATTAAAAAATTGTATTGAAAAATATAAAGTCACAATATTTTATAAATTTATCACAAAATTAAAACTAGTAAGATATACAGTATAAAAAATTAAAATAATATTTAGAAATATTTTAAAATTAAATTGAATAAATGAGTCGAACTTTATTTGCATATTCTACTATGCATACTAAAAGTAACATGATTCTACCGATAAAAATAAAAATGAATGATATTCCGGTAAGTTGGTAATAATTAATAATACTAATCAGGAATTAAATTTCTTGTTTGAATGTACAAATACACTTTTGAAGAATTAAATAAACCTTTATTACGTAATAAATCATATGTGGTAAAATCCAAAATAAATATTACAAGATTAGTTACAAGTTCATTAGATATATATGAGATAATTATAAAAGTTTGCAGGTAAACAACTTTTTTATATTATCTATGATTTTTATTCACTTTTTATATAGGAAAACATTTTCCTATGAGTAAATATTAAATGTCTCGCGTCAAATCTGTTTTCACCATAGGATACAATGTAGTCATTATTGTGGTAAAACCTGATTACACAAAAAAATTTTTTTTTTCATCACACGAAAATTTACAGTCCATTTCAAGTCCATTAGTTATTCCAATTAACGACATATGTAAGAATAAAAATCAAAATAAATTTTGAAAAATATTTTTATGTATTGTTTTAAAATGCTCTATAACTATATTAATAATACGCTACATTTACGCGAGTCTTTTAGTGCGAGAATTAAAAACACTTTTGAGATAGCTATCAACCAGTTAGCTGTTAAGTGGTAAAAAAAAATCTTGATTTTAAACATTTTAAAAATGGATAAAGTTAAGCTACAGATTGTTTTACATTATAGGAAAATAAAGATGTAACCGAAACAGTAGAATAAAATAATAAAGAATGAAGATTTTAAGAATATCCCGTATAAAATTTACAAAATTACATTTAAATAAAATGTCAATACTTTCGACTTCTATTTCTTAGCGAACTATATCATAAATATAGTGTCCCTTCCATATTTCTTGCGTCAAACAATTTTACTATATATTTTCTGTATTTAATTAAAGGCTTTCCTCTTCTTATATCCAATTTCTTCCTTTTATTTCTTTTTTTTCTCAATATTTTTAGTTATTTTTTGTCAGCAGTGTTATTTCTAATAAAATTCAAATAATTATTGATAGTTAACAGCTGACAATTCAAACCTTAAACCCGCGTTTAGGGTGTTTATGCAACGCTTAAAAGTGATGTTTCTTACTAAAAGTGATGTTAAACTACTTTTAGTAAGCTAAAAGTACTTTTAAGCAAAATTCAATTTAGGATATTTACGCGACCTTAAAATAGATTTTAAGAGCCATAACACAAATTTAAAGCTCGCATAAACGGGGCAATAAATATGGACATAAAAAAAATTAAAAATAAAATACACTATAAATTTTTTTTATAATAAACAAAAAATTTCAAGATTTCAAAATAAAAAAAACCCTGTTTCTTTTTTTTATTCTAGGTGTTTCTTCCATTATGTGGCCAATATAAATAACTGCTCACCGTTCTCAGTCGCAATATTTTTGTTTTTTCCTAATATTTATATTTTATTTCTTGGAATTACAAACATTATAAATGCACTAAACAATTGATTAGACATTGTCTGTCCTGATATCCAACTGAAATGAATATTTTTTGTTAAATAATATATAACATTGTATAATGATATCAAATATATATTTGATATGTAAACTTATTTTTATATATCAATTATATATTTTATTTATAAAAAGGAAAATTTTTAAAAATTCTTACCTCTTGTTAGTTTATGTTTACCTTTTGTCTGATTTTTTGTTTATGTTTACATTTTGTTTCATGTGTCAAATATGTCAAATTTTGATCATTTCCAATGTTGCATTCGTCATTTTTGGTATAATTTTGGTCGAATTTTGTGTACTATACATTAAAGTAATTGAAAAAGGACGGAAGCTATACTAGTATCGTTAATGAAATTTATTTAGTAAGTTAAGCTCACTAAGCAAGCAGTGGAAACAAAGCAAAATTTGACTCAGTGAAAATTTCATCTATGCAGAGTAGTTTCCGTTTAATTACAACAACAAAAAAGCAAAAAAAATTGTTTGCAATAACCCAGGAATTTTAAATAACTGAGTATTTGAGTAATTGCAAGATTGTTTGAATTAACCGACTTTATGGTAATTGAAACAAAAATATTTAAATAAGATTTTCGCAACAACACCTAATGAAAATTTTGATATATAATTATTTTTGAAAGAAATATATAGACTTATATATATTGACTGAATATATATACTGACCTTATCAATTTTTTTAAGTTAACACATATGCAAGAAATATTTTTTAAATTTGTTATTTTGGAGTTGTAGGGTATGTTTTAATTAACATAATATTGTAAATAAATGGCTATTGCAATTCACAAAGAAATTTTTGTTAACGATTAAGCGGGAACTACTGTAACTCAAAACGTCTAGCTTGAACACTTGTTTTATTTAATTAGAATACTTTTATTAATATAATAAATAAATGCCAGTTAGAGTGGCCTATTCCATTATAATAGATATATACCACGAGCAACTCGTAGCAACTTTGAGTAACATTGTGTATACACTAGTCCGTTCTACTAGCAAATTTTCGTGTATTTTCGTATATATTTTACTTGTGTTTTATTTGAATTTTACTACGAGTAGCTCGTGGAACAAACCTTATATAAAAAAATATATAATCAATTTTTTTTAAATACATCTTCATTAAATATATATAAATTTTTTCCTATTCGCTGCTTTTTAAGTACAAGAAATTACTAATGCAACTTTTTAATAATACATTCATCAATAATTTCAATTGTATATATTACTTTTATCCATTTTCAAAGAAAGAAAGTGAATCAAAATCAAATGATCGAGAACAGAATTTTAGGAAAGTCAATCGAAAGAGCAAATTGCGACCAAATTTATGTTTTTTTCTGTCGTATTAATATACTATTAGTTTTTTTTTTTCATTGGTTTATTTATTGAATCTTTCTTAATAGAAATTAACAATAATTTTGCGAATCTTAAAATACTAACATGTATGCTATTGAGGTAGGGTATTTATATTACCAATGATTTTCTTTTAAGGCGATTTAGTGCAATTGCAGAAGATAAGTGTTCAACATGAGGATTTGGATGCGATTTGAATCTCTCGGAATTTAAGTGTATATTAGCGAATAACTTTTTCAACAGTTGCTAAATTGAAGTCTTTGTGTAGGTTTTTGTTTTTTCAGAGTCTTACTATAACATTTGTCACGCATATTAAATAACTGCGTCACTTAATAGCTCTACATCCGACCTCAGGTTTATATTGAGAAAATGACTACATTAATATTTCTTATTTATATACATACATAAACCAATAAATAATTGAAATTATTATAGCAGAAGTATTACTGTGATGTTTATAACATGATATGAACGTGGACAGAGGAACTTTCTCAACAGTGCCGCTCAATGTATGTATTTTGTATTTTATTATTATATATTTAATTTCACACAATAAATATAAATAATATGTTGTACCATAGGCATCTTGTAATTCGAAATTTTTTTTACAATATATGGGAAGAACGATTTTAACATACAATTCTCATCACAACATGTCATGCGAATTAAAAAAATAAAATTGAATAAAATTTTTTTTATATTCATAGACCAACATACATTTCAAATTTATCTTCAGTAGTGTTACTTCAGTGAGTGGAACTGGTAAGCTATTTAAAATTACGCATCATTTTTGTAAATAAGTAAAGTTGCAATAAAATAATCAAACTTAATGCATAATATTTTACACATTATATATTGTTAATTATATTTTATATATTATTTTTACTGAATATTTTACATAATGTCTACATAATGTCTGACAGCGCCAAGAGTTTGACTTCATACTACACACCACACATCATACACCATACACCACACACTAAAATGGCATCTACGTAGAAAATGAGCTCTCCGCGGCGGTGTGGCAACACAGACGCTCACACACGTCAAGTGAGTAGTGAATCTTCTTCAGCTGCGGTGGTATGCTGTAAAATTGAGTTTTTGTTTTTAATTTAAAAAAAATGGTATAAGGTTTTACAGGTTATAAAACCAGAAACTAACTTTAAACAGTGTTGTGATATAAATATTCTGGCGTGTATGATACAGAAATTTTTTAAAAAGTATTAATAATGAAAGGGTGAATGGCGGTTGCGGGAACGAATGTCGCGATCCGAAAATATTGTGGTACACTTAACGTTGTATGTATTTAGAAGTTGAGTCTATTGTTTTGTGTGAGCGCTAAACTAGAATCGAGTATATTGTTTAAATATTATATATTATGAATTCGTATATGCGTCAGAGCGCCCACGTCGGTCCTGATATGCATGGCTTTATTAAAGATAAACAATCGTGGGAGAATGCTATTGCCATGTATCAGGGTCCTGATCCTTTAGATCATTGGTATAATTATATATGTTGGTATGAGAATCATGCACTTGGTGACCCAGAAAAAAGATACCGTGAGACACTTGAGCGTTGCTTAACACTATTTGAACATAGTGACTACTACCGACATGATCCGCGTATGATTCGCTTATGGCTAAAATATATAACTCTGCAGACAGATCGATTGCATTTCTATCAGGTGTTGCACCAGAGAAATGTGGGTAGACATGAAGCTGCTTTTTATATACATTGGGCTGGATATTATGAATCAATAAATGCGTTTAAAGAAGCGGAATCTGTATATAATTTAGGATTTCAAGAAAAATCTCAGCCCTATGCAGAGTTACATCATGCATATAGCAAATTTTTATATGCGAGAAGTTTAGCTGCACAAGCTCCCAATGCTCATCAAGTGAAGCCATCGCAAATGCATATGTCTCAACATCAACACCAGCATCAACATCAGCATGAGCATCAGCATGAGCATCAGCATCAACATCAGCATCAGCATCAGCATCAGCAACAGCACCAACATCAACATGAACATCAACATGAACACCAGCATGAACACCAACATGAACATCAGCACCAGCATCCACACCAGCAGCATGCTCATGCTCATTATCAGCATACCCATACGCAGGTACCAAACCAAGCAGACCCACCATCGGCAACGCCACATTCACCAGTGCAACCGCATCAAATACAGAATTATAGACAACATTTAAATTATCAATCGCAACAATCACCAATTCAAATTCACCATCATCCGCATTTACATCAGCATGACATACAACCTTCATTACACCATGAGCATTTATATCAACATGAAGCCCACCATCAAATTCATCAACAACAACCTGAAAACTATCATCAGCCAGTTCAACACCTTCATCCACATCAGCATCAAAACCCACAGCAGCAACACATACAACATCAAATTCCACACCATCATGCAGTCCATCCCCACTATCCACACATACATCATACCCACCAACAATCTCTGCCAAATATTCATCAACATCCACATCCACATCAACATCAACAAGAGCTGCACTCTCACCAGCATCTTGAACATAACCAACATCAAATACAGCACCATCAAATACAACATCAACACGTTGTAAGTTTCCATTTAATCTTTATATATATATATATCCCCTTTAAAGTGTAATTAATTTACTTATTTAGTTAATTGAAACAATGGATCCGACTTCAGCTACTGTAGGACCTAATTATAGTGTGCATCAGGCCGAGCACCATCTCAATCCGAATGTGACAAATTCTACACAAATAGAACAACCATTACTTCCTACGAATCCACAACCAGTTGATCAATTTCAGCAATATCAGGAATCATACCAAATACAACATCTACATCAACAACAGGAGCATCAATACCAGCAACAACAACAACAACACCACCATCAACATCAGCTTCAACAACAACAACAACAGCAACATCATCAACATAGTCATCATCAACATCACCAACAACAACAACAGCAACATCAACAACATCATCATCATCAACAACAACAACAACAACAACATCAGGAACAAGAACAAACAGTGCAATCAGATACAAATTACATTGATTACAAGCTTAAGGAAATTGAAGGAGTCACTTTACCACAACCATTTGTAACTTATTGCCGTAATAACTATGAGTGTTGGAAGCCTGAATTATATCTAGAGGAACCAGAAGATCCAGCGAAACAGTGCCATTATGCAAAAGATCTGGTTTATCCCGGCGATGGCGCTGAATACAGTCCAGAAGAAATTCGAGCTCGAAAATATGAAACACAAATAAAGCAGTCCAAGTTAAATGCTTTAACCGCTGACATTATTGACAATGATTCCTCAAGTTCACAGCAATATGAAGAGATTGGTAAAGTTGTTACTAATGTGAAGCAAGTTGAGCCACCATCATACCTATTCTACGATTCTGAAAATCAATATACTCCTAACCAATTTGTTGCTGTAAATCCAAATATTCATGACGAACATCATAGAATCGTATGCGATCAACATACTGAAAATGAGAAGAAAAATAATGAAATAGAGCCCAAAAACTTCGAGAACGAGCATAGACACACCGAAATTGAAGAGGAAAATGTACAAGAGCACTTTAAAAATGAACATGATGGTTTCGAAAGTAGCCAAAATAACATTAAAGAAATCGAAAAAGATAATACATCAAACATTGCAAACAAAGAAATCGAACAAACTTTCATACATCGCATAGAGGAGAATCGTAGGGTTGCATCCGGGTTAATAGATTTAGAAGATCAAATTGAAGCCTCAACTATACGACTTAATCTTAACCCAACACCGCAAAGTGCGCCAAAAGAGCCCATAAAACTTAAACTGAAAAAAGAGAGGCTTCAAGAAAATGATTCATTAAACGGTAGCAGTTATCGTGCTTATTCTGTTTATCAGCAAGAAATAGCGTCCCCCGTCTCACGACAAGATCATTCAGTACGTAAAAATGGTCACTCCTTTCATCCATATTTGCTGGGCCAGACCTCAACACCAAAGACAAGTTCGAAAAGGAACAAAAGTAAACTTAAAAAGGCTAACAAGTACAACAATATAAATGAGTGCAGTAGCAGTAACTCCTCTTCTGCAGATAACAGTACAACAAATGGTGCTGCCAATTTGCATAATGAAAATGTGCAAGTTTGCGACAGCACTGTGATACAAAATGCAACTTTCAATGATAATGCAAATTACTCGTTTTCCAGTGCAGTGGCTTTGGACAACTCAAATTGTTCATTGACTTCAGCAGTTGGACGTCTTAACTTCCGTGATTCAACCATTGTAAATAATAGTGCAGCAGCTGATTTTTCCACTTTTCAAGAGAATTCCTATTTTGCAACGCAACATGATGCCGAGGCTAAAGAGAGACGTCTTAACAAAGCTTTAGAAACAATAGAACGTCACTTAACCAAAAATACGATAGATCCATTTAGTAGTGAGCTATGTCGCGCCTTCTTGACGAAACTTGATTTTCCGACCGCTGACGATGAAGCACATTCAAACTATAAAGTTACACAAACACCGTTACCAAAAGTAACAACCGCACGTGTACTCGCACTTCCGGATGGCGTTCAATTCAACGTTGACAAAGAGGTTGGGCGTGGATCATACGGTTCTGTATACAAGGCAACTGATGCAAATACGGGTGCAGTAGTAGCTTTGAAGTATCAAAAACCACCAAACACTTGGGAAATTTACATATGTGATCAAGTGAGTATAGAAATCAAATCTCTTCTGTATGTTATCAAATCTTATATTTTTATAATTATAATTGATGTGCATAATGACAATTTCTGTATATTAAGTATTGGGATTATAAGGTATTAGTATATGTTATATTAGAGTCTTATTATATTAGCTCATAAAACACAGATAGCATGTGTTAATGTCGTGCTAATGATAAAGAATGATAAGATTTGTAATGAAATGAAATAACGTAATGAAGATAAAATAGAATTTGGAAAATGGGATTTGGGATTTGGGAAATTGCATCTAATCCACAGTTAACTTTAGGAATCATTTGACAAGAAAAGCGCAATTTTTTAAAATTCAAATCTGTTTTGATCTTAACGGTTGTCGTTGCTGTAATCCGTGGAGGTCTACAAAGCAGGAAACATGGCAGTAATTAGGTTGGAATATGGTAGAGTGTAGGTTGAGTATAAATAAGGATTGTTTGGTATATAAGATGGATGAAAGGGTGAGTAATTCTTCATTAAAACTAGACTATGTGAATTCAGAAAGATCTAACCTCTCCAATGAGTCTGAACTAAAGATCCATACGGTTCAAATTAGTGTGTGTATTAGGATATAAAAACAGATCAGCACTATTCTTTAAAGCACAGCTGCAATTAGGGCACACGTCGGACTTTATAAGTGAATGTTATTGATTAGTTTAAAATCAGAAATATTTTGTTCTATTTCGTTCACTCTGGAGTTCTAAATTTGTTTTGACGTTGCTCTTTCTTTAATGTCTAGTGTAACAATAGAGAAATAATATTTTATATAAAGCCCAACGGCATTTGTTATTCAATTTATCAATTTTCTTGTAACCCAGTACATAACTTTAGCAAAAAGCAAAGACTAAAAGATTGCAAGGCTTGGTTGAGAAGTAGTGAAGCGAATAGATGCGTGCTAATGCATGCATACTAAATGTCCTGTGATATTATTAATCAGAAAACTCTAAGTGATTGTTTTGCTTTTGAAATTTTTAATTGTAACTTTTTCCATTTTTTTGAACATTTTATTTGTGGATTTTTTCATATTTAGTCACCAATATAAATGTTAACCAAAACATATATCGAAGGCTTATCCTCGCATACAAAATATGTCACGGCATATCTAAAAATCAGAACCAGAGTGGCAAACGAAAGTTCAAGTTCAACAATCAAGTTAGGAACGCAGTGACCTAACTGACGACGGTGACGACACATGGACTCTGTCAGAAAGCGATAAAGCGATTTTTTTTATTACTGTGTATATCGATTCACCGTTCGCGTTATCGGTGACGCTTTTATCAGCCAAATAGCGACACTTGGTCATTGGAGACTGAGGTTCCTCGTGGGTGTGCAGAAACAAGTGCTGCACTCTACAACAGCAATTAACAACATCGCTGCTAATGGCATTGTATAGCTGCTTGCATTGAAATGTATGAATACAAGTAGATGTTAAGTCCGCTTAGCAGTAAAATAATTTATCTAAATATTAATAATTTTAAAAAGTAGTATATTGCAGTATAAAATCTTACTCTTATTGGAGGTGGAGGTATTTATTATGTTTACGTTTTTATATATTTGATTTATTTTCTTTAAAGTTGAAGCCACTACTTAACTTAATGTAGTTAAATTGAAATAATAAATTATCTTTTATTTTGTAGGTACTAAAACGCATCAAATATTCAAATATACTGCCTGGTTTAATGGATATATCAACAGCGATTATTGCTCCCAACGCGAGCATTATAGCAACAGAATTTTCGCCGTTCGGTTCTCTATTGGATATCAACAATAAAATTCGGCAAGCAACAACTAAGGTAATGCATGAGTCATTGGTGATGCACTTCTCTGCCCAAATATGCAGTATAATTCATCATTTGCATTTAAACAAAATTATACACGCCGACATCAAACCTGACAACTTTTTACTAATGCGTGTCCCCAGCATAGACCTGCACTATCCATCGCTACGTCTAATCGATTTTGGCTGTGCCATCGATATGACATTGTTTCCGAACAAGGATAATACTAAATTTCGTAAAGTTATACAGACCGATGGTTTTACATGTATCGAAATGCAAGAAGGCCGACCATGGTCCTATGAAACCGATCTCTTTTGCATTGCTGGCACAGTGCATGTTATGCTATTTGGCGAGTATATGCAACTACAAAAACGGGGCGGCATTTGGGATATTAAGCAGAAATTGCCAAGATATCTGAAAAAAAATCTATGGGCTAAATTTTATGGCGACCTTCTCAACATTAAATCTGAGCAACTTCCAAATTTACACGATATGCAGCAGTTGTTCAATGAAGAAGCTCAAAAAATGGAGTCTGAACTTCAAACCCAAATACGCACCTTGAAGAATATTCTGTATAAACGATAACTTATTTCATTAAGCGAAAATCAGTTTTGTTTTCCGTTTTTTTTTGTTTTGTTTTTCAATTTCAATTCACAATTATTTACTTTTTTCTGTTACATTTAAATTTTCATTTTGAATCTGAAATTTGTTTGTTAATTGATTAATGATTGACATTTAAAAAAAATTATTTTCATCAACAATTTATTAATCTTTCGATGCGATGCATTTCTGAAGAATTAATCTCTAAGAGATTATCTTCTGAAGATTATTATAGTTTTAACAGATGCTTTTTTTTATTTTTCGATTTTTGGGAAATTTTAACTTTGGCACAAGGTTATTGTGTCAAAGTTAAAGTTTGTAAAGAGTTCTCACCTTACATTATATTATGAGTCAACAATATATTATTTAATTAATTCGAACATTTTATTTTTTATTGAAAATAAGCAAACAAATTTCAGTTTTTCTATTTGACAAAAAAAGTTTAGAGTTGTGAATATTTTGCTCGCTAACAATGTAACTGTTGAGGGATGCTAACTTTGTTGAAAATTTAATTCCAATAAAAACAATAACTCAAAATGAAATTATTTATGACTTCTTAAAAAGAGGAACATATTTTAGATGTCAAATTATTTTTTTTATTATGACAAAAAACATTTTTACAAGGATTACAAAAATATTTAACGAGACCGTACAATATTATTATTGTTATTAATGAAAATAAAATGTTATCGCGGTCTCTTGAACGATCTCTAGATCTGCAGGAATGTACTGAAGAGGACCTTAAGGTCGACAGTACATCCTTGTCTAAAGTCCTTCTTGTCAATACAAGAAATATCAATTAAGCACCAGCTGCCATACACTGACATAATCCTTGGAATTTTTAATAACGTACAATGTGAAGCTTAATACTTAATTAATGCAAAACAAACTCCGTTGAATAAATTCAGGAAAAATAATTTTTCAAATGAATTTATTTAGCAAAATCTAATAATTCTAATAAATATTTTTTTAACATTTTTCAATCGAAATGCATATTTAAAGTCTGCCAAATATTTTAATGTTTTCACTTAGTGCTTAAACATAATTTAATATTGAAATATATATAAATATTCATGTTCAAAAAGAATGAGAATTATAAAATGTAATTGTGTTTTTTGAAGGAACACTTAGTTCCTGGAAAATCGTAAGAAGCTAGAATAAGTAATATAAAATCCTTATATAACTATATATATATTATTAATCGAATGTATGTGTATATTACGTAACCATTATCCTTGTAATTATAAATCATTTAAACATTTAACTGTAATTTCCGCATAACTATTAACAAAAAAAACATAAGTCTATATATAAATATTTATATATATATT